TTCCTCACTTCTTATCCTAAAACATGATTTTTTTAAAACAAACAAACATATAACTGGGCAAGTGACCTTTCTATTTCCAACATTCGAAGTGGGGAAGGAGATGGGAGCAGCCATGATAACTAGGAAGATGTTTGAGAAGAAAAGGACACTTCCTATCAACATCTGAAGGTAACACAATCTTGTGTTAGCATTATAGTATAGTAAAGCCACCATGGGAAGTCTTCCAGATCAGAAGATGAGGTGAAAATAATCAAGCGAAATAAAATATCTGTCAAGGGAGGAGCCAAACATATTTTTGAAATGGATTTTAGCGGAGAAGGCAGACATACAAAGCCAAGTATATGATGCCAGAGATTCACCTTAGCCTCTTATGATCTATTAAATTATGATGAAATATGTAACTTTTGTCCCTTTCCAAATAAAGATATCCAAAGAGGCCCATTGCAAATATGAAAACGGCATAAAAACAACAAACTAGAAATAATAAACATTTCATATGTCGACATATTTTTGTACACAGTGTGATATAAATACTCAGAAAGTAGCTATGCATTTAAATTGCTAATGCTCACTTTGAAGTAAGTCCTTTTGAACTTAGAAGGCCTTATTTCTGAATAGAGATGCTAATGATTGGACTGAAATTCCATGAAGCGATTGTGCTAATTTAAGAAAGCTGAAGCAAAACAGCTAGATGTCAGATCCGCCATGGAATTCCATCATGTTATATTATACTATTGCATAATTTTGTTTCTTTTCCATAATCTCAAAAAGTCATATTACTGTCACTACCAGATACATTTCATTTTATTTTTCCCCAATAATTTGTCACTAAATAGAAGTGTGTATTTTTTGTATTGAGTAGCATGGATTGACAGTTTGTATGAATATGCTTTGCCCGACTTACCGGGCGGAGATGTGGTTGGTGAGGTGTCCTCCCGGCCGCCATGGCATTGGAGGGGGCTTCTTCTTCCCAAAAGCCCCCTCGGCAGCAGGAGAAGTCTCTTCTGGCTGGGCAGCTGGCCAATCAGAGGCAGCCCCTTCTTGCCCCCTAATCAGCTGGGCCAGCTGCCCGAAGCTTGCGAGGGCAGCCTTTACATACGCTGTGAAAGGCCATGCCAAGCAGTGCACCTTTCCTGTGTTCCAGCCCACCCTTTATAAACATTTTCAAGTTTCATAGTTTTTGTAGAGCATTGTTCCTTTGTCACAACTTTATGGCGTGTGGCATGGGCCCTGGATCTGATTTGTGTAACCCCCCCCCCCCCTACTGCACACACACATTGGAGGGATTGGGAAGGTACCGGTGGTTCTCCAGGGCTGCAACGGTGTTGGGATCCCAGTATTGCGCCGGTCCTGGAGTGGTTAAGCGGTATCAGACAGTAGCAGGCTGTCCGATTCCTGGCTCCAGGACCCATGCCGGTCTGCCAACACTGAGTCTCTTCTGTAAGCAATAAACAGGTTGTGGCCATTTGTTATCCCAACACAGTGTGTGTCTCATAATTGGGTTTGCTGGTGGGAGGCTCTAGTCGCACATGTCCACACAAAGCAAAATGTTTCCAGTAAGAGAAAACTTACTTACATAGGCTTATTCTGAGATGACTTCCAAAGTATGATACAATAAATGTGAATGGTTAGGAAATGAGAATACCTGAAACTTAGAAGAAAGGAGGTTTTCTGATGTTTCACTGAAGTAATAAATAGGCTAAGCAAGCTAATCTGTGCATTGATGGTTAGTGATTAACACTACTAAAGAAAAGATTGATGTTATTTATTTATGACACAACTTTACAATCTAATATCCCATTAAAATGTTGTTGTTGTAAGTAATTTCTGACTTATAGTGATCGTAAGGCAAGGTTTTCTGGGGCTGTGTGTGTGACTTGCCAAGGTGGGAATTGAATCCTAATCCCCAGATTTGTAGTCCAAAACCATAGAGGAACCCAGAAAGACAGATGCTCCAAATTTACAGAACATCTGTGCCTGAATGCACCCTATCATAAATATTCTGGCTTCAACCCAGTATTGCCTTATTGTTGGACTATCAATGCAAAATAATCATATTTTTCACCTTCCCCTTTTCAGCCCCCAGCATAACTTATCTAGTAAGACATTTAAGTCACTGGTTATAAAAAATACTCTGTTTCAATGCAAAGTAATATGACTTTTTATGCTGATGCTGCTGAGGATATTTCAAAAGCATGGAATATATTTTGTGATAGTTTTTCACATCTGAGCTGTGTATGTTATTTAGATAACAAAATAATTTAGCATTTCATTTGGTGGTAAAATGCTGAATTAAGTTATGGTTTTATTAAGGAATGCTTGAATATTGGGCTGCAGAGCTCACCCAAGGTTGTGTGCATTTTGCCTTGCATGTCTTTATATTATAGAATAGTGATCGTTTAATAACACGGGAACCATAGAAATGTGTGTGGGTGTGTGTGCTGGTTGAGTATCCCTTATCCGAAATTCCTAAAGCCAAAAGTGTTCTATGATTCAGGCTTCTTTTTCATGTTTTAATACTTGCATTTATGTAAAGAGCTATCTTGGAGATAGGCCCTGAGTCTAAAAATTATTTATGTCTCATATAGACCTTATACAGATAATTTTATACACAGTGTTTTTCATATTTTTTGTGCAAGAAATGAAGTTTGTAAACGTCAAACCTTCAGGAAACAAAGATGTCATTACCTCATTATTTTTTTTAATTAAAAATACCTTGCCCCCGGTGGCGCAGTGGGTTAAAGCACTGAGCTGCTGAGCTTGTTGATCGAAAGGTTGCAGGTTCGATTCCGGGGAGCGGCGTAAGCTTCCGCTGTCAGCCCTAGCTTCTGCCAACCTAGCAGTTCGAAAACATGCAAATGTGAGTAGATCAATAGGTACTGCTCCGGTGGGAAGGTAAAGGCGCTCCATGCAGTCATGCCGACCACGTGACCTTGGAGGTGTCTACGGACAACGCTGGCTCTTCGGCTTAGAAATGGAGATGAGCACCACACCCCAGAGTCAGACATGACTGGACTTAATGTCAGGGGACTACCTTTACCTTTTTTACCTTTACAATAGAATTTTAGTCATAATGATGATGATAATGATAATGATGATGATGTCACCTTTCCAGGCACTATTGAGCTGAAATGGCAATGATGAGAAGTAGAATTTTCATTTCATATTATGTACACAAACATCCCCTTCACATGTATATCCACTCAATTTTAGAGGAGGATACTAAAAATGGTGCCTAGATATAGTGTGTGTGTCACCCTCCCCTCGGGAAAAAGGCAGCCAATCAAAGATTGCAAAGCAATTGCAAATTGCAAAGCAAAGCAGAAATAGCTAGCAAAAAAAGGTGCATGGTGCCTTTAAATCTCTCCTCACTTCTGCCTCACCCTCGAAATGTAATATACATATATAGAGTCCCTACTTCATGGATTTTCACTTTTCGTGGATGGTCCTGGAATTTAACACCCACGATAAGTGAGGGAACACTGTACATTTAAAGAGAATAGTACTATTAACCACACTGTCCATGAATAGAGCAAATTGGAAATGTACGTATAGAAAAAGCACAACACCTCCTTTCCAGAAACATGTGGAAAGTTAGTTATAATCCCACTTTGCAGCCCCTGTAGAAGAGCACTGACATATCAGCACTAGGAGCCATCTGTCTCAAAACATTCCTGCTATGAAGATACCTCTTGACAAAAGTGTCCAAATATTTGTAAACATTAAGCATTATGAAAATTGGCAAAACAGTGTTGTGTATCTGTTGCTTTTCAATGTAGGTCCCTTTCAGTTCCACCATGTCTCCTGTTCGCCTCCATTCATCCAATCCTAACCTCTGTGCGGACATCGAATTTCAGATGCCACCAAGTCACGTCGCTGACCCCCTGGAAACCTCCACGGACTACATAAAACTCCAGGAAGAATTTTGTCTCATGGCACAGAAAGGTAAGGACACATGTACTAGTGGAAACTCATTGGGAAATTACCATTGATATAACTAGGCAGCTTTGTCCAGTATGTGTTTGCTTCTGGCACCTGTGGAAAAAGAAATTAAAACATTGCATGGGCAATCTGGTTCTATTTAAGAGAACGTTTTGCAAAATGTATAACTGGAAACATTTGCTTTCAGAATCTTATCTTGTCAAAGGCAGGGATTCATTTTCAAAATCACTGTGTTTAGTAATTAAGTTTTAAATCACAAAGAGCTGACAATGCTCATTTTGGAAGATAGAATGTAACAGGAAAGCACTTCCTTTCCACAGTCTATAGCTTTCATGTTTACATGATAGTCCTAAATCGGATGTTCGGGTTTCCAAAGATTATAGGTGATGTTTGCAAAACCTGCAAATCCTACTGATTTCTGCTGTAGGATCGAATTCTAGAAATTAACTACTAAAATTCTGCAGGTGGTTTAAGATACTGCTGTGTACACAAAAGACTTCCTTGTTTCTCTCCAGTACACTCTCTTCTGAAGTCTGCCTTCAATAGCATTGCAATAGAGAAGGAAAAACTTAAACAGATGGTTTCAGAACATGATTTCACAGGACATAGCACACAGATAACACGTCTCCGACAATCTCTTTCTCAGGTAAGTTCTTTTATGAGTGCTTGCCATATTTGCAGATGGCTTTGAGATGTCTATAATTGGCCTCAATGTTGGCATAAACATTAGGCACCACCTAGCTTTCACAAAATAAATAATATAACACTAATGTATTTTTACCTCAGTCTATTTATCACATAAATTCTACTGCTAGTCCAAGATGAAGTTAGACCTATTAAATTTGTGAGATTTTCCTACACCTGGAGGAAAGACCCACCCAGTTGGTGGATCTACTGTAGTTTGAATTTGGGCCCATTGCTTCACATGTTGCTAGGAGTTTTTAAAAGTGTATAGATAGAAGGATTTATGTATAAAAGTCCAACACAAGTCAACTTTGTGTCTAGATATTGCTTTCGTTGCTTAAAAAAATCAATCAAATCAAAAGACTAATATAAGATTTCCCCTGCTGCCCACAGTTCAGTTTCAGGTGGTTTCTTGCATGTGTGGCAAATCACCCAATTTATTGCTCTTGCTTTCTTCCCTCTCTCTCTCTCTCTCTCTCTCTCTCTCTCTCTCTCTCTCTCTCCCTCCCTCCCTCTCTCCCTCTCTCCCTCCCCCCCCCCTCTCTCTATGTCTCTCTATGTGTGTGTGCTATTAAGTAGCCTCCTTTCTCTTTTCACATTTTATCAAAATGAGATACATGATTGCTTGGAACAGTAGGATCTTGTATGCCTCTTTACTGGGCTTATGTTGCCATCTTCAATTGCATTTTAATGTGATTGATGAGTACATGCGTACAGCCCAACTTCCTTTTTTCACAACTTTCTATTCTTCCTGAGTATATACATTGCCTTATAATAATATCTGAGTAAGTGGCACTTTTGCCTATGTTTACTTTCCATAATTGTCTGTCCTGCAATCTTTTTCTTTTTACTTTACCTTTGTTCTGCTTCATCTGCTGTGTATTACAGTCTTTCTTTGTAACCTAGTGCTATGGATAAGTATTTGGCCTTTTCACGTATAAATCTTCCTTGAGTGGTGGTGGTGGGTGGAATAGACAGATTAAAAAGTAGGGAAGATAGAATTTTTTGAAGATAGTTGAGGACTTCATGTAAGTGTCACTTCCTTTAGAGAGGACGGCTGCCATCACAGTTGTTTTTGAGGATCGTTCCATTTGTTTGTAAGCTTTTCTTTGCAGAAGTCTAAGAAAAGTCATGAAATGACCCGGACAGTTTTTCTGTTCTTTGGCCAATGACTTTACTCCTATCTATAACCATAAGCCATGGTGCAAAGCATGAGGTATCATTTCCAGTTTGTATTTATCTATTGTCTTTGAGAATTTCTTATAAGGGACCTCTTCCTGTCGTCCCTGATATTAAAGAGGAGAGGTAGAAGACGTTTCCAATAGTATACCAAATGAGTGTTTCACTCTTTTCTCATGTTTTGTCTTTCTCTTGCTTCGTTTCTGCAACTTCAAAACTATCTACCAAAATCTCATCAGTCTCATTCCTGCTTTCTCACTGCTGTTGCACTATTTTTTTTGCAATGCAGCTAATATAGATGGTAATGCAGGTACATCTTCTATTGAAACTGAATTGAATATCTAACCTAAACAACATATCTAAACAACATACATTTTTTTTTCAAATTTTATCTCACTTGTAGTAAACCTGTGAAATTGGTCTTTGCATGTGCAGTAGAAAACTAAAGTGGTTCAGTAATGAATTTTTCTTCCTGCCTCATTGCAAAAGAGCTGGCTACTAATTGGTGGAGCGCAAATTGTTTGGTTTAATCCATAATAAAAATACAAATCTAAACATACAGAGTTGAATCACATGTAAATTATTGGATCCTGATACAAAATAACAGTTTAAGTGGCAAATATACATCACTATCATTATGTAAATCAGTGGTTCCCAACCTTTTTTGATGAAGGACCACTTGACCAGGGCTCACTTTGACCAGGGTCCACTTGACCAGGGCCCACTTGACCAGGGACCACTTTGACCAGGGCCCACTTGACCAGCGTCCACTTTTACCAGCATCTACTTTGACCAGGAACCTCTTTGACAAGAGCCTACTTTGACCAGGGCCTACTTGACAGGGACCACTTGTCCAGGGACTACTTGGCCAGGAACCACTTGACCAGGGCCCACTTTGACCAGGTACCACTCTTCAGCATTAGTACCAAAAGGGTTACAAATCAGTTTTTAGTCAACTTTAGATTTTGTTTGGTTATTTGGAGTGCAGATTCAGAAAATTGCATTGGACAGACCACATCAGCTCTAGTGTCTGATACAGAACATATGCCATTCAGTAGTCGCCATCTGTTCGCCTACAGAAAACCATATTTATTATTTATTATTATTATTATTATTATTATTATTATTATTATTATTATAACTTTATTTGTACCCCGCTAGCATCTCCCAAGGGATTCGATGCGGCTTACAACAGGCCGGAGCCCAACACAATACAACAATACAGTACATAGCAAATAAAAACAGTTAAAGCAGAAAAGCAGAAAACAATAACAGTAGCAATACAACAGGACATTATTTAATAGTCTAGAGCCAATGTGGTAGTAGTAATCTTTTGTGGGTAGTCGGCCTCTCCCCTCCTGACAATTCCGTGGCTTCAGCATTATAAGAGGGTTTCACGAGACTAGTTGCTCTCATTGCCACGTAGTTTCGAGGCAACAGTGTAGTAATGGTAAGGCTGTGGACCATATTTTTGTTGTTGTGGACCACTGGTGGTCCATGGACCACAGGTTGGGAACCACTGATGTAAATGGAGCATGTGGGCAAAATTAAACAGGTTCTCCTGCAACAGATGTTCCCTGGTTTCTTTTTCCATTATCTCACATCAATCAAAGAACCAAAGAAAGACTGAGGGTGCGTTTCCATTACTGATTTGCTTCATGCATGCTGACCCAGAACCAAGTTTCAATGTATTACTTAATTCCCAAAGAATAATGTATAGGATTGCAGTCTTAAGGCAAAACGTAATGAAAAGTGGAAAGAGCTCAACATTTTAAAAAATGAAGTGCAAATGTTCAGTTTTGATTGGAGCAGCAAGGAAGAGTGTTTAATCCTTTTCTCCAATATTTTTTTAAACACAAAGAAAGGCCTAGCCCCATATATTTTCCTTTGCTGATGAAAAAGCATATGGGGAAGCAATTTTTACTGGAAAAATATCTTTCACTTGAAAGGACTAAGCACTCCTTTACCTTTAGCACTGCTTCCATCAGATTCAAAGACTGTCATGGTTGTATTTCACTTTCTACATCTTGTCTTAGTCCTTAACATTATTTAAAGTGAGTAGAGGTATGTATTAAAGAGAGTATTCAACTGTTTTGTGAGACTTGTCCTTGCCGTCATAGTTAAATCATAGTTAAGTCATAGTTACAATGATACAAGCTTTTATGGAATCATTCCCAAAGAGAATATCTGTAGATACCACTAATGATAAAGCAGTGAAATAATCTATTCTGGAAAATGTCTTTCATTGTGCTTCTGGCCAGTGTATAGGACATACTAGTGCATTGGTTCACAACCTGTGGGTCCCCAGATGTTTTGACCTTCAACTCCCAGAAATCCGAACAGCTGGTAAACCGACTGGGATTTCTGGGAGTTGTGGGCCAAAAACACCTGGGTTTTGGCCACAGGTTGAGAACCATTGCACTAGTGACTTTATTTATTTATTTATTTATTTATTTATTGCTATTTTGTGAATTTGAATGTAAATATTCAATTCTTGTTATTTCAAGGCTCTCAACCAGAATGCTGAACTAAGGAGTCGCTTGAACAGAATACATTCAGACTCTGTTCTTTGTGATCAGGTTGTCAGTGTAAATATTATCCCTAGCCCTGATGAGGTAAGACTTTGGCATTGATCTAATGGACTTAACTGTAGTCAAATCCCGCTAATTACCACTAATTACTCAATTGTTCTGTTTGATAAACCTGGCAAGCAATGGGATGAGCTCATTGTCAAGAATGTTCTAGCCATGTTCATAAATGTATTTAGTTATGGTTCATGTCAAATCCCTATTGGAAAACTCAGTTGCGAAGTGGAAGGTATTTGACCAAACCCAAACCCAAGGGCTGTCTAATCCCATATTGTGGGTTTCATGGCCAGCAAGATACCTCCTCCCAAGATGCCACAATCAGGATGTGTGGGCAAAAGCTATTTTCTGTTTCACTGCTGCTAGTATTTCAGAGGAGTCTGTATGTGACCATTTCTAGCTTTACCTTTTAGGCAGTTTGCTTAACTTCCCTTTTAAACCCACCTGTACTACCCAAACTTGTCTACCTTGCATGCCAGCTAATTGCCTGCATTAACCAAATACTCAGTGAAAGATCTCCCATTTGTTTGTCTCGAATCTCTTACCACTCAGACTCATTGAGTGGATCTTCTATTTTAGTGCTATGAGCTGAGAAAAATGTCTACCCACTTTCCCAATTTTGTAAATGTCTGCAATGCCCTCCATTCTTGTCTTTATCAGAGTTGGAAACATTTGAACATTTATCTTTTCTCAAAGAGCAGTTGCTCCAGCTCTCTAAAAGCTTAGACTACCCTTCTCTGCACTTTCCTGGAAAATCCTTCTTGAATGATAGCAATCAAATCAGAGGCAGTATTTCTCATGCAACTTTGCTATATAAATATATTATCAGAGATTATTATCAATACTATTCCTCTTATTCCATAGCATGGTACTTGTTGTTTTCATAGCAGCCGTGGGCTGGTTCATCATTCTTATTCACCATGATCCTTTGGTCTTTCCTCATTAGTCATAGCTAGCATTTTGAATACCATTGATGTATATGTGAAGTTAGGGTTGTTTGTCATAAGGTGCAGCATTACACCTATTAAATTTGCCTTTTCAGTTCCTACTCATCCTTTTGGAGTTCTTCCCAATGCATTTTGCTTTTCACCATCCTGAATAATTTGGCCTCATTCTCAAACATAGATATCTCACTACTCATCCCTTGCTCTGTGAAAAACCAGTTTTAGAGTATCAGTCCTTTCCAATACAAATCCGCAAGCGATCCCACTTCTTAGATCCCTTCACTTATTTATTCAGCTCTCTACTTTTGGTCCTTGACTAGTTACAAGATCCCATGTCTTCACATCTGAAAGATGGAAGAGAAATGTTAACGCATGTATCAGGATATTCTTATGTTTTCTTCCTAGCATACTGTAAGTAGTGTCAGTGTCCTATTAAACTAATAGTAAATAGTAGTAATACTTGTTTTCCCTTTCTATCTTTATGCAAGAGAAGAGAGTTAATTTTCAAGTTAGAACAAGGAAATATTATATAAGCTTATAAGACTCTTAGAAGGCATGACCATGTCCTTTGCTGATTTTAGCCTTCTGACATGATCACAAATGAAATTTATTTTATCCTCTTTGATTAGAAGCTGGATGGGTAGAACTCAGAGGAGGGGAAAGAAGTTTTGCCCAGTATCAGACATATGTATAAAGGTTACTCCTTCAGTGCTGCAGAGCCAGGGTAACCTGGACGGTTGTATAAAGCAGTGGTTCCGACCTTTTTTGGGACCAGGGCCCACCTTGTTATTATAGAAGCATCAAATGTGCTGTAATGTAATCAGTTTCTTTTATATACAACATTTGAATACAAATCTTAAACTTATCTCTATTGCACTGGAACAGGGGCCACTTGACGGGCAATCACTTTGACCAGGGACTACTCTCCAACATTAGTACCAAAAGGGATGGGGCTGGTTAGCTCTGCAGAAAGGAGCAGAAATAAAATAAAATAAATAAAGAGGAAGGAGCTTCGCAGACCGGATTTTCATTCTCATGGCTCACTTCTGGGCCACAACCCACGGGTTGAGAACCACTGGTATAAAGGCTTCTATGCCTCCTTTTTCCCTTTAGAATAATTGACACAAGTGTCTTCATGTTGTTATATTAAGTCATGTCTGCCCTAGTCTCAGGGTGGTGGTTTTTTAACTGCATGTCATGCGCAGGATGGAAATATTTCTGCATAGGTAAACAATTTGCTTTAAATAATGCGTATACTCTGAACTGAAGAGAAAAACTAGACAGGGTTTTTAAGAAATCAAAGATTTTAAATACTGCACAATGGTTGTGTTCATGTGGTGCAGTAGGGAAGTGTACATGGGGATATTTTGAGCTGGAGAGTTGGGTTAAAATTGCTTAAAATAAATAAAAATATGACTTCTTCTAATAGCAATTTCATGTAGTGATTACTGACTAGATTGCAATCAAAGCAAGATCATTCAGGAACAGAAGAGGAGGGATTAGCAGGCTCATTTGAAGCTAGATTTTTTTAGAATGCCTATGCTTATTTAAAACAAGCAAACAAACCAAAATAAGGTGATGTCAAATCATTGTAGGAAAAGAAAAAAGCTGAACACAGTGTGAGATGATTTAGGACAAATGTGAGGCCTTGATTGGCAGTAAAAGTTGTCCCAATATTTTTTTAAAATATTCCTTGTAGGAGTAAAGATGTCCTGCTACATTACATGGAGATCCTGTATGTATGTGTATAAACAGTGACAAACCTGCAGGACATGGAATGCTTTTTGTCCATGGAAATGACATAACAGGTTGGACACCTCCCTTACATGCCCAAGTGCTGGGTTGTTCCACTTTATGGGAAAAGTCATACTTTGTCCATCAAACACAAGATGCCATATGAAGGTTGTGTAAAGCTGGTTCTTGAAGACACTATCCTCAGCCATGAATGAGTTCCATCTATTTGCTGGAAAAGGAGTTTTTTGCATGGGCCCTTAGTATAGTCTTGCAAAATAGCTTACCACCATTCTAAACTTCATGTTTTCCAAGTTCATAGGAGACTTTCTGTTTTCTTTCTGAATCTTGCATGGATGGAAAAGAAGAGAGGCCAGACAGAGACAAAGCAGGGTTATCTCTACACCAAACTATTTTCACTGGGCAAGATATTGGGTTTTCTCTGGCATCGAATGGCTGGTGGATTTGGTGCTGCTGAGGAGTCAGTGGAGCCACCCAGGATTACCTCCATTCTTCCCTTTCCTGCTTTTAGTTGAATGGAGGCACCAGTGATGCTTGAGAGGTGTGGCATTGAGAGGAATGGTACATATCTACTGGCCATCCTTGCCTGGTGCCCTGCGTACATTGATTTGACTTCATGCGTGTGCTTGTGTGCTTTATGTTACAGTCAGGTGAACAGATCCATGTCAGCCTCCCGCTCTCCCAGCAAGTTTCTCATGAGAGCCGCCTCTCCATGTCTGAATCTGTCTCTGAATTCTTTGATGCACAAGAGGTGCTTCTGTCTGCAAGCTCATCAGAAAATGAGGTCAGTCTTTATTCTGTGGGTCTACCGGTCATTACGATACCTATAACATGGGTTTGTAGGGACTAAATCTTAGTGCTTGGATGCTGTTTGGAAATAGTTTAAAACTGAATATGGACATAATCTTTGGTCCATGTTCCATCTCCAGCCAGCACAGGCACTGGCGGTGTGTGAAGGCTTTTTGGGGCTGTAGTTGAAAAAGTTAACATTTCTCATCTTTGCTCTAAGGCACGACATACTCTCTATCTCTTGCACAAGACTGGATGTAACGATTCTGATTTATTATTTAAATTGTGCTTTTAATGTATAGTGTTTTAATTGGTTTGATTCCTTGTATTCATTATGTTTATTTAGTTTAACTCTTGTCTATAAGTTATATTGAATTATTTGATTTCATGTTTTGCTTTGATTGTTGTTTATCTGTTTTTTGGCATTGAATGCTTGCCATTTTTGTTATTTCTATCAACCGCCCTGAGTCCCTGGAGGAAGAGAGGGCATGTTATAAATAAAGATTATTATTATTATTATTATTATTATTATTATTATTATTATTATTATTAAAGACTTATTGTGGTAATATGTTGCATGTGAAGCAGTTTGAAGATGGAGAATTGAGTGCTATGTATTAGCAATGCCAATTTGACAGAATCAAAAAGCAATTTGCATTTTCTTTAAATCATGGAGAAAGATGGCACAATTCCTATATCTTTCTTTTTAAAGCAAAGAACAAAAGCTGTGGTCTTGGGTCTGGAATCAGTGAGGGATTGGGTGACCTCAGTGTCTTGTTATATTCAGATTTTTTTATAAAGAAATACTATTCAACCTACTTATCTCTGGATCCGATATTCATGGTTTCACTTATGCATGCCCCTCTCCTCAAAAAAATCCCTCCTAGAAGTATATGTGGTCTTCTCTAGGTCCTGCTAATCTTTGGTGTACTTCTGGCTCAAGTATAGTCAAAGTGTAGGGTTTAGTGTTTGCTATAATCTGTGGCTTCGGGTGCCCATGATCTTGAAAAGTAAGCTACTTATAGGAAATGAGAAAGTTGAATTAACATTAAAAATGTGTAACTATAGTGGCAATGAATCACTGGTGAGAATAACAGACCTGGACTTTTCACTGTAATATATTACATTTTAAAAGCAGTTCTGGGCCTTGATAGAAATATTACAGGTTTCCACACAAGCTTAGCTTGATTATCCAAATCATGGTCCAGTGTAACTTTTTCCAGCCTTCACCTCTTGGACCAAAGTTCCCAAAGTTGCCAGACTATTTGACATCCCACATCCCTACATATAAACCTTTTCATGATTTGTAGGACAACAAATCTAGAGGGCACCATTTGGTGGGAGACTGGGAACAGGTTTTAGAGAGTTATTATTTATTTATTTATTTATTTACGACATTTATATGCCGCCCCTCTCACCCCGAAGGGTACTCAAAGCAGCGATATATATATCCACACACACACACACACACAACATATTTAGTTATAGGTTAAAGCATTTTCTCTTCACACATTACAAGGCCTTTATCCTCTACCTACTATTTTTCTGTAATCTAGTTGGCTGTGCCAACCAAACCATAATTTGAGGTACATGTGAATGAAGTATAGTTTGGATTCAGCATTAACAGTCATTAACTGAATTGAATGTTGCGGCATTCTCAGTTTAGAGAAAACAGAGGAAGTTATCAGGTTGAGGATAGACTTGGGACCTATTAAAGGTGAGTTCTGGTCCACCTCTGGCCTGTAGACCACATTTTCTCTAGGAAAATGTATAAAGGTGTCCAGATAGATAGATAGGACCAGCAACTATCTGTTTCTTTAGGTGGCCCCATTAATATGGGTCAGCTAGGGTTTTCCAAGGTTGAATTGCCTGGCATGCTGAGGTTGAAGCACACTTTGGAATATATTAACTGAGAAGATAGAATGCTTGCAAGAGATTTAAAGAAGGGCTGAGGCTGGAGATGAATTGGGAACATGTATCACAAGGGACTTGGATTTATGGACACATTTGCTGCTGCTAGCATTAGTTTTATTTAGTGTCTTCCCTTTCCTTTTTAGGCTTCCGATGATGAATCATACATCAGTGATGTCAGTGACAACATATCTGAAGACAACACCAGTGTCGCAGACAATATTTCTCGGCAAAGTACGTAGGGGATATTTGGTGTGTATGTTAATATTCCAATATAACTGACCAATATAACTATGTTTTGATTTATATATGTGTCAGTGACTATAGATACAAGTTGTAAAACTTCCCTTCACTTGAGTACAGTATAAAATCCTCCCAGGGCTATTATTGCAAACTCAGGTTGTATCGCTTTTTACATGCAGAAAAGTTCTCTTTTCACTTTAATTTAATTTTCCCATTTATACAATAACTGATCATTTCTTTCCTCTTTTTATGTTTTTTGGTTTGCACCCCATATCAGCCTCAGTACCATAATAGTTTTTCCTCTTTCCATTACTCTTTTTCATTCCCTTTTTCAAATTTTAATACACATTTTCTTCTCATTCAGTCTGTTACCATCAAGTCTCTCAGTTCAGCAAACATTTCCTTCTTTCCCCCCGCCATTCCCATTCTTAGGATGGCATGAAGGAGTGATCCACTACAACTGGGATTATTCTCACATGCCAGCTGACCAGGCAGGACCATGTTCTTTTCTATTCCTTTTTTTTTCCTCTGAGTCTTTACTTCTTTTGCTGTTTTTTCACACCCTCATATGTTTCCTCTTCACTGAATTCAGTGGCAACAACACACAAGGCTTCCACTTTTCCAGTAAGTAATACATCTAGAACATAAGTAGCAATCACTTGGAAGTGTACATGGTAGAACCCAGATGTTTTCCCAGTTTGTTAAGTGAGGAAAATCTGATTTGAAAAGAAGTTATAGGGAGCGGAGAACCACCATGATGGGAGAGCCACAAAATCTACATTTGGAATTTCATTAGTGGGAGAAACTGCTGAGGAGTCATTTGGTGTTAAAAGTGTGAGAATATACTGCTACTTTTTTGTTGTTGCTCCCAATCATCTTTCAAAATGCTTTCCCCTCATCTCTGGTTTGATAACCTATAAAAATTGGGATTCCTTGGCATTTTATGGTCAGGTTTTGTGGTAATCTCATATATGTGTGGTGTATGGCATAGTTGATTGATACAGGCTGGAAAAAGTGGGGAGGGCATTCCAGAGCCAGGGCGCCACCACTGAGAAAGGTCTCTCTCTCGTTCCCAACAACTGTACTTAGGACGGTGGTGGTACTCAGAGAAGAGCCTCCCCAGCAGATCTCAGAGCCCACACCAGTTCATAGAAGGAGATACGGTCTTGAAGATAGGGTGGACCTGAAGTGTATAGGGCTTTATAGGTAATAACCTGCACTTTGAATTGGGCCCGGAAACTTATTGGAAGCCAATGGAGCTATTTTAAGAGATGCATAGTACGCTCCCTATAACTAGCCCTAGTTAGTAATCTGTTAGTAACAATGTTAAAACCATTGTTATATAATTTATCTGTAGTGTATGTGTAGGCATATGTGTGCAAATTTCTTATACATTGATTATTATGTGAACCTATAAAGTCAGTGGAAGATTTTTACTTTCATGTGGTCTTGTTTCTCTTGCAGTACTTAATGGTGAACTATCAGGAGGTGCTTTCAGAAATGGACGAAGGACGTGTCTCCCAAGCCCCTGTCCTGATACTAGTAATATCAATTTGTGGAACATTTTGAGAAATAATATTGGAAAGGATCTCTCCAAAGTATCTATGCCAGTAGAACTCAATGAGCCTTTGAATACCTTGCAGCATCTTTGTGAGGAACTAGAATATAGTGAGCTTTTGGATAAGGCTGCTGAATCTGATGACCCCTACGAACGTATGGTGAGAAGCTTGAGGGAACTCAACACTCGATGCATGTCTCATAAGGCCCCCTTTCTTTCTTTGAACTCCAAAATTCATTGCAGTTGTCCATTTTCCTTGTGTCTGTGATGGATAAGTGAAACCAAGTCCTGAAATGATAAAAATATGTGTGTGAGTTCACTAATGTTTCTGATTATGATACCTTTGTTTCGGACTGGTTGTTTAAGGAGAGCTATAATCTTAGAGCAGTGGTTCTCAACCTGGGGTCCCCAGATATTTTTGGCCTTAAACTCCCAGAAATCCTAACATCTGGTAAACTGGCTGGGATTTCTGGGAGTTGTAGGCCAAAACACCTGGGGACTCACAGGTTGAGAACCACTGTCTTAGAGGAAGGGATTTTCAGACTGCAAGTGTTTCATCTATTGATATTGGAATTCCATTTCAGAAATTAAACACTGGTATTAAGCCACTCTTAGGGCTAATATTTACACTGACACAACTTTAGTTCATCCCTTCACAAAACCTAGTGGATATGTCAAAATCTCAGGAATGTGTTGGAGGAGCTGTTAATATGAGTTCTTTCCATGTTACAGTTTGCTGACCATTGAGGGAGAAATGTCTGAGCTATAATAAATAATAAAAAATAATAAAACTTTATTTATATACCGCTCTATCTCCCTGGGGGGACTCAGGGTGGTTTCCAAACAACAACATCAAAACATACAAAATGTGTTCTTCCCACAAGCTTGAAAAGTTACTTTTGGGATGAGAGAACCTCAGAAACCTCTAGCCAGACTGGAAGCCAGTAAGAAAGAACCATTTGCTTGTACCTCTCACCTTCCTTAGTAATGAAGAAAGGGGCATATGATGTCAGAAGCAGATGGCAGATATGTTTTGAGCATTTTGCACAGTATAGGAACGCAAGTATTTAAGATATGAAGGCTTGTGTGCATGCAATTAAAAACTTTTCATATTTGAAAACTCCTAGACTGTAGTCAAAGCTCCCCTTTGCATCAACCAGCTACATGGCTCACTGCCTTTTGACAAGAAGCAAATCACCAGGGAATACCACTTTGCAAGCCTACTTTGCAATGCCACCTGCGTTCATCTGCAGGTGGTTTACTCAAGAGAAATCCCTGATGGGCTGCCTCAATTTTATTTGTATAAGAGCAGAGTTCCAAGTACTAGAGTTGGGAAATATACGAAAACACAGTCTGCGATAAATCTTAAAGGGCTTGTAGAGTGCAAAAATCTCCGGAGAGATGAAAGTGCTCTTCTCTACCTCTAACTGTGAAAGACACATCCATCAATTTTGTTGTTGTTGCACTTCAACTGTTGTTTTTTTGTTTTGTTTTTCATTAGCACCTCAGAAGGTGCCTAATAAAATGAAAACAACAGTTCTCAGACTTCCATTTGAGGTATGAGTAAGTTAAGGGCAGTGCATTTAGGAAGTGCTATTTCCTTGTAGACCCGGGGTGGGAATCATGCAACCTTTATTTTATTTATTTATTTATTTATTTATTTATTTCACTTACTTATACCCCGCCCTTCTCACCCCGGGGGGGACTCAGGGTGGCTTACAGAGGAGGCACAATTAGATGCCCAAATCAATTGACAAGCAATACAAAATACAAAACAATTCAACAGTTAAATTAAAACATCAACACATAATAAAATAATAAAACAMTCTCATGCTCAGGGTTCAGAGTCCATATATCCATTCCATTCCATTTGTCCTTGTCTATCGTCAGATCCTTAAGTTAGTTGTCARAATRACCAAAGGCTTGGTCCCACACCCAGGTCTTCARTTTTTTCCTRAAYGCCARAAGGGAAGTCGCCGATCTRATCTCCCYGGGGAGTGAGTTCCACAGGTGGGGGGCCACCACTGAGAAGGCCCTGCTCYTCRTCCCCGCCARCCTCACKTGTGMSASTGGCRGGGKYGAGAGCAGRGCCTCCCCAGAAGATCTTAARCTTCGAGRTGGGATGTAGAGGGAGATCCGTTCGGACAAATACACTGGGCCAGAACCGTATAGGGTTTTGTAGGTCAAAACCAGCACTTTGAATTGTGCTCGGAATTGGATCGGCAGCCAGTGGAACTGACGCAACAGGGGAGTGGTATGCTCCCTGTACGCCGCTCCGGTGAGCAATCTGGCTGCTTCTCGCTGAACTAGTTGAAGTTTCCGAGCAGTCTTCAAAGGTATCCCATCAGCCCTGGCCAGCAGAGCCAATACTTAAACATCCTGGGAGTTGGAGCATCTGGAGGGTCACATTATTCAAACTCCTGCTGTAGAGAAATGTGTATCTTTCCCCATCACAGTACATGGTCTCCCGTTTATATGCGTTTCCAGGTAAATATGATCCTTACACAAAAAACAGTAGAAACATTTTTCCACCCTGAGGCCAAATTTACTCGTTGTGACATGCATAAACTACGGAAAGCCTTAGGGATGCATGGGCCACCATTTTCTTTTCCCTCATGCTACAAGGGAAGGGGGACAATGCTGTTGCTGAAGTTCTAGGACTTAGAGATGCTATTTGTCAATCACTGGCATTCACTCAACAAGCCAGCTTCATGATCCATAGTGTAAATTGTCTTTTTTGGGAAACTGCAATATAATCTGGATTATATTGCAGTGTAGAAGGTGCCTGTGTGCACATGTAATGGCACATACTAAAATCTAATTTTAATTTTTGGATTGCTTAGTGTTGTTTTAATTTTTGTGTCATTCAAATTTTTAGCAATGTGTTTTTCATTTTCGTAAGTCACGTTGAGTCCTGAATTGGGAGAAAAAGGTGGGATGTAAAATAAATATAACAACAACCACAATAATAACTACTAAGGACAGAGGGACTCTGGTTACCTAGGGGGGAAACTGATGTATTTGCATGTATAATCCTTACTTTTCTCAATCAAGTTCAGAGGGTAGTTTTTCAGCTCTTTACTATTACTCCTATTTTATTTAGGTCCTAATTGCTGCTTTTGCAACGTCAGGATATGCCTCCACTTATTACAGAGCTGGAAGCAAGCCCTTTAACCCTGTCCTTGGTGAGACTTATGAGTGTATTAGGGAAGACAAAGGATTTCGATTTTTCTCAGAGCAGGTAAAACCCATTCCAAAATTAGCCTTTACATGAAATTATGACTCCTGTGATTTCCTTTTTTTTTTAATTGAGGCATTTTGTATTGATTTATGAATGTTTTCTGATATAAATGTAAATATTTATTTTTAAAGCATGAATTAAAGTATTTTATACATTAGATAAAATTTAAGACTCCAAAGCTTAATCCAGTTTTTATTCAAATATTTTACATAGTTGCATATATATTTTCTTATGTAAGGATGATAACAGTATGAAAGTCTTCTGAATCTTTTTGTACAATTCCTCGCCACCGTAATTTTTTCTTTACAGGTTAGCCACCACCCACCTATTTCTGCCTGTCACTGTGAATCAAAGAATTTTGTGTTTTGGCAAGGTATACATTTTAATTTACACGCCTACAGATCAAATTTAATTAAAGAGAAACAAAGCCTTATATTATAATTTAGTGTGTTGGATTTTGTAAAACAATTAGCTCTAGATAACTGTGACATCTACTGTATATAGGTCTTTCATGCTTTACAACAAGAAGAATGAGCTTACAATTTTCTGTCTTCAGAATACTGTAATTATTTTTCAGAACAGGGTTGAATTAGAGCATTTGCTAATGTACAAGACAGAGATCACTTCATTTCTAGAGAACTACAGTAATATGTAGAACAGATTTCTAAATCTCTGTTCTGCTCTTCAGATATCAGGTGGAAAAACAAATTCTGGGGCAAATCGATGGAAATCCTGCCAATTGGAACCCTGAATGTAATACTTCCCAAGTAAGTGGTTCTTTGTTCTTTCATTTTTATCCTTTAATTTGTATCCGGGTATGTCTGGTTTTAGGTTTACATGCAGGAAAAGCACTCCTGGCAGATGGCCATCCAACCTCTGTTTGAAAGCCTCAAAAGAAGAGCTTCCACTACACTCTGAAAAAGAGAGTTCTAGTGTTGAACAGCTCTCACAGTCAGGAAGTTCTTCCTAATATTCAATTGGAATCTCTTTTCCTGTCATTTGAATCCATTGCTCTGAGCTGTAGTCTCCAGGGCAGCAGTAAACAAGCCTGCTCTCTCTTCCTTATGATGGCCTGTGAATGTAAGGATAAGAAGCATCTTATTCAGTGTCAGGTGTTACATTGATGTGAACTCTCCAAAGTGTCAGGAATGTGCTTGGCCCTTGTATCGGTAGTCCACGCTCTGGTTACATCCCGCCTTGACTACTGCAACGCTCTCTACGTGGGGTTGCCTTTGAAGACGGCTCGGAAGCTCCAACTAGTCCAACGGGCGGCAGCCATGGTACTAACAGGAGCAGGGCGCAGGGAGCATACAACTCCTCTGCTGTACCAGCTCCACTGGCTGCCGATTAGCTACCGGACCCAATTCAAAGTGCTGGCATTGGCCTTTAAAGCCCTAAACGGTTCTGGCCCAACATATCTATCCGAACGTATCTCAGCCTATCAGCCCACCAGGACCCTAAGATCTTCTGGAGAGTCCCTGCTCTCTGTCCCTCCGGCTTCAGAAGTGCGGCTGGCGGGAACGAGAGACAGGGCCTTCTCTGTGGTGGCCCCTCGGCTTTGGAATGCCCTCCCTATAGAGATAAGATCAGCTCCCTCGCTGTTGGTATTTCGAAAAAAACTTAAGACATGGATGTTTGAACAAGCATTCGGGTAATCCGGTGCGATGAAGTTGATGACAAGGACTGGTAATTATTGACGATGAATTCGGATTATGATTTTAACTAAGAGATGCATTGGTCGGTATTGGTGGCCCGATACTGTGTAATGTATATGTTTTTTATGCTTTTAAATTGTTTGATTATTGTTGTTTTTAAGTACTGTTAACCGCAATGAGTCGCCGTTGTAGGCTGAGATATTGCGGTATATAAGCATACAAAATAAATAAAATAAATAAATAATTGTATCAGGGATACTAGCAACACTTTTTTCCAGCTCATCATTCTGCATGGTGTTCGTCATGCAGTGTCTACATAGGCCGCAAATTAAGTCGCAAGTTTCTACTGGGCATCCACATGATGTTTAAAGACTTTCAGCCCCTAATATGGAGTAAAACTAGTTAACATAATTTTACCCCACGTTAGCAGAAGTCAAAGAATGCTCCAGAATTGAAACTCAAGAAGAACCATGGAGTTGATATGAACAGTTGGGCAGGTTCGAATTCCAAATGTTCACATGGGCCAGTGTGGCCATCCTGTTTTACTTGCACTCTGTAGTACAGAAAAAGGAGGTCGCACTTATTTTTAATTGTTTGTTGCTGCTGCAGCAACCATAAAGCTCTAGAAAGCTCATGGCTATTGCAGGGCAGCTTTCCTGATGTCAGCAAAGTTGCCTGCATGACCTGCGGAAAGGATGGAGATCACCCTTCTTTTCACCAGCCAACTTTGATGTCAGCAAAGGTGACCGGTGATGACTCAAAGCCCTCCGGATCTCTGTTTATCTCCGTTACAGTGATAAACAACAGAAAAGATAAGGGTGGCCGTCCAGCAGGGCCACCTGACTAGATGGTCAGGGCTCTGCTCTTGCTGCTGCCACAGTTTGGGAGTGAAGCATGTAAACACTCTGCAGAAACTGGGGTCAAGCTGAAGCAACAATGTGCAGACCAGCCCTGGATTTAGATGCCCATGTAGATGTGTCCTTTGTGGTTAATCACCTGATTCTAGAGTTTAGGTATGCCATTCAGTTTAATTCATCCAGAACCAAAATTATGGTGGAATTAATAGAATTATTAACTATAAAAAAAGATTCAAAGCTTTGGCCCACTACAAAACTCACTGTTTGTAAATTTGGACAACTCACTGTTTCTTCCAACTTCATAGGATTGGGAGGAATAGATAACAGGTTTGTTATAATATTGTATGGAATATATGAAAGCAGGAAAACTCATTTGGTGTCCAATTAAAATGTAGTTCTGGCACAGTTGTTTACAATCCAAACTGAATATTCTGCAGAGCTTTGTGATTTTTTTCACAACTCCTCAGTGGAATAAATTTTATCCCTATCAAATACCAATGAGAGTGTGTAAGAACTGGCCCTAACTTATTGAGGTCCAAGGTATTTAAAGGACTGTTCGGTCAGTTTCTTTCTATGCTAGACCACCTGCAACTGCATTCATCTTCAGAAGTTTAAAGTATAAATGGAAACCAGACGTTGGGAATTTTTTTAACATCAGCACCCAAAGTATGGAATCCCCCCATGCGTATGTGCCAGCCATTCACATATCTATGTTTAAACCCAATGGGATAATGTTTACACTTCTGACTGTTGCATTCAACTCTTTTCTCTGTGTTATTTTGTTATACTATTTGTGGTCAAGTTGTTGTAAGGCATTTTTGTAGGCTGAAACAGTGGTGGAAAGGTGGGTTATAAATACACAATCATATTTATTTATTTATTTGTTTGTTTGTTTACGACATTTATATGCCATTTATCATAGGGACCATCGTATTCTTCTTTACATGAATTTCAGGATTGAAAAGGTAGTTTAATTTGCAGTTGAAGCCTAACTGTTCAACTTAATATTCCTTCCAGGTATGGTGATTGCTATGTATGGAACAAAGTCACTACTTGTATACACAACATCCTCAGTGGAAGGAGATGGATAGAGCATTACGGGGAAATAACCATCAGGAACACAAAGAGTGGTATCTGTATATGTAAACTCACTTTTATGAAGGTAACTTTTTAATGATCCCCATTGTGATCAGTGACACAGCTATTTATTTGATGGAAATCTCAAACACAACCCTTTCTGGAGCACATAAGATATCCAGCAAGTTAATTAACTGGCTGAGATTGATGGATATACTTGTAGTTAAAACAAGTGCTTTAATGTGAGAAATCAATCTTGTCCCTGGTCATTAGCTTCTAGCACAAACAGTATAGTCATATAGTTGAAATTTATATGTTATCCTACATAGGCTGCAGATATGGAAGCTTCCAATGCAATTTTTAGGAATGAAAAGAATATTTGAAAATATTTGAGAAAAAGTTGAAAAAAGATGCTTTTCAAGAGTTGATAGACCCTGAAGAGAAGAATCTGGAACTAATGACAATTCATTTTAGCAATTGCGGTGCATAAAATTCACATGTGGTTGATTTACCCAGGAATCAGCATTTTCTCTGAAGTAAATAATATTTCTATGCAGAAAAAATAATTTTTACAGCATACACATAAATACTTTCTGTTTGGGAAAAACTATTTCCTGCACAGGAAATTTTGTAATTGAGAGATTATTCTGTGCAAACTTTATATAGAACTGATTTGCACATGGCATTTTCTCTGCAGGAAACCGCTTTTTTCTATGCCGAAATCTTTTTCCATGTAAAAAAAAAAACACCTGGTTTTAGCTCAAGAAAAAAACAAACAGTTTTCTGCACAATTGTAAATTTTGCACAGAAGTCCTAAATTGTGAATTGGTTTTAAAAATTGGTTTTCAAAGACCTTCTCAAAGTAGGAGGAAAATTGCTAAAAATTTTCATTGCTTGCTTTGGAAAAAAAAGCCCTGAACAAATACATGACTAACAATTCGACAATTATGAAATGACTATTAATAGATCCTGTTTTAGAAGAGGAAACAAAGAGATCTTTTAAGATTTTCTGTTTTTAAAAGAGATTTATTTTGGGAATCAGCAGAATCAAAAATGTAGTTTTGGTGGCAGCTGCTGGCAATATGAATCATCAACAAGGTTCTGTCAAATAATCTTAAGACTGGCAGCTGAAACCATTTCATTTTCAGTCTTGGGTCTTCGAAACTTCCTCACTCTTCCTCCTTTTTCCAAACATTTGTTACTTTTGATGGCCATGGCTGACAATTATTTCTTCAAGATTTATTAGTTTATTGACCGAAACTCATGCAGTTAACCAACCAGTTTCTTTAATTAGGCAGGTGTTCTACCATCAGAGATCAAAATGTATTTCAAGGATTTTATGTCTCTTGATAGAAATCATGAGGGGAAACATATTAATACACAGATCTTCTGTTTTGTCATAGATAGTATAGCTCAGAGCTCGGTATTTATGGTTCCAAGTGCTAACTCAGGCTAGACTCAGCAGCCCAATTACATACAGCTTAATGAACTAAATTATAGTTCATTTGGGACTGCCTATGAAGAGATTGGCACTATTTATTTGTGGCCCAGTTTACTCCTCTTCTAGCAATTGATTAGTGCTGTACAACTTTAAGATAGTGATATAAATTTACAATTTAGTAGGGCTGCACTGGTTGAATATTAGTGATGTGACTATGTGAGGAGAGGAGGGCATTGATCTAAAATAAGAATGTTACACACACATCGATAAAACATTCCTCCAGTTTCCTAATCTCTAGCATTGTAGAGAGTGAGACATACTGACAATAATTTAGACTTAGAAATTTGTATTTTAATATGTTTCCAGGTGAATTACTGGAATTCGAATGTAAATGAAGTTCATGGTGTCATCATGGATCAAGAAGGAAAGGTGGTGCATCGCCTCTTTGGAAAGTGGCATGAAGGACTATATTGTGGCGTTGGGCCTTCGGCAAAATGTATATGGCGGCCAGGTAAAAACAATATATTGTTTAAGTGACTGAGGACCCATCCACGCAGTCATATAACCCAGAATATCAAGGTCGAAAATCCCCCATTATCTGCTTTGAATTGGAATATATGGCAGTGTGGACTAAGATAACCCAGTTCAAAGCAGATATTGTGATTTTTTTGCCTTGATATTCTGGGTTATATGGCTGTGTGGAAGGGCCCTAAGTTTACTGGAGATAAATAGACTTGATTTAATTTGTGTTGTCACCATGTAAAATCTGGAGAGGTTCTAGATATTCTTGAGGGGCTTTTCTTAGTTGCTTCATGCTCACTTGTGGTTTTTTTTCCCCATTATCAGTCTGGCAAAGAAGACATGATGTAATTTGAATGTGTTTAGAGCAGAGGTCCCCAAACTAAGGCCTATGGGCCAGATGCGACTCTCCAAGGTCATTTACCAGGCTGAATCCCTGTATGGACCTCACAGCTATCTCCTTTAGGCAAGCTGGAATTCTGCCTTGTTCTAAGATGGCATTGACCACAACTTTCACCCACTTGTAAAGAAGAGTTTCGAAAAATGGCTTTTTAGCCTATAACATCCACAATTTCCTATGATGTGATTGCTTTATCATTTCCAGGGGCCACTCAAGGACATATTATAGATCAGATCTTGCTCCATCTGCTGTTTTAGAGCCATGTCAGGCAATAGTGTTGGTCTTCCTTGGACAGTGACGGCAAGGTGTTTGATGAATGTATGTGTCACTCTCACAGAGATGTTATGACAAGCTACAAGTTGTTCTTTTCCCTTTGGCAGCTTCTTTTGCATGCAGAATTTTCCTTTTTTTTTTCCTCACAAAGATTAACAACTAACTTTATCTTACCTATTAATGTAGGCTCGATGCCAACCAACTATGAGCGTTATTATGGCTTTACAAGGTTTGCCATTGAGCTGAATGAGTTAGATCCTGCCTTGAAAGACCTCCTTCCAAGAACAGATGCACGATTCCGGCCAGATCAAAGGCAAGAATCATGCTGCTTGTCTAATGTCTGTGGCTGCTTTAGAGGAGAGATGATAAAGGAGCAGGGATGCCACATTTGATGCATTGATTCATTGCATGAATTGCCTAAAAGGGTTTGATAAGCTCAAAAGGCAGAGCTAGTTTAATATTAGTTTTTAAATTAGAAACACTGCAGAAAGCAGGTGGTATCTTAGAACAGCCATCCTTTCTTTAATACACACATAAATGATGGAATGTGTATTTTAAAATGGTGTTTGTCTTTACCCGTTGTTGCATATTTTAAAAGCAATCAAACCATGGTAGTTTTTTTCAGAATTTTTGAGTTTCCTCATATGCACTTGTGTTGGTTTGGTTGATGACTTAATTTACAAATAATGCACTAATAATGTATTAATCGATTAAGATGGCTTTCGCTGGGTGTCAGTTTCTCACAGAATTGTCAGGAATATGCAATTTTAAAGACTGTTTAGCTGCATCTCCATTTTTTTTTTGTTTTTCCGCTGCATGAATGTGGGCTCAACTAAAATTATAGCATTCTTTCATTGTAGGTTCTTGGAAGAGGGGCATTTAGAAGCAGCGGCCACAGAAAAACAAAGAATAGAGGAACTCCAGAGAAACCGGAGGCGCTACTTAGAAGAAAATCATATGGAACACATACCAAAATTTTTTAAGTATGTAAATTACTTCTTGCTACAAATAAATCTACAGCTGAGTAATAGAGTAGGAAAGCTTAAGCAGATTACTTATTCTTAGTAGCAGAAATAGAAAAGGGATAGCACATTCATTTGATCAAAATTAATAACATTAATCAATAAAATGCTAAAAAATATACCACATTTCACCGCGTAATAGTCACCTCCGCATAATAGTTTGGGGTCCCGAAATTAAAATTGGTGTCTTGCCTTTTCTCCCTTAATCCTCGCATTAAAGCTGGCTACATCTGGGACTTTCTCTCTGAGAAGGGAGGAAGGAGAAGACCTAGATGGCTCCATTTGTATTTCCTTTTTAAAACTGTATTACTGAGGAGGCTGGGTCTGTGACTTTCATTTCTTCCTCCTGCCTCCTTGGAAGTAAGAGAGAGAAAACCCCAGACCTAGTCAGCTCTGCACATTTTTTTTCTTTCCATAATGGGCATAATTCTGAAGGAAAAAAGGGATTAAAAGTACAACTATTACTTGGTGAATGGCAATTCGCTTATTGGAGATATAGCTATGTAATTCTGCATCAGATTGATGAGGTATACTGAGTGTACAAAGGCTCTAACCATTGACCTCAAAGGTGCTGAAATACTCCTTTGTAATTATGTTTACATTGAAAGGGAAATATTTTTCACAAGTGGATTAATTTTAAAACTGTGTTTAAATTTATGTTACAACAAAACACTAAAATTTACAACAACACCCCATCTATGATTTTATTCTTCCTCTGCCATTATCCTTTAGATTAGTGGTTCTCAAGCTGTGGTTCCCCAGCTGTTTTGTCCTACAACTCCCAGAAATCCCAGTCAGTTTACCAGCTGTTAGGATTTCTGGGAGTTGAAGGCCAAAACATCTGGGGACCCACAGGGTGAAAACCACTGCTTTAGAAGGAGGGCAGCTGCATGGATTTTTGACAATCCTATTGGTCATTCATTTCACCCACTCCAGCAAAAATCCTTCTTTTAGCCCTCTTGTCCACTTATAATGTCATTTCCTTACTTCCACAGGTTTTTTAAAGATTGATTTCCATGTAAATACTAGTCTTCTTCTTTCTAAGCTATTTTCCCAATGGAGGGGTTAGAATTGTGACTGTTGTTTCCACAGGGTTTTGTTTTGGGCACCCTCAGTACTAGTAATAGTCCTATATTTAGGAACTTTGGAAATCATTTTGTTATGACAGATGCCATGTCTAATGCAGAACACAGCAGGACCATCTGGGTGCCAAGAAGAGCACTGCACATCCAAGCTGCGCTTACTACTTTTTATCTTAAACCATCTCGAGCTTGGAATTAGTTATCATATTCTGATTATTAAAAAAAGAGAAACATAGATGATAGTGAACTCAATAATGAGGTACACTTGCATATATGGTTCGTAGTATTTTCATCCCTATTGGATGGAGTGAGGTATGTTATCAGGCATGAGTATATGCCTCTTTTATAAAAGTTAAAGTACAGTCTTTACATCAGTGGTTCCCAATCTTTTTTTGACCAGGAGCCACTTGATCAGGGACCACTTTGACCAGGGACCACTCTCCAACATTAGTACCAAAAGGGTTACGAACTAGTTTTTGGTGAACTTCAGATTTGGTTTGGTTATTTGGGGTGCTGACTTAGAAAATTGCATTGGATAGACCACATCAGCTCTAGTTTCCGATACAGAACATCTGCCATCCAGTCGTCATTTGCTCACCCACAGAAAACGATATTTAATATGCCTCAGCAATATAAGATGGTTTCATGAGACCAGTTGCTCTTGTTGCAATGGTGTAGTAACGGTGAGTCTGCGGACCATATTTTAGTTATTGTGGAACACTGGTGGTCCATGGACTACAGGTTGGGAACCACTGATTTACATTGACCTGTTGATAAATTGACCTATGTTGATTTTTTTACTAAATTTACTAGACTTATACATGAGTATATAGAGTTACTGATGTTAAGGAATGTATTACATCTCACTACATAAAGTGGGAGCTTTTCAAAAAGGAAACAATATTACAGAGGAAGATACAAATTAAATGTATTATTTGGTAAAGGAGGTATTTCTCAGAACATTTTGGACCAACCGTTATTATGATGCAGATTCTTAGAATCGGTTAAGCTTATGTTTAATTTGTTGTGATACGAACAATTGGATTCAGTTCATTAGTGCCTTGGGCATGCAAAAGCTGCCTTGCACAATTGTATTGCTGCCCATAATAAAGAACTTCACAAATCAGCATTTTTTAGCCTTGAGTACCGAACTGGAAAAGAGAACTTTATCTTTGTCATCATCATAATCAATATCATCATCATCATGGTTCTTTTCTAGTTTGATATTCAAAGAGAAGCTGGGGCTGGCAGGGTTGTGTATATGCCACAAAACAAAAATGCTGTTTTCCTTGTAGAGCCTCAATCTAGTCGCTAAAACAATCTAGACTCTAGTTCCTTTCTCCTTACCACTAAGACCCTTTCTACACAACTGTATAAATCCAGATTATCTGCTTTGAACTGGACTATATGGCAGTGTAGATTCATATAATCCACCTGAAAGCAGATTATGTGGATTATCTGCCTTGATTTTCTGGATTATATGGCAGTGTAGAAGGGTCCTAAGTGATAATTAAGACCAATTTTGTTTTTGGTTTAAAAAAAAAGTTTTCCAGGCAGTATTTTAGTAGGGTTATAGTTTGATTCCTTTTAAAGGAATTTTTGGATGTATTTTGCCTCATACTAATTGTTCTCTTTTACATTTACAGAAAAGTTATCGATGCCAATCAAAGAGAAGCCTGGGTTTCTAATGACACGTATTGGGAACTCCGAAAGGATCCTGGCTTTAGTAAAATAGAAACCCTCAAACTCTGGTAAACTGAGAATGTAGATCTAGTAACATATCACTCTTTAAAGGAAAAGGAAAAAAAACTATGCACATGTTTCTTATAGCTAAGGGTGGTTTGTGGGTCTGCAGGAAACCTTTCATTTGCTTTTATATTCATCTTTATAATGGACCTCCAAAAGTGCATTATCCCACACCCCAAACATTTCTGCAGCAGTCATTAAATAAAACACCCCTTAAAGATTCAGACACGGAAAATGCAGCACAAGAGAAGCACGTACTGAGTTAGCCAAAGATGCTTTGAAGAGTATCTGGTGCTTAAAATAGACATGGAATTCCAAAACAAAGCAAGTTCTGTGTTAACAAACTTGTCTAGAATGTCTACACCTGCAGTTTTTGAACCTTGAATCACACTCCTTATTCATTTCCAGCTTCAGGTTAGTTCCCTCATGTGATGTGCTTGGACTGGCCATGTCGAAAAAGACATAATGCTTTTTCTGGAAGCTCTTCCCACTCATATGCCATGGTTCATGCCTTAAAAAAACAATGTGAAGTTGTACATGGTCATTTTAACATATGTATTCTTAAGCAGTCAGAATTTTTAAAGCACCAGGGTTTTGTTCATATTATAAATAATGAAGAAGAAGTAATATCTGAAAGAGAGCAAACCCTAAATGGATGGCGAAGAAAAGTGATGTATTGGTATATGTTTGAACATCGTGGGACTTCGTCACGCTGGGGGAAAAAAGCTGGCTAATTTTGTAACAAATGAATCCGAGGTCACATTCTCAATGCCTAATGCTGTGAAAATACACCATCTCTTCCCATCACTTCTCATGGTTTCACACTTTGTTTCATTCTCTCATACGTCTTATTACAGTTGGAATTCCTTGAAGATTGCATGAGTGTCAAGCACAAAAAAAAAAGATGTCAGAAAAGTGTCTGGCTTCTCACTTGGAAGTGAAGGATTGTCCTGATAATTTAGGTTTATTTGAGTGTGTGTGTGTGTGTGTTCATTCATGTTGTGTTATAAGCATGATATACTTCAGTTGCAAGTCTGGGAAAGGCAGTGTGGCTCACATAGTAGTTTCTTGGTCACACCTTGCTAATACGTTTTTATGCAAAATTATATTTTACCGGTTTCCATAAAGCAATTATATTTTTGGATGAAGAAGCAAAACCTAAATGGCTGCTGAGTGGCACATTTTTGATGCATAAGTGGAAAGAGCTAGGTGACTTCTCTCTCAAAGTGAAGTTGGTATGCTTTGTTAGTCAATATTATTAGATTTTTTAAAAAACCTGAATGCTTTTTAATGTAATCTTGTCTTTAATTCATGCTCAGTTTATTAACTGGGTTCTAACTCCATTTCTTGGGCACTGATGACAGAAAAGATGTCCTTGTATATATTTCATAATGAATATTTCTATATGTACATGGCACATAAGACTATACATACTTTATTTTATCCTTTATATAGCACTTCCTATAAATAAATTATTGGTGGGCTTCCATAGACACATAGAGATGGCTAGTTTGTACTATATTTCCCAAAAGTAAATTACTTATATATGCTATTTGGTACTTTCCCCTCCCACTAACCCATCCTTTTCTGTTTTGTATTTCTTAAGGAACTGGCCATTTAAGAACTATGGTTCTTCCCTTACATTATTCCTGCCTCACGGGATATATAGTGTTGTATGGGCATTAAACAACTGAGCCACAATTTCTCTCTGAGCTTCCTTTTGTTGCTCAGTATCTGAGGATGCTTTCAGACAAAGCTGTTCTACCTTTCACACATTTTATGGGGCCTCCATGCAACCTAGTCTTTTGTTTGCAATTCCCCTCACAAAATATGGTTTCTGGCCCTTTTTTAAGCAGAGGGGGGAAGAAATACAAAGTAGTTTTGCAGTATTTTTTGAATGATGGCACCAGGAAGCACCTTCTCACCTTGAAGCACTCCAAGGGCATTGAAGAATATCAGCTTTTCAAATCCATCTTAGCAAAAATTCCACTAACATTTCAACTTTCAACTTTCTATTTCCTAAAGAGAGGTATTCAAATGGTTGGGGCTTAAAGTGTGAATGTAAACTCTTTTAGGGGCATAGCATGGGACTATTTTGACTTTTTCGATCTATCAGTATCTCCAGTCTCCAAAGTTACAATAGTTCATGTTTTGTGCATTTGCTGATTTCAGTCCTTCCTTTCCATTATCCAAATACATTCAAGCTGTCTATTATTATTATTATTATTATTATTATTATTATTATTATTATTACCCACTTTATCTCTCTCTTTAAAAAGACCCAAAGCAGTTAATGCCACTATAAACAATACAATTTAGAGAAAACAGTAGGTTTGCTTGAAATGTCAACAGATAAAGCAAAACAGAAGGTAGAAACTAATGTTCCCAGATCAGTTATCTGCTTTGGAAGCAGAATTGACCTTTCTTTCCTGGGGCAAATCTTGGGGCATGGTAGATGGTGGAGAAACAGTTTTGCAAGTTTGCAACAGACACTGACTGTTGGGAAAAGGAAACTAATTGGTTGGAGTCCATTAAATTATTGGGCAACAGAAGAGAGCATTTAGGTGCAATTTTTTAATGGGAACAAGTGGTCGGGAGCACATTCCTCCAAGGATTCTTGGAGAACTAATGTACCTCCCAACCTTCCCTAGTTTCCCGCTTCTCTGTAAGAGAGAATACTGGGCCCTATTGTATAAGCTCAGTTTCACAGGCTATTGGGTGTTACAGAGTGTAGTTTGGCCCATCCAGGATTGGCATTCTGTTCAAGAATCTAAAAATAAATGAAGCATCGCATATAGCAGGTATGGGCAAACCCAGGCTGGAGGGCTGGATGCAGCCCCTTGGGCTCTTTTCTCAGCCCCTCCCCCTCCCCATCTTATCCTTCCTTCCTTTCTTCTCTCTTTCTTTCCTCCTTCCTTCCTTACCTCCCTCTTTCTCCTTCCATCCTTTCTTCCCTTCCACCCTTTTGTCTTTCCTTCCCTTTTGTCCTTCCTTCCTTCTCTCTTTCCTCTCACCCTCTTTCTCCCTCCCTCCCTCCCTCCCTCCCTCCATTCACTTCCTTCCTTCCTTCCTTCCTTCCTTCCTTCCTTCCTTCCTTCCTTCCTTCCTTCCTTCCTTCCTTCCTTTTTCTTTCCTCCTTTCCACTTGGGGGATGTTTACCTGGGAAAAGAGAATGTAGAGAGTGAACATAAGTACCATATTTCAAGAGTTCAAAGGGTGTCCCATTGAGGAGAAGGGGGAAAGCTGTCTTTCTGCTGCTCTAGAGACCAGCACACAAGAGAGCAATGGGTTCAAATAGCAGGGAAAGAGATTCAACTGAAAATATTATGAAGAACTTCCTGGAGAGTGACATGGGATGCCTGGGAGTGTGGTGGAGTCTCCTTCTCTGGAGGCTTTTCCGTAGAGGCTGTCTATTGGGAGTGCTTTGATTGTGCCTTTCTGCATGGCAGGGGATTGGACTGGATGGCCCTTGGGGGTCTCTTTCAATTCTAGGATTCTATATTAGGAGTAGGCAATATGGGATCTAATGAATACACTTTTTTTCTCCCATCCACCATCTCATCCTGACCAAGACCAACCCTTTTGGTATCCAAATTTTTCTTCACATTCTGCCTTCAAAAGAGAAAAGGAAGGGGGGAGGAAAGGACAGGGAGGGGACTTGGGGAGAACCCTCTCCTTCCTGGCTCATCCACCTTGCTCTGGCCCACCATGCGGCCCCCAAGTTAGAAAGTTTGCCCATGCCTGGACTATAGTGTGGCATGTATCAAGCAGCTTCACTTTTTGTAAATGTGATATTGCTATTCTTGAAATACTCTTGTATGTCTGCTCCTTTTGGCAGCCTCTAAGCTAAAATGGGAAGGACAGAGACAAGATTTCCATGGCCTCTATGCAAGGGTGACACACACACATTTGTAAAGTGTTCATCCTCTTCACACCTGTCATAGCACAGGTCATCCCCATATCCTTATTTTCTTTCTGAGAGAGTTCTTATTGAATTCGCTTTTTATTATAATTTGCAATGTAGACAAAAGCCAGCTCCCAAAGTTATGCATGATAAAAGATGGAAAAACTAAACAGAAAATGCCGCTTTGAGTTTCCTTCAGGAGAGATAAAACAGAATAATAATAATAATAATAATAATAATAATAATAATAATAGTGATGATTATGATGATGGCAGGAATCTATATAGAAAGTAGTTGTATGTGACTCCAACTGAATACAGGATCTTTGTGCAAAGATAATACATTTGTGTACCCATGCTGCGTAGAACTGCAATGTGTGTGTTTGCATACATGCAGGATGCTTACATTGCAGATGGGCACATGGTTGATCCTGGAATGATATTGCTGTGACCGCCACTTGCAAATACATCCAGTAAATCAGTCTTAATAGAAATGGGGCAGAAGAATTACCATTTAGTTCTCAATTTAGAATCAGTCCTGAAATTAATTACACCTACCCCCTTTCTCGGTCTTTCCCCCTAACCTCAGAAGTGATCATTTATTTACTTTCTGTATTAGCATCTAACTCTGCTTCACTGGGATTTTACAGCCATTTCTGGTAGATAATTATGGTTTATGGGTGGGCTGGGAAAAGGTGTTTGAGGTTCATACAACAGACATGAGCTAATCTAGGCTCCTTCCCTCCTCCATACTTGGGACACTTGGGGTCTTATGAATAACTCCATCACAGATTGTTTCTGCAATAGCCCTCAGTTTCAAAAAGTACCTTGCTAGGAGATACCAGAGACTGGGCTGCTGTTGCGACAAGGAAGCTGCTAATCCTTCGCTCAGAGCTTTCCAAACATTTCATGTTGGTGACACATTTTTTTGGAGATGCATCATTTTACAACACAGTCTTTCGGTTTTACTAGCAACCAACCTCTTATAAGACAGTGTTTCTCAACCTTCCTATTGCCACGACCCCTTAATACAGAGCCTCATGTTGTAGTGACCCCCAACCATAAGATAATTATTGTTGCTACTTCCTAATGGTAATTGTGTTACTGTTATGAATCATAATGAAGATATCTGAAATGCAAGATGAATTTTCATTCACTAGACCAAATTTGGCACAAATACCCAATAACAGAGCTCCATGCAGCACCAACCCCCAGAATTGGACATGGCTGGACTTAATGTCAGGGGAAAACTTTTACCTTACCTTACCTTATATGTCAAATTTCAATACTGATGGGGTTGAAGGGAGAATTGATTTTGTCATTTGGGAATGGTAGTTGCTGTGATTTATAGTTCACCTAAAATCAAAGAGCATTCTGAACTCCACCAACGATTGAATTTAACCAAACTTGGCACACAGAAGTCCCATGACCAACAGAAAATACTGGAAGGGTTTGGTGGGCACTGACCTTGAGTTTGGGAGTTGTAGTTCACCTAGATCCAGAGAGCACTGTGGGCTCAAACAATGATGGATCTGGACCTAACTTGGCACAAATACTCAATATGCCCAAATGTGGCGTTTGGGGAAAATAGATCTTGACATTTGTTGTAGTTGCTGGGATTTATAGTTCACCTACCATCAAAGAGCATTCTGAACCCCATCAATGATAGAATTGGTCCAAACCTCCCACTCAGAACCCCCATGACCAACACTGTGTTTTCTGATGGTGTTTGGCGACCCCTCTAACACCCCCTCGCGACCCCCAGGTTGAGAACCACTGTTATAAGAGATACAGACACATGCTGAAATTGCAATAACGAAATATATGAGGAAATAACATGTCTCATGAACACCTTTCATTTATATATTTTTAAAATTTTGTTGCTTATTTCACATAGACCCAGAAGTTTTTTGTTACATTCGTGTGACACATCTGCATACTGCAGCTGACACACTAACATGTCGCAACACAGAGTTTGGAAAGCTCTGCATTAGCTTCACTGAGTTGTTTTTGTTCAGTGTGGCATGTCACTGAATCTCCTGCTTTTTAACATGCTAAATTAAGCCTAGACAGCGTATATAGTGTTTATGCAAGAGGAACGAATTAACCATGCTGCGGGTCATGGATTTCAATGGGGCAAGGTAGATGCACATCATTTGCTGTGGATTTTATCTGGATCAATTTTACACAAGTGGACCTTTCACACTATGCATTTATAGCACTGTGATTCCACCATGGAGTTCTGTGGCTATGTGCACCATCCAAAATTTAGATCCCTGCGTTTGATTTGAAAGAACTCAGCTACAATGGTATGATTCCACTTTAACTGCCATGGTGATATCCCAAGGAATTCCAGGTTTTGTAGTTTGGTGAGCTCATTGGCAGAGGATTCGAAGTCCACTTCGCTAAACTGAAATTCCCAGGCTTCCATTGGATAGAACTATGGCAGTTTAGTTGGTCTCTTAGCACTCCACTTGTATAGTGTGAACGGGCTCATAGTCTCATTGGTGTGGCTGTTGCCAATAAAATGTTTCCTTCTTTGCATTGGATGCCCAAGTGGCAGAGTGTTTCTCACAGCAATGCCCCATCCGCACTGGGAATGTTGATGCTGCAAACTGAGCACTAACAATGGATCGGTGCTTTTATATTTTACCATTGCAAGATGGTAGCAAGCTCTGGGACAGCACTTTTGCAGCATCTGCAGAGGTGACATGTAAATTTGGCCTCAGAATTAGAGATTTATTTTCTTTCATTTAATTTTAAAGGTTTTCCAATATACCCTTCAAAATGAATGTTTTAAAAACAGAAATAAATAGAAGCAGAACAAACACCAGTTACCAAAACATTTATAGTAAAATAGCATTTAAAACTGAAAACTACAGAGTTCACTTTAAGGGGAACAATATGCATCCTATCTGGCAGAAATCGACCTACCGTGTATTTCTGCAAATGATCGATCTCATATGATGGAGACTTTTCTTTATTAAATTTCCAGATTGGAAAATTGCACTCTTCTCTGCTCTGAGCCTGTTCCCTCTCCTTCAAGTTTCCGCAAAAGCTCAAGAAGACCTAGTTTGTATGATTTGCTTCTTTGTTAAAATGCTGCTTATTCGCTGAAAGGCGCTGTATCTAACAACGGCCCACTCAGGCCCCTTTTACTGACCTCAGTTATATCCACGTGTTTAGTTTTTTGAAGTAGATTTTGTCCCTCTCTTCTGTAAGTCCAGTAAAGCTCATCGGGCAGATTTGGGAAACAGTTATCCCTGCAGAATTGAGGAGAGGCAGGGGTTCAGCCTTGGAAAAGTGTCGAAATTGGCAGGATCCCTAAAACTGGGCTTCGCAGCATGCAGAAAGCCTCCAAGTCTCTCGTACTTCTACATGCTTGGCTTGCAACCGCAACCTTAGTTTGGGCCTGGTGTGCTGATGCAAAAGATTATTTCCACAAAGAATTTTTCTAAAGGTCTGCAACAGTTCTCCAGTCTAAAATAAAACATCTGAATCCTGTGTGGCCCCCAAGTTAAAGTTTGAAGTAAATGCAGATTTGTGGATGTGGATGCAGAAAGTTTCCTTGCTGTTGCATACAAGTACTGGGTGAATAAAGACTAATCCACATGTTTAGGTTAATCAATTTCCTTTCCGCCATTATGGTGTTTCTCAGAATGGTGCCAGTTTGGAGACTGGAACAATTCAGTTATCTCTGTGGGCTGTTGAGTGAAACCAACTGTTAATAAAAAGCAATGATATTTGTCTGTTTCCTTCTGTAGACTATGAATTGTATCCTCAGTTCTTTGTTTCCCATTTCCTACACAAATTAACCACTGAATTGCTTCAATGCAAAACAACCTTTTGTTGATTTATTTGTTTGCCAGTGAACTAATGTGAAGAAAGGTATACATATTATGCCTTAAAGATAATAGCTGAGCTTGGTTTTGAAATTCTGTTTGTTCTAAGAGAGGGAAAAAAAATTGTTCAATGATGCACAATATTTTGTTTTACTCATTTCCAAAAACGTGTGCTGAAAGAACCATGTTGAAACTGAATTGTCTTTACAACCTCAACACACCCTAGACTGAATTCAGTAAATGTTCAGTTCCCTATGTTTAGCAAGCCCTGTAAAACCTAACCACAGCTTCCTGGTTTGTATCCTGTGGCTGCAATTGGAAAAAAGTGACATTCAGAACCGAAGAGCTTGTGTGTGAATCTGAAACATCGTTTCCACTGGTTCCACTGCCAAAGAAACAAGCCATTGCTCACTTGCAAAAGTGTCCCGCTTTCCCCCCCTTTGTCAGTGGGAGCTGTTCTGGCAGCAAATAAATCCGCTGCTTTGGTAACACATGGTTCTGTTCAATATGCGTGTCTCACTTATTTGGATTGTCTGGTACGTTGTGCTACCAAAAAAGCAGGAAAACTGTGCCTCTTCAAATGAATGTTGTACAGAGGAATGTTCCACTTGTAAGAAAATGGGCCTCAATAAATTCACAGCAATTACTTTGTAAAGTCATGTTGATTTTTTGGGGGGAACTGTTTTGATTCACTTTACTGTATTTCCTGTCCTAGCCTTCCTTGAAAGGATGTCACCGTACCCTCTTTCAGTCCTAAAAAATACGCATTAGAAAGGACAGTGACAACAGCCATGGAGATTTCTATCCTGATCTCTTCATTCCAAACACTTTGTTCTGTGTAATGTGTATTGTGCCAGTTTTCTGCAGTGTCAGGGCCCGATGTGATTTGATCCCAAAGCTTTCGAGTCAGCATGTAGATACACACAGCAGCGAGCTGCTTAAATAGCAATACTGGCTTGCATCCAGACTTTCAATACTCCCATAGATGCTCATGACAATGTTAGTCGGGGGGGAAATGCTAGTATCCAATGATTGGAGCTCTTCCCTCTCACAATAAGCTGGTCCTGAAGTTGTTACTATTGGATTTATCTGTGCAAGTGATTGCTCATACAGTGGTCAACAGAAGTGACCAGTGCAACATGTCACATGGGGAGGGAGGAAGCTATTGTTTTTTTGCATTCACTTCAGATTCCTTGGGTGTTCCTGCACATGGATCTGGGATATGACAAAACAAGGCACATTTGGGACTTTCAAGCTGCTGCAAACCCACTGGGGTACATTAGGCCCACCACATTTCCTATTGACTTGACTTGTTGGGAAGTAGAGGCAATCTGAGAGGATCATTCATCTGCTGAAAAAAAGAATTTGTGTAGACTTCTATAGCCACTTCAGCTCAACAGGACAACACCAAAATTGCTACATGACCATTTTGGCTAAGTCTAACAAATAGATATGGATAAATACGTTATCTGGTGATTACAACACTAAATTGTGAAAATTCCCGTAGTGCTTTCCCAAGAACTTGGATGTAGGTTTCTGTTCCCACACAACACTGCAGAATGGAAAACAAATACTGGCATTGTGTTCATAGCATGCATAGGTATAAGCTGAGTCCTACATGTGAAGCTATGTTTTTGGAAAATGTGCACTGGTAACGTCCAGCTAATGATATAAGTGGAATCATGCATGTACTTTTAATGCATAAGTATGCAGAGTAGCATGTTGTCTTCATGCACTACAACTGCCCAGAGTTTGTCAGCCATGCACATTGACCCACATACACATTACATTGGTATTTGGCACAGGGGCTGCTTAAAGGGGAATATTTACACTTTTTTCGTGTCAGGAGCAACTTGAGAAACTGCAAATTGATTCTGGTGTGAGAGAATTGGCAGTCTGCAAAGACATTGCCCAGGGGCTGCCCGAATGTTTTACCATCCTGCGGGAGGCTTCTCTCATGTCCCTGCATGAGAAGCAGGAGCTGACAGATGAGAACTCACCCCATTCCCCAGGTTTGAACTGCCGATCTTTTGGTTAGCAGTCTTGCTGGCACAAGGATTTAACTCATTTAGCCACTGGGGGCTCCTTATATTTACACTGCCATTGAAGTGATGCAGGATCTCAGTCTGCATATGTATATGTGCACCACAGTATTATGGAGCAATGACATTTCTTCCAAAAAAGATGGCTCTACTTGCATTGTTTTGGTGTAACATGAATTTATGAAGTGATCGATGTATATACAAAATGCAACTTCAAAACGAATTGCTGCAATTATTCTTTAAAACAATTTATTAAAGAATTTCTAATAACATAGGTATCTTATGAAAAACGGCAGTGATGTTAATAAAGATATTGTTTCTAGAAAAACACACTCTTCAAACCATAAATTTAAAAAAAGGCCACAGTGCACACAATGAGAGAAATCCAAATACAGGAAAATTAATGCCATGGCCATCACATAAAGCTTTTCAAAAGAGTACTTTTCTTGGGGAGTATCAGATACGAGCAACTTTGGTTTCAAGATCTCATATATGGAGGTTTTCACAAAGTGGCTGGTAAGCTAGCATGTGCGGTGTGAGGGCTCAAAGCTAATTGGTGATACTAGACAATTCGAGACATTTCTATAAATCTGTGCTAAATGCTGCCTCAATTATGACACTAGGAAAAAAACAGAAGTTTTTGTAATCTGTGTCAATCCCAAAGATGTTTCATTTCTGTCACACATTTCCCAATAGAGTTTGATCCAATTCCAAAACTTCATTTTCTTCCTAGGCTTTAATTCTGTCATTAAATACAAGAGGTAGAAAGACATGTAGTTTCAAAGTAAGGACAGTAATGATTCAGCCTGCTAAGCAACCCATATACAGAGTAGTGAGGAATGCTGAGAGTTGTAATCCAATAATACATGAAGGGCATAATTCCTACCTCTATATTAAAGTCAGCATGGAGGGACCAGAATAGGTAGAGATCTGAAATCCTCCTCCTGGCTATTGAGAACTATGCTGAGTACCACAAAAGGCACTATTCTAAACATATTGTTAATTTAGTTGTCTTACTGAATGGCTAAACTGGAGCCAGACCTCTAGGTACCTCCTCCCTGCTAATACCTTATGTTATGATGTCATAACATTCTCATTGTGTTGAGCCCAAAGTGTGATTGTAGTGGAAGATACTGAAGATGGAGGAGTGGCACACATTTGCTTTGCAGCAAGGGTAACTCCTTGGTTAGAGCAGAACCAATACATTTGCTCCACATTTTAGCCAGAACCTAAAAAGAGCTATCCAATGTGCTGAAAATATTTTTGAGACATCTTGGACAACTCATGGAAAGAGCAGACTGAAACCAACTGTGGATTCACCACCTGACATGGATACCACCAGTCACCTAGAACCGGGCCAGCAGATTGTAAGAGTTGTGGGATCTGATTTGTTTTTTTCTTAGAAACCTGAGGTCCACCAACTAGAACCAGGTGCAATATAGTAAGTGAAGACAGGTATAGAATTGCCAATGAAGTGCAGAAATTAATTTTCAGTACTAGAACTGCGCAACAGTATTTTCTGTTTTCTCCCTATCTTGACTTAAGTGACTCAGTTAGGAGAAAAAAAAGGGATTTTTTAAATCACTAGAGTGGTTAAAACAAGAATGAAAGCCCCCTGCTGATCTACTCTGCTACCCTGGAAATCTCTGAGTAGATCTACTTCACACTTCTGGTTTGAAGAAATTCCTACCTTGGTCCTGAGAATTCTAATCCAACAACAAACCCAAGAAAACTAAACCTTGCATTAAGAGATGTAGCTACGAGACACAACTAGGGCACTCTTGCGTTCTACCCCTTCCCCCACTAAAGCCCACCCTTTCTCAGCTGCAGCCCACCTCCCAAACCCACTCATTTCTGGTCAGTGGAGAGCACAGGAAGTTGATGAATGCCCTGCTACCTTTGTCTGGAGGTGTAGCAACAGCTATTCACAGAGGTCTTCCCAAGGTTGCTATGGGTGAAGCCAATGTGCTGGAACCTAACTCTGAGCTGGACCATTATCCACTGAAGGAACAGATTGGTCATTGCTCAGTTGTTAGAAAATTCTGACCTCTGCAGTGACCAAGAAAATGAGATGCAATGGGGAAAGTCGGGCTCGTGTTATCATGATTCACCAATTACAGGATGCCAGCCAAACCCTTTCTCCATGACTGCAGCTCTGCTGGTATCTGTGCTTCCTGAGTCTAGCTATCCAAAATGAAAACCCCACAATTAATTGATTTAAATTATTATTTCCTTCTAACGCATAAATATATATGTGGATTTTGTGATGTGACTTAAAAAAAAAAAACAGCCCCTGGAGTTTGGAAACTGTTCAGCTTAAATAGATAAGGTCCTTTTAAATTATATCTGTTTCTAAATATTTCCTTTTGCTTGAAGCTTATTTCCTCCCAGCCATGATTTTTAAATATTGTAGTGCATTGTGAGCAGCATCGTTGTGAGCATTGCCCCAGGAGATCCCAGTCCCGTGGCAAACTGTGATTGGATGGGTTGAAAGTTCTGCAAGACATTGGAATTGTCCATTCACACTCAGTTCCTCTGAAATGGCAAACATAAATGTTTATTAGTAGAAAATTAGATATTGTTTTCTAAGAGCAATAATTATACAAATACTCTTTTCCAGATACTGTAACTAGGACTGTCTTTCTAAACAGAAAGAGTATGGTCATCTCTCAGAAATATTTTGATGGGAATTTTTGCACTGGTAGCTACTGGGTACATGGCGCTTAGTATAACTCTACAATTCTGTGATTCTAGGCCAGTGGTTCTCCACATGGGGGTCCCCAGATGTTTTGTCCTTCAACTCCCAGAAATCCTAACAGTTGGTAAACTGGCTGGGATTTCTGGGAGTTGTAGGCCAAAACACCTGGGGACCCACAGGTTGAGAACCACTCTTCTGGGACATCAATCCATTTGGGATGCTATTCCAGTTCAGTTGTACTTTGTTTCCTTTGAAACCAAGGTAGCTTCAGTCATGACTAATGTAATCAAAATGGGATCTAGCTGCAACATTCAAATGTTGCAATCCTATACACATGTACTAGAATAAAATCAATTGGCTTTCATTCTGAGTGAAGATGCATAGCATTGCTACTCTGGACTAGGTTCTGTATATATTTTCTAGTTCTACAGGGATCAATAATAATAATAATAATAATAATAAGTACAGAGTTAATCATTGCTTATCTCTAAAGTCTTGTTGAGGAACTACTTTGTCAAAAGACTTCAGCAGGTCAGTATGCTGCAACCTTTGTAAACTGAGTACTGTATAATTCTACAAATACTTTACCTTTCAACCCATTTAATGGTCCAAAAGCTATTCGTTGAATTGTGTTCACAAAAATAACAGACCAAATCTGCAAAAATTGCTTCTTTGGTGCTACTAGCATTATGTGTCTGGGGATCCTGGCCAAGATCATAGATCAAGTAGGCCAAGCATTTGTGCTCCATCTACACAGTTCCATGTCCTCTGCCTGCTCCATGAGGGGCTGCTATTATTCCTGCTGTTACCCAATGGCTAGGGGACAAAGGGGAAAAGCAATTCTAAGACGCATCCAGGAAGGTGTAAGATCTAAGGGGGTACTAGCAAAAGACAGGCAACCTCCTTTTCCTTCCCCAAAGAATCCAGGCTCCTCATTTTATCCGCTACACACCAATAAACAGGGTTTGACAGGAGGCAACTTTTGAACAGAGGGCTAAGGGTTATATTATAGTATCTATGCCCCCTTGAAAAATAACATAATCACCGTACACATACATAAGCTACAGTTACATACCCATATGTTGCTCACAGGATCCCACTCACTAAGTTCATACCCAAACTGGAAAAGCGGATCCCTCCCCAATTATTTTTTTTTAGTTTTCATTCAAAAACTATTTGTACTGTCTGGTCTGGGAGAAAGGATACCAAGGAAGATGATGTGTCTCACCTGCTGTGACCATCCTTACCTATATCCAAATACGTTGCATGAAAGCCTTGTTCTTGCGCAATTTCTCTAAGGAGATGAACGTAATCTGTGTTTGGGATACTCAGGGAGCTCATCTTCAGCAGAGTAATTTTTTCTCTGGAGGAATTCTTTAAGGTATCCCATGTACACCCCAAATTGCGACTCTGTTCAGTGGTCCAAAGCAAATTAAGAAGATTTAGATGGAAAATTCTCTTTCAAAGCAAGTTGTGGGGAAAAACTGTATGCAACAGAGCAAATCTGAGGTCATTTTTTATTTGATTGAGACCTAGAAAGCCCTACATGGCTCATGTCTAGGCCATTTGGCTCTGGGATTCTCAGGAAAGGCCCTTCTCTCTCTGTCCCACCACCAACACAAACACAGCTGGTGGGAACGTGGAAACGGCTTTTTAAGAGACAGCAGAAGGGTATATTGCAAAATTTCTCAATCGTCTTTAAATAGAGTGGCCATATACAAAAACAGACTGGCTTCCTGCCTGTTTTAATAGTGATATACAAGAAGGAATTCCAGCAAACATAGTTTGACATGAAAACTGAAGTTTCCTTTTGCTACAGAGCTATAATAGGTGCAGGAGGCCCTTGTCATCCTATATGTCAAGGCCCAGTTGGGAAATTGGAATTTCTTAGATGAGGTGTCACTCATCATTGTCACTTAAATCCTTCAGAGCTTCTAAGATTCTTCTGGGTTTCAGAGAGAACACCAAAAGTGGTATGACAAATGGTAAGAATTATGTTGTTGAAGCCTTTCATGGCCAGAATCACTGAGATGCTGTGAGTTTTCCGGGCTATATGGTCATGTTCCAGAAACATTCTCTCCTGACATTTCCTCCACATCTATGGCAAGCATCCTCAGGGGTTGAGATGTCCTCTCAAACCCTGAGGATGCCTGCCACAGATGTGGGCAAAATGTAAGGAGAGAATGCTTCTGGAACATGGCCATACAGCCCAGAAAACTCACAGCAACCCAGTATTTATGTATTATTTATTTATTTACCACATTTATATCTTGCTCTTAACTTCGAAGAGGACTTGGGGCGGCCTTACAAAGGCAACAATTCAATACTTCAGTAAGAAGTATGGTTTTTATGTATGTGAAAACCTGTGGGTTCAGAAACGGCTACATAGCCCAATCCGTTTTAGCTTTCTGAGGACTAAACAAATTTAGTTGCAAATTCAACTGCATGCATTTTAAGTAAAAGGAAGAAGGGAAGCCTTAGGAAACTATTAAAATTAAGGAGTGGGAAGAAGAGATTTGTTGGATAGACAAAATAAAGTATGGGGTGATAGAAATGGTTGGGATGGTCAAGGAAAGGGTTCCACCTATACAGTGGGTGGTGATATTTGTCCCTTGGGAACGAAGTATGGTTTCCATGTAATGAAAACAAACGCAATATTTAACATTTGAAAAATTAAGCAGTTTCCATGAAATGTGATGAATTACTTACTAAATTAAGAGAGATGTTATCTCCAGAAAAATTCTGGAATTTGTGAAGTAATTTCTCAGCAGCATTTCTTTTAGCTAGCTTTTTGGATGTCCCCATCCCTGTATTAAAAAAAAACCCACAGACAACAACAATTAAAACAAACAGAGTAATCAGATTAAGATAAATTTTTCCTAAGCAATGACGATCCTGAGTAAAATAGTGAATATCATAATATCAGTCCAAACGGCATTCTAATTTCCCCCTTGCATGTTTGCTAGGACAACAAACTGCAGGCTTTGTGCTGAATACATTCCTTGTAACATCCTCCAGTTTTTGAAAAAAGGAATAACTTTGCAACCTCAGCATCTCCCACGTTTTGCTCAGTGGGAATATGAAAAGTAATCTCACCGAGCTCTTTTTCTAAGAAACCAGCTATTCAAAGCCAGAATTAATGGAAAGGACCAAAAACAGATGAATAGGAGCCCCCCCCCCCCCACACACACACACTTTAGATGCCATGGCTCAATGCTATGCAATCCTAGAAGTTGTGGTTTTACAAGGTCTTTAGCCTCTACCAAAAAGTGCTGGTAACTCACCAAACTATAGCTCTGATGATTTCACAGCATTGAGCCGTGGCAGTTAAAGTGGTGTCAAACTGCTTAATTCTGCAAAGTAAATGTAACCTGAATTTCATGGGCCTTGTAACAAGAGTAAACACACATTATGACATTATTTGTGCTACTTATTATGATAAAGTTTGAAGTCTTACACTTTGACAAGGTACTTCTAGATGGCAACTTTCCTCCTATACTTTATGGACAAATCATTACACTATGTAACAACATTTGAAAAAAAAATTCTGTTCCTGGTTTAAAAGTGTTATTCCTGTTTAATTGTGCAGTACTTACTTCGAAAGTAGTCGTTCTACTCCAGAAACTTTTGTTTTGGCTGCCACAAAGTATGTTGAATTGGTTGAGACTCAATGAGATATTCATTGAAACATTATAGCAAAATGTGCTGTGGGATGTCCCACAAAAACCATTTTTTTTGCAGTTTAATAAACCTTTTCCATGTTTTTGTGATAGAGCCAATTATGACATTTATAACCCAGGAACAAAAACCATGTTATATAATGTTACTGGCAAATTTGGCAGACATGTTCTAAATATAGATAGATCTAAGATGCCTCATGAGGCAAAGTTCTCTGTCCGAACTGATTCATATTTTAAATGGCGTGTACTACGATGGTCAATTTTCTCTTCCAAAATAGGAAGTGAGCAACCAGACTCAGGACAACATCTTCAAGTGACTCTTTGGAACAAAATCAGCGAAGATATTGTTCAAAGATAGCAACTTATTAGGTTTTTTAAAACAAAGAAGAGTATAGTTTGAGGAGAAAGTCCATCTCTAAATATAGGATGGACTTTCTGGCATTTCTGTTAACAAGAATGGTTATTCCCCAAACATGTAAGTTGAAAAACCCTTTTCCTCTGTATCTTGACTAACTTGACCAAACATCAAAGGAGGGAGGGATGAATATTGGAGACAGGTAAATCTCTTGATTCCTCACAACTGCTTGTTGTTGTGACCATGTGCCAAGTAAGGGAGAAAGAGGCTTTTTTGACCCCTGCAATGCTGGGCAGAAGAAGTCTGCTTCTATCCTTCGCTTGGGTTAGCTCTGCATCCTCTGTGATCTTCTGATTGGTCCTATTTCATCCATTTGCTAAAATGTACAGCTGGTACGCAATACAGATCCATAAGAGATTTAATCTGTACTCATTGAGAAGCTGAATGGACCTCCTTTACTCAGTCCAGTAGTACACTGGAGGACTATTTGCATAGGATTAGAGAAATACTGTATAAATGACCAAGGACAAGATGGATGGATGTTATTCCTGAAGTGACTGGCTTGATTTTAAAGGAGCTGGGGATGACGACAGCCGACAGGGAGCATGGGCTGGTTCATGAGGTCACAAAGAGTCAGAAGCAACTGAACAAATAAACAATAAATATAAACGCTCCCTTCGTGCACCTTAAGATCCAGTGGCTAGATTGGGCAGAGGAGGCCATTCAACTTCTTATCAAGGCAAAAACAGGGCTTGCATTTCCCTCCCCCTCCTGCCAGCAAATAAGCCTGCTACAATCAGAAGCATAATCCATATTGCAGATCCTCCTTGTTGCATAATAAGCTGACCTCCTTTGTCTGATGCAGTGGCTGGCTCTTTAAGGTAGGCTGGGTAAGAGTTCAGAGCAGGAGACATTACTTAATTACGCATATACAACTAAAAAAGTTAATCTAGGATTCCAAATACACAATTTGATAAAAATATTGTGTTTTTTTAAAAATGCAGTTTTGATCTGTATGATAACACTATGTAACATGATTTTTGTTCCTGGGTTATAAATGTCATTTTCTAAGTGGTTCTATCATAAAAAACATGGAGAAGGTTTATTAAACTGCAAAAACTTTGTTTCTGTGGGACATCCTGCAGCACATTTTGATATCGTTTAACAATGAAGATCTCAACCAATTCAACATCGCTTGTGTTAGCCACAAAAATGAAGTTTCTGGAGTATAACAACTACTTTCAAAGTAAGCACCACACAATTAAATAGGAAATAACACTTTCAAATCAGAAACAGATTTTTTTTCAAATTGTGTTATATAGTGTAATTTAGTTCAAACTTTGAAAATGTAGGATATAATTACATAAAACTGAAGCAATATTAATCATAAACAGACATGAATCATATAGATTATTAATCCCATGCAATATTTTGTACTGGGGAGTTGGGGAGAAGAAAGAATTTGGCACCTGTTTCCACAAAAGCTTCTATTCTGCAAGTCACTGTAAACTCTCTCTTATGAGCCGGGCCTGTCTCCTGTGCCATTGAATACTCTGGAAGTTTCCAACCTTTTTGAATAGCCAGCTCCTGGATTTTTAAAAAAACAAACAGATGGACAGAATGGGTATTTAGTTCGACCATAAAGCAAACTGGTCTCCTCCTCCTTGTCTTCAGTGGTTTTGCAATACAATTTACATACAGTCCACCAGCAGAGTCAATGGCTAGGAAAACTCCTGTTTTCAAAAATCTGATTTAGAACATATTTCTTAAATCTATTTTTTTATAATGTGATCATCATTTGCATTACAAATCTCTGAGCTAGTAATATTTATACTTGAAAGTTTTTAATAGTCTTTTACAGAAAAATGTTTTGCTGTTAAGTTGCACTGTATGGAAATCAACCAGAGTTCTTCTATCAGCCATTTCTCCTCTGTGCCACATATATTATGATCATTATATTTGGGTTTATGTAGTTTATTCTATACATCAGAGCTTTCCAAACATTTTATGTTGGTGACATACTTCTTAGGCATACATCATTTCATGACACAGCAATTTGGTCTTACCAACAAACCAGAGATTAAACCGGCTCCTTATAAGAGATATTGACACATACATAAATTTGATAAATGAAACATATGGGGACACAACACATCTCATGAAAACCTTTCATTTATATATTAAAGATACAGTATATGATTTAATGCTTATTTCATACAGACTCAATAATTTCTTGTTATGTTTGTGCAACACACCTACACAATGCAACCAACACACGAATGTGTCATAACACAAGAGTTTGGAAAGAGCTGTTTTACATTCTCTTCTGACTAGCAAAATGGAGTGTTAAGTCCTCTTTCCCCATTTGTGCTAAGAAGATGGTTTGATACATATAGATCTAAAACAGATTTCTAATTTATTATAACAGCTGCTTATAATAATAATAATAATAATAATAATAATAATAATAATAACTTTATTTATATCCCTTCACCATGTATTGCCCTAGATCATATATCAGCACCATATTTGACCAATATGTACATGAAAATGAAAATGAGAAGCACAGCATGCTTCAAATCCTGCTATAACATACCTGGAGTGATCCTACAGGATTAGTCTTATTCTGTGCTTGATTCACAGCTCCTGGGATTAAGTGATCTGGCATAGCAATACTAAAATGGACACAGGACATGGAAGATGATGATTTAGATATCACGTTCAGCTTCATTTCACAAATTAATTAAGATTCACTAGGTTCTTGTAAGTTTTTTCGGGCTATAGGGCCATGTTCTAGAGGCATTTCTCCGGACGTTTCGCCTGCATCTATGGCAAGCATCCTCAGAGGTAGTGAGAGATCCTCACTCCTCACTACCTCTGAGGATGCTTGCCATAGATGCAGGCGAAACGTCAGGAGAAATGCCTCTAGAACATGGCCCTATAGCCCGAAAAAACCTACAAGAACCTAGTGATTCCAGCCATGAAAGCCTTCGACAATACAATTAAGATTCAACCTGAAGTGCATATCACACTTTGACACAAAATTCTAAAGTGAGACAACAAAGAGTCTGTACATTTGCAATGGACTAATAAAAGTTATTTTAGCTCACTTTCTCGGATGCATAAAATGTTAAATAGAATCTAATAGCCAGAATATAAAAAACAATGGCTAGAATGATTAACTATAGATTAATTTCAACTAGAATAGGATGAATCAAACAATAGTCAGCAAACAGTAGTAAACTCAAATGAGGCTACTGTAGTCAGGACTAACAAAAGGATTCAGATCAGCATATCCAATGTGTGTGTGTATAGCATTAGACAAAGAAGTAGAAGGAAGTTAAATGTAGGGACTCCTGCCTCTAGGAAAGTCACTTAACATAAACAGTTATGATTTTTTTAAAAGTCTTAATTCCATTTCAGGCTTCTGGAAATAGACTGAAATTGCATCTGATGAAACAGACTGTAACTACAAAGACCTGTTCTATATTTAGTGTTTTGCTCTTTATAGCACCACATGTGTCTTTGCCATTTCTCCTTTTGGCTACTAACTAAGATGCTCACTTTAAAATGCAATTAGAATTTTGTGCTTGTCACAGAGCTGCATGTCCGTGACAAGAAAAATTATCAGAAAACTGTATGTTGTTAACATTTGTATCAACCAAGCTGGATTAGACAGCTAGAGCAGAAGTTTGAGGATTGGATTGAGGATGCACCTACATTGTAAAACTAATGCATTTTAACACCACTTCAAATGCCATGGCTCAATACTATGGAACCCTGAAAGCCTTCAGGGTTCCATAGCAGGGTTTTACAAAGCCTTCAGCTTCCTCTGCCTCACCAAACTACAAATCCCATGATGCCACGGCACTGAGCCATGGCAGTTTGTGTCAAACTGTATTGACTTTACAGTGTAGATGCACCCTAAGAGTCTAAGGTTTGAATCCCCACTCAGCTATTGAAACCTACTGGGTGACCTTGGGCAAGTTACACTCTCTCAGCCTCAGAGGAAGGCTGAATACCGCCACAATAACACCACCTTAGGGTTGCCATAAGACAGAAAAGGCCTGAAAGTACACAATAACAACAGGGCAGGTTTCAGTAAGATGTAAGGGTATGATTGCATGCAGATTTCCCCCCAAAAATCCCAGAAAATAAGCATTTCTCCCCAAGATAAGGTAGTTCTACAAATAGCACCAACACTACTTTAGCACATGGATATTATGTTATGTGTTATGGCTCCATTTCCCTTTGATTCTAGTGGAAGATATATTATATCTGTAAGATCTAGTGGAAGATATAATATATCCATTACGATCACAGCCTTTGTCACAATGTACTAAAACTCACCAAACAATTGAGTTGCCTTTCATAATATTCAGCGCAGCTTCGGCAGCTCTATGCTTGGCAATTTTCTTGCTGGGCCCTTCTCCTGAATTAATAAAAAATAAACACAGATATAAATACTACTTCTCTGTTTCAAAGTAATTGAGTTCTAGGACTTTTCAGACTTCAGCAATTTAACTTGACTTCCAAGCCTCCTTTCCAAATAAGATCTGAAAAATGAAAGCACTATTTCCAGCTTTACTAGACTTTTCTAAAAAGATGATGTTACTTGTCTTAGCATGTTTTGTCAGGGAAAACCAATATTGGAGAAGAAAAATGGGATTTGTCTCTATACAGCATTTTATCATAGCTGTATTGATATTTTTTCCCTAAATTCAAAAATGATAATTTCCTGTGCACGTTATGGAGATCATCTCTATTAGCAGGGATTCAATTGTGCTGTTTCTCTCTGATAAATTTCATTTTTTTTCATGTCAGGAGTGACTTGAGAAACTGCAAGTTGCTCCTGGAGTGAGAGAATTGGCCATCTGCAAGGACGTTGCCCAGGGAACGCCTGGATGTTTTACCATCCTGTAGGAGGCTTCTCTCATGTACCTGAATGAGAAGCTGGAGCTGACAGATGGGAGCTCACCCACCCCCCGGATTTGAACTCCCGACCTTTTGGTCAGCAGACCTGCCAGCACAAGGGTTTAACCCACTGGGCCACCAGGGGCTCATTTTCATGACCAGCACAAACTCAAGAGTACAGACTTTGTGAACAGAGGGAGTGAATAATAAATATTTCTTTGAACTATTAAAGTACAAACAGCATGTGCTAAAGGAAGAAAAACACAACACTTATCCAAATGCAAAGCTGTTACAAACCTGTTCCAGTTACATTGCCTAAGGTAACTTTATAGGTGAAGATTGGCATATGTACTTCTCCCGCAGCATTTTCACATTCATATATTGGATTGAGATTTGCCTTCGTGCCATATTCGTGTAACAGCTGAATCGGTGTTTTTCCTGGTTTGGATGCAACAATTTCCTCCAACCTGTCCATAAAGTTGAATAATAAATACATGAATATTGGGGACAAATTTAAATTGGTTTCCATCAGCAAGGACTGCATTTCTACTTTGAAAACCACCGTGCTGTGTTTACTATTCATGAAATCCAATGATAAAGACTCAAAAGAAAGTCAAGGGAATTTTTATGACTGGACAGTTAAAGGGATTTTCAAACCCATCCACCCATCTAATTACACTATGTAACACAATTTTTGTTATTGGCTTATAAATATTATTTCCTAATTGGTACTATTATAAAAACATGAGGAAAGATTATTAAACTGTAAAAACGTTATTTTTGTGGGACATCCTACAGCACATTTTGCTATAGTTTTTCAATGAATATCTCATCGAGTCTCAACCAATTCAACATAGTTTGTGTCAGCCACAAAAGCAAAGTTTCTGGTGTATAACAACTATTTTCAAAGTAAGTACTGCACAATTAAACAGGAAACAACACTTTCAAATTAGGGACAGTTTTTCCACAAATTTTGTTACATAGTGTTACAAAACAAAGCCCCAACCCTTATACCCATTTCTGGGGCATTCTCAACTATAATCTAACCTCTATATCTACAGATTCTGTATTCACAGATTGAATACACAGATTCATTGCTGTAATCCAATAAGATGCTCAGCTCACTGTGCCAGAGGCTGCTGGTGAGTCACCAAACTACCGCTTCCATGATTCCGTAACATGGAAACATGGCAGTTAAAGGCCCCTTCCACACAGCTGAATAAAATCTCACATTATCTGCTTTAGCATCATAGAATCATAGAGTTGGAAGAAACCTCATGGGCCATCCAGTCCAACCCCCTGCCAAGAAGCAGGAAAACAGCATTCAAAGACGAACTGGGATATATGGCAGTGTGGACTCTGATAACCCAGTTCAAAGCGGACATTGTAGGATTTTCTGCCTTGATATTCTGGGTTATATGGCTGTGTGGAAGGGCCCAAAGTGGTGTCAAACTGCATTAATTCTACACTCTGCACCCTCATTCATTTCCAGCATCCGGTTTCCCAATTCTAATCCCTTCCCTATGGCTGCTCTCGACAAATACACAAAGAGACAGATGAGACTGCAGATTTCCGATGCCTGGTTTGGTCTGGTCCCATTTTCATTCCCTGCCTTCTGCCCCATGCTATAAACAGAAGTTCTGATGAATTCATATGTTGTGCAGAGGCTATAAAGAATGCCTTTCTTGAAAGGAAATGCTACTACATACCGTCAATACAAAGGCAAAGAAAAAGTATAGGCAAAAAAATAAAGCCTTCGCCTCCCCTCAAAGCACATTGTTAAGGATTTGAATCAAAGCTGGGGAAAGACAAAAAGGGAGGATATAGGAAAAAAAGGAGAATTTATTGAAAACTGCATAGGAAAAAACTAGAATGGGAAAAACTAGTTGGGAAAGGAAGCAATTCAGGTGTAATGCTGCTGCACAGAGTTAGGTAAAGGTTTTTCCCCTGACATTAAGTCCAGTCGTGTCCGACCTTGGGGTGTGGTGCTGATCTCCATTTCTAAGCCAAAGAGCCGGCGTTGTCCGTAGACACCTCCAAGGTCATGTGGCCAGTATGACTGCATGGAGAGCCATTACCTTCCCACCAGAGTGGTACCTATTGATCTACTCACATTTGCATGTTTTCGAACTGCTAGGTTGACAGAAGCTGGGGCTGACTGAGGAAGCTCACACCGCTCCCCGAATTTGAACCTGCGACCTTTCAGTCAACAAGCTCAGCAGCTCAGTGGTTTAACCCACTGCGCCTCCGGGGGCTCCCGCTGCCTAGAGTACAGAGATATAAAAACTGCAAAAACCACACTAAGGGCCCTTCCACACAGCCATATAACCCAGAATATCAAGGCAGATAAATTATTATTATTATTATTATTATTATTTATTAACTTTATTAATACCCCGCTAACATCTCCTGAAGGATTCGGTGCGGCTTACAATAGGCCATGGCCCTCAATAAAACAACAGCATAACAATACAACAATAAAACTCATAAAGCAAATCAATAAACATTAAAGCAATAACAATAAACATTAGAACAATAACACCACCATATCTGCTTTGAACTGGGTTATCTGAGTCCACACTGCCCTATATTCCAGTTCAAAGCAGAGCATGTGGGATTTTATTCAGCTGTGTGAAAGGGGCCTGAGTCCACACTGGAATATAACCCAGTTCAAAGCAGATAATGTGGGATTTTATGCTACTACAACTGTGTGGGAGGGGGCTCAGACTGTGCAAATTATATTTTGCAATGGAGATTTCATAAGTTTTTAAAATAGGAAACTGACTAGAAAAAAATGCAAGAAAGAGAACTGAAGGAACAGAAGCTCACACTTGAAGCCAAAAGGCAACACATCCTATTTAAACATGTTCCAAAAACACTTGCATTTTCATTTTACATGCTTCCAACAGTTCTTTAATTTCACACTGTTTTTCAATCACTCTTGTAAGCAGTTCCAAAAGAAAGACAAGATACAATGTATTGTCGAAGGCTTTCATGGCTGGAATCACTGGGTTGTTATCGTTTTTTTGAGCTATATGGCCATGTTCTAGAAGCATTCTCTCCTGATGTTTCGCCTGCATCTATGGCAAGCATCCTCAGAGGTTGTGAGATCTCACAACGTCGGAGGATGCTTGCCATAGATGCAGGCAAAACGTCAGGAGAGAATGCTTCTAGAACATGGCCATACAGCCCGAAAAACCTACAACAACCCAGAATTCATTCATGTTTTTTTTTTCAAATTGATGGGTGCTGGGAAATATTTCGCCACTCCATAAGAAAATGGGACAAGGGGTATAAGGGAAAGGGAGGATGGAAAGAAACAGCCACAAAGAAAAGTCAAACCCAGTATATGCGCCAATGTAACTATAAACCAGACCTGCACAACATGAGGCCCACAGTGCGATTTCAGCCCGCCAAAGGAATTTGGGGCGCCCCGTAAATAATATGGATGATATATAAGGAATGCCAAGATGGAATGAGTGCTTGCTAGAGAAGAGGGGGCTGGTAGCAGCAGGAGAGCGTGGGAACCGACTGAGCTCTAAAGGACATGAAGGGAAGTGGGACCCTCCTCATTTCTCAGCCTCAGGCGGCAGCAGGGCTCTTCCCTTTCTCCCCCCTTCTCCTGATTACTCGCTTGGTTACCAGTGGCAACAGCACACAAGGTGACACATTCCACTGTTGCTATGGGAACTCCTGGCCAATGGCAAGGCTTCCATCTCCACCCGCCCCCTTTTGAATCCTCCAACTGGGTATCGCAGGCCCCATCAAGCAAGATGTCCCCTACCTGTTGTCAAATGGTGCAACGAACCATTCTGAAGTTACCCAAACCAGATTGGTTTTTAAAGGCTGGATTATTTATTTCTTATTTCAAACATTTGTACCCTGCCCTTCTCAACCCCAGGGGGGACGGGACTCAAGGCGGCTTACATCCGGCACAATTCGATGCCATTACATATAAATAATACATACTGCAATATATATAAAAACATAATAAACTGATTTCAAATTTAGTTTTAAAATAAAAAGTGCATTAATGAAAATTGCAATAGCAAATTACTAATTTCAATGGGGTTTTTAATGAATTTTTTTTTAAAAAAATTACTCAATATGGCATTTCCACCATGGTATGTCTTGCTTTCTTCCTCTTGACAGTTTTAGGGAAGGGGAAAACCTATCTACAAGAGATACTAGTACTTCAGTTTAGTTTTTCCAAGCTTAAAACACTAAGGGCCCTTCCACACAGCCCTATATCCAAGAATATCAAGGCAGATAATCCATAAGATCTGCTTTGAACTGGGTTATCTGAGTCCACACTACCATATAAAACTGTCCAATGTGGATTTTATACAACTGTGTGGAAGGGGCCTAAATTATTTAACTAGTTACATTTTTAGTGCGTTTAACATATTGACTGCGTTCAGACTTTAGCCCCTTCAACACTGCCATATAATCCAGATTATCAAAGGGAATAATCCACATTATCTGCTTTGAACTGGGTTATCTGAGTCCACACTGCCATATAATCCAGTTCAATGTGGATTTTATACACCTGGGTGGAAGGGGCCTAAGTTATTTAACTAGTTACATTTTCCGTTTATTTAACACATAGACTGGGTTCAGACTTAGGCCCCTTCTACACTGCCATACAATCCAGATAATCAAGGCAGAAAGTCCCACATTATCTGCTTTGAACTAGGTTATCTGAGTCCACACTCCATATAATCCAGTTCAAAGCAGATAATCTGGATTTTATATGGCATTGTAGAAGGGGCTTTAGGGTACATTTACACTGAAGAAGTAATGCAGTTTGACACTACCTTAACTGCCGTGGAACCATGGAAGTTGTAGTTTAGCAAGTTATTTAGCCTTCTTTGCCAAAGAGGGGCGGGGTCTCTCAAGCTGCAATCCTTATAATTCCACAGCATTGAGCAATGGTGGTTAAAGAGGCGTCAAACTGCATTAATTCTACTCAGGCCCTTTGATCAACCGAGGAGGCCCTACTCTTGGTCCCACCCCTATCTCAAGCATGACTGGTAGGAACGAGAGAGGGGGCCTTCTCGATGGTTGCCCCCTATCTTTGGGATGCCCTCCCCAAGGAGATCAAAATGCCCCCCTGCTTACTCGTTTTTTAAAAGCACCTTAAAACATTCCTCTGCTCTCAAGCCTATGATGAGAAGGAGGAATAGAGTTCACAACATTGATGAATGGAAAGGAAATGGACTTGATATGCTATCTTAGCTGACTTTTAATGATTTAAATGTTGATTATTTAAATTACTTGTTTTAACTTGTGTATTTTATTGTTGTTGTTTATTTGACTTCTGTTTTATGCAGGCATTGAATGTTTGCCTTTATTATGTTGGAAGCTCCCTCTCCTCTTGGGGAGATAGAGCAGGCTACAAATAAATTATTATTATTATTATTATTATTATTATTATTATTAATAATAATAATTCTACAGTGTAGATGTACCCTGAGTTCCATTTAGCATCAACTCTGGCCCCTTTTACTCTGCAATACAGTCCAGACTATCAAATCAGAAAATCACATTATCTGCTTTAAACTGGATTATATGAGTGCAAACTGCCATACAATCAATTTCAAAGCAGATAACCTGGATTTTATTTGGCACTGTAGAAGGGGCATCACTGGGTTCTGCAGTAGTTTCAAACCTGTACTGAAGAAAGTAGTTTCACTATGCTGATGATTACATAGGAAATCCTGGAACTGGTTTGAGACCTGAATGGTGATTACACAAATCACATGTCTATTAAGGACTTTCATTCATATGCCTTAGAGCCCTTCCACACAGCCATATAATCCAGAATATAAAGGCAGAAAATCCCACATTATCAGAGCATTGTAATGCTAGTCATTAGTGGCCTCCCATCCAAGAATGGGATGATCATCTGTCGGGGGTGTTTTGATTGTGCTTTTCCTGTGTGGCAGGGGGTAGGGCTGGATGCCTGGTGGAGTCACTTCCAACTCTATGGCCCAATTTACACTGTAATACAAAATCCAGATTATCTGCTTTGAACTGGATTACATGGCAGTGTAGACTCATAAAATCCAGTTCAAAGCAGATAATCTGGATTATTTGATAACTTGGATTATAGGGCAGTGTAGATCCAGCCTTTGAACTGGATTAATGGCAGTGTAGACTCATAAAATCCAGTTCAAAGCAGATAATCTGGATTATTTGATTTGATAACTTGGATTATATGGCAGTGTAGATCCAGCCTATGATTCTAAACAGGGATGATTATGTTCAGCTTCCAAGATCTGGAAAAAAAAAGAAGTGAAAGGAAAAGAGAAAAAGATATGACTGGAGGCAAAGAAACAAAGGAAAAGAAGGGGCCTTCCACACAGCTGTATAAAATCCACATTGAACTGGATTATATGACAGTGTGGATTAAGATAACCCTATTCAAGCAAATATTGTGGATTATCTGCTGTGATATTCTGGGATATTAGGCTGTGTGGAAGGGAAAGAGAAAGAGAAAGAGAAAAAGAAAAAGAAAAAGAAAGAGAAAGGGAGGGAAGAAAGAGGGCAGAAAGAAGAAAGAAAGGAGAGAGAGAGGAAGGAAAAAAAGAAGGCAAGAAAGAAGAGAGGGGAATGTGTATATGGTCAGCTTCCAAGATCAGATGGGATTGGGAGGAATATGTCGTTTTAATACATAGGACCCTTCTTGACTGCCATAGAAGAACAAGCCCTATGAGGAGCGGCTTAAGGAGCCCGGCATGTTTAGCCTGAAGAAGAGATATGATAGCCATGTATAAATATGTGAGAGGAAGCCACAAGGAGTAGGGAGCAAGCTTGTTTTCTGCTTCCCTGGAGACTAGGACGCAGAACAATGGCTTCAAACTACAAGAGAGGAGATTCCATCTGAACATGAGGAAGAACTTCCTGACTGTGAGAGCCGTTCAGCAGTGGAACTCTCTGCCACGGAGTGTGGTGGAGGCTCCTTCTTTGGAGGTTTTTAAACAGAGGCTAGATGGCCATCTGTCTGAGGTGATTTGAATTAATACAGTTCCTCATGTTGTGGTGACCCCCAACAATAATATTATTTGTGTTGCTACTTCACAACTACAATTTTGCTACTGTTATTAATCATAATATAAATATCTGATATGCAGGATGTATTTTCATTCACTGGACCAAATTTGGCACAAATACATGATATGCCCCAATTTGAATACTGGTGGGGTTGGCAGGGGATTGATGTTGTCATTTGGGAGTTGTAGTTGCTGGGATTTATAGTTTACCTACAATCAAAGAGCATTATGAACTCCAACGATGGAATTGAACCAATCTTGATACAGAGAACTCCCGTGACCAACAGAAAATACTGGAAGGGTTTGATGGGCACTGACCTTGTTTTGGAGTTGTAGTTCACCTAGATCCAGAGAGCACTGTGGACTCAAATAATGATGGATCTGGACCAAACTTGTCACGAATACTCAACATGCCCAATGTGAATGAACACTGGTGGAGTTTGGGGGAAATAGACCTTGGCATTTGAGAGTTTTAGTTGCTGGGATTTATAATTCACCTACAACAGGGGTCCTCAAACTAAGGCCCGGGGGCCGGATGCGGCCCTCCAAGGTCATTTACCTGGCTCTCGCTCAGTCTAAGTCTGAAATGACTTGAAAGCACACAACAACAACAATGCTATCTCATCAGCCAAAAGCAGGCCCACACTTCCCATTGAAATACTAATAGGTTTTTATTTGTTAAAATTGTTCTTCATTTTAATTATTGTATTTTAAGTGTTTTTGCACTACAAATAAGATATGCCCAGCGTGCATAGGAATTCATTCATTTTTTTTCAAATTATAATCCGGCCCTCCAACAGTTTGAGGAACTGTGATCTGGCCCTCTGTTTAAAATGTTTGTGGACCCCTGAACTACAATAAAAGATCATTCTGATCCCTACCAATGATAGTATTGGGCCAAACTTCCCACATGGAACCCCTATGACCAACATAAAATACGTTTTTGGATGGTCTTTGGCGACCCCTCTGAAACCCCCTCATGACCCCCCCCCAGGGGTCCCGACCCCCAGGTTGAGAACTACTGCAATAGAGACTCCTATAATCCAGTTCAACGCAGATAATATCTGTTTTGATGACCTAGATGATATGGCAGTGCAATGAGGATATAGTTCACCCCATGTGTCTTGAGGTGGCGATTTGCACAGGGTTTCTTTAGGCGAGGGAGAACCTAGAATTAATTCCATTTGACCCCATGGAATGCTGGGAGTTGTAGTTTCACAACGTCCTCTTAAAGCGTGGTGGGAGGGGGGGAGAGTGAAATCTCTTCGCTGCTGCATTCGTGGGTGGACGGTCTCCCGCCTAAATCCTAACCAGGGTGGGAGAAACTTAGCTTGCAACATCAGTTTGGGGTTTTTTTGGAGTAGGGAGAGAGAGATGCAATGAATGGGAGCAGCGAGATCAACCCTCTCCCTCCCTGCCTGCTTCTCTCCACGCGGGCGCCGCCCTTGGCTCAGACCTGGTGGGGGTGGGAGGCGACTGCGATGGCGACGGCTGCTTCTCCGCCTCGGCCTGGGTGGCGGGCTCGGCGCCCAAGCTGCCCTCCTGGGGCTGAGCCGCCGCCACGCCGCCGCTCCCTGCCTCTTCTTCCTCCTCCTCCTCCTCCTCCTCCGCCTTCTCCTTTTCCGCCTCCATCGCTTCTTCTCCTTCTCCTTCTTCTTCCTGGCCGGGAAAGCCTCCCTCGGTTCCCTCCCTCCCGCGCATCACGTGTGTTTCCGGGGCCAGCGCAGCCAGGCGGAGCCAAGCCCAGCCCTCCCACCCCAGCCAGGCGGCCACTCCACCCTCCTCACGCTGCCACCCCTTAAGACGCTGCCTCATCTTGTGCTGACACCCCCCCCCCAGCGTAACATTATTTTCGTTGCTACTTCATAACTGCGATTTTGCTACTGTTATGAATCGTAGTGTAAATACGATTCATAACAAGCCAATGGGATTTTGGCCTGCATCAATAGGAGCATAGTGTCTAGATCTAGGGAAGTAATGCTACCCCTCTATTCTGCTTTGGTTAGACCACACCTGGAATATTGTGTCCAATTCTGGGCACCACAATTCAAGAGAGATATTGACAAGCTGGAATGTGTCCAGAGGAGGGCGAACAAATGATCAAGGGTCTGGAGAACAAGCCCTATGAGGAGCGGCTTAAGGAGCTGGGCATGTTTAGCCTGAAGAAGAGAAGGCTGAGAGGAGATATGATCGCCATGTATAAATATGTGAGAGGAAGCCACAGGGAGGAGGGAGCAAGCTTGTTTTCTGCTTCCTTGGAGACTAGGACGCAGAACAATGGCTTCAAACTACAAGAAAGGAGATTCCATCTGAACACGAGGAAGAACTTCCTGACTGTGAGAGCTGTTCAGCAGTGGAACTCTCTGCCCCGGAGTGTGGTGGAGGCTCCTTCTTTGGAAGCTTTTAAACAGAGGCTGGATGGCCATCTGTCAGGGATGATTTGAATGCAATATTCCTGCTTCTTGGCAGGGGGTTGGACTGGATGGCCCATGAGGTTTCTTCCAACTCTTTGATTCTATGATTCTATGAAATACCTGATAGGCAGGATGTCTTTTCATTCACTGGACCAAACTTAGCACAAATGATCAAGGGTCTGGAGAACAAGCCCTATGAAGAGCGGCTTAAAGATGTTTAGCCCGAAGAAGAGAAGGCTGAGAGGAGATAGGATAGCCATGTATAAATATGCCATGTATAAATATGTGAGAGGAACATGATGGCAACAGTCTTGGACAGCAGTGGCTCCCAAAGTGACCCATTTAAGGTCAATCAATCAAAATAGTTTATTGTACGGGCCCAAGGCAGGTAACCCTTAGAATCTCCTTGGCAGTTGATAGCAATTTTATCTAACTCTGTCTTTCTGATCTTTTTTGCAAAGCGAGCAAAAAGGGCTACTTTGTAGGTTACATAGTCATTTGTATCGCCCAGTAGAAACCGCACTGTTTCTGCAATAGAGTTCCCTTCATCTTGTGTCAACAAGGGTTTCAGGTTTCTTTCCCTTGGGTCACTATACAATGGGCAGACTAACAGGTAATGCACAATGTCTTCTACCTAACATTGACTACAAATACATAGTCTGTTTTCCCAGGGAACATTTTGGTAGCGACCGTCTAACACTGCAGTTGGCATCACTTGAAATCGCAGCTCGGTGAAGGCAGTTCTTAAGGAAGGAGGCTTGAGCTTAACCATTTAAGGTGGAATCAGGCGTCAAACAGGGACGTGTTATCGCCCCAACTTTATTCTCCATCTTCATCGCTATGATACTTCACCTTGTTGATGGGAAGCTTCCCACCGGAGTGGAAATCATCTAACCCTCCCCCCCCCCACCCCAATGAATGCATCCTTAATATTTTAGAAGTTTGGGTTTATTATTATTTTAATAAACTCTTAACAGAATGGAGATCTGGAATAGTGATGATGATGATGAAGAACAAATTTTATCCTTTAGACCAGGGATATCAAACTCATTTCCACTGAGGGCCACATTAGCCTTATGGTTGACTTCAAAGGGCTATTTAATTCATGGACAGAGAATCAGTGGATACAGAGAGCCCAGCTATACATTTTTTTTACATACTGGTCAGTGCTCTTTAGTTTTTACTCAGTTTGTGTCCCCAGATGTTATTGAACACCAACACTCATCACTTTTGATTATCCGCCATGTGGATTGGGGATAATGGGAATTGCAGCCCAACAGCACTTGTGGCTCTAATATTGGGGAAGGGTTAAATGACATTTTAAAGTCAGGCATCATATCCACAAGCCTTGTATCTAAATTCAAACCCCAATATCCTGACTAAACAGAACAAACTGCAGCCTTTCAGGTGTTACTGTACTGTAACTCCCATCAGCTCGAGTAATTATGTCTAATGATGAGTAATAAAAGAGTTGTAGCCCAGTATCTGAAGGACCACATAAAGTATTTGAAGGACCACATAAAGTGGCATAGTGGTGTGGATTTAACTCATGGGCCTAGAGTTGGCACATATGGTACTGAAAACCAGATCCCCAAAAGAGTGCACAGCTCCATAGGGATTGATAGGGAACCCCTTGTTGACAGGCAACAATAATATTAGGTATGGGTCTGGGGTCAATTTGAGGAAAGAATCTGGGTAATTGGTAGGAAGAATAAGGCCACATTCGACAATGTGTAGGGCTGAGTTAGAACTGGTCATTTTCAAAGGCTTGTTGAAACCACCAGGTCTTCAAGTTCTTACGAAAGGGGGGCGGAGGGATGGGGCCTGCCTTATTTCCCTTGGAAGGGTGTTCCAGAGCCGGGGGGCAACCACTGAGAAGTCCCTCAGTCTTTCATTAACCACCCCCCCCCCACACACACACACACACAAATGTTGCATAGGCACCATTCACATCTCAGACCTCAGGGAATGTCTGCACAATAGTTTGCGTAGTCCCTTCACAATACCCTGAGATGACACACGGCAAGCATAAAGGGCTTATAAGCGAGCCATGGGGTGATCTGATTCTATTCTTGGGAATGTTCTCTCACCTTTATTGCCAAGTTGGACCCCCTTCTTGGGGTGCCAGTTGAATTTGCCCACACCCTGACCTCCCTTTTATTTACCTCACTGGCACCCATTATATTAACTAGAGCAGAGATATCAAAGCCCATCCCAGCCCATTATCCTTTGCCATACCACATTTCTTTCCATGCGTATTCTTCTGATAGGCAGATTAAGAAACCTTCAAAATAATCCAAAGACAGTTTATTAAATTTCCCACCATTACCAGAGCCAATCAGTGAAGAAGAAAATGGAGAGGGATCCTAGCTGGTAGCACTCTAGATGAATCAGTAGCCTGCGTGGCAATGTGCCTTTGTTTTGAGTAGCTGACAAAGCGTTAAAAATAAATCTGTATGTTCGCAATTGTATGACTTTCTTTGGAGCGCAGATTCTTCTGGTATACATGTTGATCAAGATGAATAAATGACTCTGATTTTGCCTTCTGTCTATCTGCATCTTATTCGGTCCTTTGGTGGCTTGACACTCAGGGATCCGAACCCACGATTTTAGCAGAGCACATGTGCTTTAGATAGAAAGGGTGTGAACCCCCTCTTTGCTCATACTGTGCTGGTATTCTGGCCCTCAGTGGAAAATCTTAGATTTCTTCACTATTTTCATGACTATGTTGTATATTGCCTTTTTTTGCCGGGGGGTGGGCAGTTGGAGAATGTAGAAGTCTACAGAATTTGTGCCAGTACTGTCCCTCCTAAACTGGAACGTGATCACAACTTCTTCCCAGTTAGACCCACTCTCTGTTATGCTTTAAAGCAGTGTTTCTCAACCTGGGGGTCGGGACCCCTGGGGGTCATGAGGAGGTGTCAGAGGGGTCACCAAAGACCATCAGAAAACACAGTATTTTCTGTTGTCATGAGAGTTCTTTGTAGGAGGTTTGGCCCAATTCTATCGTTGGTGGGCTTCAGAATGCTCTTTGATTGTAGGTGAACTATAAATCCCAGCAACTACAACTCCCAAATGACAAAATCAATTCCCTGCCCAACTCCACCAGTATTCAAATTTGGATATATTGGGTATTTGTGCCAAATTTGGTCCAGTGAATGACAATACATCCTGCATATCAGATATTTACATTATGATTCATAACAGTAGCAAAATTACAGTTACGAAGTAGCAATGAAAATAATGTTATGGTTGGGGGTCACCACAACATGAGAAACTATTAAGGGGTCACAGCATTAGGAAGGTTGAGAAATACTGCTGTAAAGTTTAACATCCAAAGAAGCCCACGTTTTATGAAACATTGCATGGGATTATTCAGGCCACATAATATGGATCCTAAATTATTTGTGGATGCACCATCAAGTTGCTTGTCAGTTTATGGTAACCCCATGGATTTAATAGGGTTTTCTCAGGTAAGGAATACTCAGAGGTGGCTTTGCCAGTTCTTTCCTCTGGATTATAGCCTACAGCACCTGGTATTTGTTGTCAGTGTCCCATCCAAGTACTAACTAGAGGTGGCCCTGTTTAGTTTCCAAGATCAGACAAGATCCTGGCCACCTTATTAAATCCTAAATTTAGTTGGCAGCATAATAATAATAATAATAATAATAATTATAATTATAATTATAATAATAATATAATAATAATAATACTTTATTTATACCCTGCTACCATCTCCCCAAGGGACTTGGTGCGGCTTACATGAGGACAAGCCCACAGTACATCAATAAACAAAAGCAATAACAAAAACAGTTAATACAATACAATTAATATAAATCACATAAACAATAAACCATAAACAGTAACACACAAGCATTTAAAAACCCATGGCCGGGCCAAATGTAATCGTTTAAAATTTAAAAATAATGCTGGGCATGAACAAGGTAGGATATAACTGGTTTCAAGGGTTTTCAAGGAGATATGAGGGAACACAGTCAGTCCTAAATCAGTGGTAAAGTGCATTTTGAGGGCATATTGCTGAGAGTTTTCCTTATTCTGGGGAAGGCACATTGGAACAACCACGTTTTCAGGCTCCTCCTAAAGACTGCCAGAGTTGGGACATGTCTGATTAAATCAAAGAAATTTGAAACAAGAGTAAAACTATTAAATCAATGAAATTTACTTAACTGTGGCGCAGTGGGTTAAAGCACTGAGCTGCTGAGCTTGTTGATCGAAAGGTCGCAGGTTTGATTCTGGGGAGCGGCGTGAGCTTCCGCTGTCAGCCCTAGCTTCTGCCAACCTAGCAGTTCGAAAACATGCAAATGTGAGTAGATCAATAGGTACCTTCCGGCGGGAAGGTAACGGCGCTCCATGCAGTCATGAGGACCACATGACCTTGGAGTTGTCTACAGACAATGCTGGCTCTTCGGCTTAGAAATGGAGATGAGCACCACACCCCAGAGTCAGACATGACTGGACTTAATGTCAGGGGACTACCTTTACCTTTATTATCTTACCTTTCCGCAACTGATTTAGCAAGTCTGCTCTTGTAGGTTTAGGTATGAGAGATTTTGTGTTGCATTCATACCTATTTTTGAAATGAGAGAGTTTCTGAAATCTAGTAAACTATAATCCACAACTCTTTCCCCAAAGATGCAGCAAAGTCTTGAGATGCCATGGCCTATTGTGTTGGAAATTAGCACATCAAAGAAACTTGCCTTTGTGGTTTGGAAAGATTCATTAAAACATTCCAATGAATTAAATTACATTCTGCTTGATTCATAGATCATTGGCTATATCTGTCTCTTAGAATTTCATCTAATGCTGTGATGGCTTGAAATTATGCAGATATGCTGCTGATATAAATCTGGTCTGAATACTGTGTGTAAATTAATCCAATCAGTTATTTCTGTGCCACTGTAAGAATTAGCAAATTTACTAAAGGCAGGATATTTTCAAAACCATACAGAAGTGACATGGAAGCTAAGGCCCTATCTACACTGCCATAAAATCCAGTTTCTAAATCCAGATTATCTTGATTGTATGGCAGTGTGGACTCATATAATCAAGTTGAAAGCAGATTATATGGCAGTGTAGATCCAGCCTATGGTGGCACTTTGTGTGTTTATGTACATGCCTTCAAGCTGCCTGCTGACCCCATACATTTCACAGAGCTTTCTTCGGCAAGGAATACTCGAGGTGGTTTTTCCAGTTCCTTCCCCTGAAATATAGCCTACTACAGTGTTACAAGTGATCACTGCCCTATCACTTTACGTTGTTAATGTATTATTAATTATTTTCAATGTGGCTGAACAATGGAAAGGAGTTCTTGAATAATATACCAGAGAAGCTGGATGATAACAATGCCAATACTTTCCTTCTGTCTAAATGAAACAAGCTTTAGTACACGAATGGTTTTTGTTGCATATTTGTCGTTTTGGAAAAGGTAAGAAAATGTATTTAAAAAATATGGCCGTACAGTTTGTGAATTTCAACTGAAAAGAGGATTTTTCCAAAAATATTTATGTATGCATAATATGTTTGCTGCTGCTACCAAAAGTTTTGTTAAGCAAGTTGGTGATGGAGGTCGATTAATTCCTGTCCGGAGCCTGAGCGAAGCAGATAAATACCAGCCTCTCAGTCTTGTCATCAAGAAGAAAAGCTGTATTCTTTCCAGACGATCAAGATTTATTTCAACACCATTCAGCTTGAAAGACATTCTTCAAGGAGAAAAAGAAATTTCAGCTGGTAAGATGTTTTATTTAAAAAGTTCTTAGACGCTTAAACAAAGATTATTTCCTAATTTTCTGAGGTACAACTTGTACCTGCAAAAGAGAATGATGTCTTCTTGGATTTTATGAAAAAATATATAGCTATCTTGAAGGAGAAAAACAATGTGGCATTTGTTTCCCAAAGGTACCAAATCCATTTGAGCAAATTTTACAGGAATTGAAAAAAAATATGCTGAGGTTATGCATTTTCATGCTTAAAAATGCAGTTTCCCAAGCCTCGTACCAATGTGATTTCATACATTTGGATAGTTTTGACCTGTGCAAGATAGTCTACTCCTAGCCAACAATGTGCTGCCACCAATAACTATTTTTTTTAATTTGGTACCTTTTGGAAACAAACTCCACAAATAGTGTGTTACTAATGAGCATTAATTTTTAAATGTTTGATAAAATATTGAAAACTTAGGGATACTTTTTAGGGGTTGTTATTGAATATGTTCCAGTACAGCATTTCATGTAATCTGCTCTGAATACATATATTATATAAGAAGTCACTTGCAGAGTGATTCAAATATCTTTATTTGGAAGTGAATCCTGGTGAATGGAATAAGACTGACTTCCTAATGAAATAAACTAAATTAGATATATTAGATTATATTAGATTTGCAGCCTTAGTATTTATGTCTTAATTTTTATTTCAGAGTGGTAAAATATTCATTGTCACAAAGAAAGGTGAGCGCACTCTTACCACAGCGCCATTTCTATATCTCTCATTTCATGTGAAACACGTAGCTGCTTAGGATTATTATTTCAATTAACTGCAAATAAAATCTAATGAAAATTGTAAAGATTCTCAATAAATGCAATATTTACATTGTTGCAGTGATGGGGATCAGCTCGATACAGAATGTACTTTACAGGCAATATTCTGTTGGCCACAGTGTTGGCATCAGCCATAAATTGATAAACATCTATGATTTGCCAGATGTTGATGGATTGCAGATTCCAGTATTTTCCATTACTGGTTTTGCTGTCAGGATCCAATGGTAATTGTAGTCCGGCAACAGCTAGAGGACTCCCTCCTTAGTACAGACTTCCTCAATATATGGAGTCATGTATAACCGACAATAAATAAAGCTTTACATTTCCTTTCCCCGTTTACATACAAAAGCAATTTGGAGCATGGATCCCACAGACGGAGGGCAGGAAGTAGTGGCTCAAGTTTTCCCTAAGTGGATCAGACATTATTAATCAGGACCAAAACTCTTTTTCTAAACTACAGGGTTATAGCAGTTTGACATCACATTAACAGCCATGGCTCAATGCTATGGAATTCTGGGATTTGTAGTTCTGTGAGATATGTACCTTTCTCTATCAGAGAGCTCTGGTGTCACAACTAATTACAAATTTCAGGATACCATGGACAGGAGCCATGACAATTAAAGTAATGTCAAACAGCATTCATTTTACAGAGTCCATGCACCCAAAGATACAGTTTGATCTCACTGTCCCATTATTTACAATATTACAGTCAAATCATGTCCCTTATACAAAATGGCAATATCAGTGTTTGCGTTTTGGAATTTGAAAAATATATATTTCAGAACCATGGATGGTTGAATCTGTGGATACAAGAATTTGTGAATTAATTTGTAGATCTGTTTTTTCCCCCTCCTGGCTGATTTTCAGTCTTGCATGTAAGTTTTGGGTTGTGACAGATTCCAAAAACTGCTTAGGGCAATGTTTAGTGCATACGAAAGATTATTTTTCATCCTAATTTTTTTAAATAAGGTGTGTGAGCTTGAGGGACTCAGTTGAAATTTGACAGCCATAAAAACAATTTGGGTTATGCGGGATGTATGGGACACATTGCCCTCAAGTGCGGTACAACACACTTCTGTGTTACCAGTGCTGAAGTGAAATCCAACAAGTTCTTCAAGTAGCTTCTTAATGGTGTAAAGGAGTGGAGAATGCCATCTTGTTATTTGTCTGTGTCTTAGACCATACTTGTATGAAGATTAGATCTTTTTCTGTTTTACCAAGCAATCCCTTTTCTTTTAGGCATTGCATCCTACCAGTTACTGAACTATGAAGACAAATCAGATGTAGCGCTGAACGGTAGACGAGGAAATCACATCATGAGCTCTGCTGGGGTCAATATTGCTGGATCGGATTCCCTTGCAGTGAAAGCTTCATTTGGCATTGTAACTAAACATGAAGTTGAGGTACCAACGTTACTCAGAGAAATGGCCAATCGGTTAGTATGACAGATGTAATTGTTGTACTGTTTCTTGCTTACTTACCACTACAGGTGCATACTATACAAATGAAGTCATCTCTATATATAAAACTCAAAGTAAGTATGTACAGGCAGTCCCCAAGTTACAGATATCTGACTTACAAATGACTTAAAAATAAGAATGGGAGTGAGACAACAGGAAGTGAGAGAAATCTACCCCTAAAAAATTCACTCCTGAAAGAGTTATCATGGGGAAATGGTATTATTTTCACAACAAACCTTTCAAAATTCAATGATCACAGCCACAGAAAGTGAGGTGAAATCTTCCGAACAGGGGCACAGACAGCAAAGGAAACACCACAGGGGTGTTGAACCTTCCTGATGCTATGCAAAGCTAAAAATATATATAATTTTGGCTGGAGTTACACTTAAAAATATATCTGTTCCGACTTACATATAAATTCAACTTAAGAACAAACCTACAGATCCTATCTTGTTTGTAACTTGGGGACCGCCTGTATGTATATATGTATGTTTGTTCATTTGTTGCTAGAGGAAGTGACCCTCTGCAATGTCACCAGATTGACTGTTGCTAGGTGAATAATTGGCTGTTGTGAGGTGAAGTGGCCTTCTGTTATGTCACTGTGAAAGAAAAGTGGCATGTGCATGAAGGGAAGGAAAAAAGAAAACAAAGAAAGAAAAAGAAGTGAAAGAGAGGAAAGGAGGAGGGAGGGATGGGAAAAGAAAAAGGAAGGAAGGAAGGGAGGAAGAGAAAGGAAAAGGGGGAAAGCTATGAAGGGAGGGAAGGAAAGAAAGAGAAATAGGGGATTGAAGTTGGGGGCCCCCTCTGACACCCAGACAACACTGGGTTTACACGCTAGTATATGAATATTTTGCAAATGAAAGATTTAATTTGGTTTTAAAGTTACCTGTATGGAAACAATGCAAAATTCCACAGGCTGTTCCCCCCTTTATTGTAGAAAAATGAATTTCGAGCATTGCCTTGTCCGCCAGTCGCGAGAAAGTAAGAGGACTGTCCTTTGTGTGGTCATGGAGAGCATTAGAACAACACGGCAGTGTTCACTGTCTGTGCACGCGGGCATGAGAGGGGACACAATGCGGGTGAGTGAGCATGCTTAATAACCCTCTGTAGACATAATAAATTGTCTATCTGTCGGCTTAGCCAGAAATAACCAGTCGGGTGATTTGTGGTGGTGGTAGGATGCTGAGTTGCAGGAAGCTGATATAAACAAACCATCTTCTGGTAAATGATTGGGGATCTGGAAGGGGAAGTAATTTCCAAAAATATAAGTTCTTGCCATACAAAAGCAACTCTCATTTAGTTGCTGTAGCATCAAATGTGCAGAATCTTTTTGTGGTCCAATACACATATCTGAAATAGTAACTGAATATAGCCAGCCCTCCATATCCATTGATTCAATCATCCATTCCAAGAATAATGCCTTTTATTACAAGAATAAAGCATTTTATATAAGCAGCATCCTATTAGTACACTATTGTGTATACTGGGGCTTGAGCATCTGTGGATTTTGTTATTTACAGATGGTCCTGAAAACAAACCCTATCATGCCAAGGGCCCATTGTGTGCACAATTTTATGGTTGTTTTTTTTTTGTAGCATATATAAATTTTGTCTACCTGAACAGATTCTAGGGTACTCAAAAGGTTTGTTTACTGTCTGACTAATATAACTTCATCAGTCTAAAGGAATCCAGCTCAATCCATCAACATGCTTTTATTTAGCAATTTCTGATACATGTATAGCATATTGTCTGTCTCTTCACATTGTCCTTGTCATGCAGTGGTTCCCAACCCATGGTCCGTTGATCACCAGTGGTCCATAAGAACTAAATATGGTCTGTGTCCTCACTGTTACTAAACCATTGCAATGCCCCATGGGCCACGCACCCTTCCTTGTGGCCATGTACCTATGGCGAGGAGGCAAGAGAAAATGGTTAGGCAACTACTGGATGGCATATGTTCTGTATCAGAAACTAGAGTTGATGTGGTGTATCCAATGCAGTTTTCTGAATCAGCACTCCAAATGACCAAACCTAATCTAAAGTTGACCAAAAACCAATTCGTAACCCTTTTGGTACTAATGTTGGAGAATGATTCCTGGTCAAGTGGTCCCTGGTTAAAAAAAAGAGTTGGGAACCATTGTTATCATGCTAATGGTCAGGATAAATGATCTGTGTATGATGCATTTGTTTTTTTACTCATGAACCCACTTTAGGCAGAAGTCCCCAAAGCAATGGGACTGCTTTTATGTGCCCCAGGACTTGTGGAACACCTTAAACTAAGGGGAAGTTTTGAAGAGTATTTTAAATACTGCTGTAAACAAATGGCACTACTCATGACAACAATAATCACAGTAGCCCACACAGTGAATCTGACTTTAGGATTAAAAAGAGTTATACTGCCTACTATATTTCCTAAGAATTACTTAGTTTTGTGTATTGTACATTTTTATTTGAAAAGCTTAAATTATCAGCTCAGATGTGAATGCTTTGTCCTTCCTTTCAAAATAGTTTCATATTATTGATGACCATAATTACAAAGGACGAGACAGAGCAATCGTTTTCCCTGCACACACAACAATTGCATTTAGTGTGTTTGAACTGTATATCCAGTTGGATGGTAATTTTGGTAAGTAGTCTGGTTGTGCCTCCAATTATAATAATTTCTCTATTGTTATTACATTTACTTTTTTTAAAAAAAATGGGATGCATGATCAACAATTTTGTAAAATTACATACATGCTTTTCATCACAGGTAGTTACCAATGCATAATGTAGTGTGTTTCCCAAACCATCTTCTCTGGATATGGAGGTTGCATTCTGTGGGTAGAAAAGAATCCATTTGAGTGTTCTCATTTCTTTTTACTGTGTTGGGGCTAGATAATGATGTGCTACTTAAAATAATTGAGTTGAATCGAGGAGTTTCCTTCTGCTAGTCAGAGAGTTTGAGTCCCAGAAAATGCACGCCTCCCCATTTTCAGGGACCTTTCCTTTCCTCATACAGGGTTTGAAGAAATAATTGGGTGACGGAGGCAATGAAATCTCTGTCTACCTAACCAGCTCAAGATACCTCCGTTTAGATCCAACCAGATTATGTATAATAAACATACATGTTAATATTACCTCCAACACATGTTTTAATAGTCACATATTAATGCAGTGCCAAAGCTGTAAAAAGAAACTTTTATGTTACCTACAACGTTTATATCAGTGGTTCTCAGCCTGTGGTTCCCCAGATGTTTTGGCCTTCAACTTCCAGAAATCCTAATAGCTGGTAAACTATCTGCAATTTCTGGGAGTTGTAGGCCAAAATACCTGGGGACCAACAAGTTGAGAACCACTGGTGTAGACCAAGAGAAAGGGCAAGAAAATGTGTTACACCTCTCCTATAGGGCAAGAACATGTGTATAAGACAGATAGGAATTTTGTGGATCTCTTTACATACAATGCAAGCTGGTGGTGACTTAATTCTATCTATATCCAAATTAGCATCACAGTGTAGATGTTCATTCGGGTTTCTAAACCGGAAAAAAAAAAATCAGGGCTTGAAAGTTTGCTTCCAAGTCCAAATTCTCCTTTGTAGAATCAACAAAGTTTATTCCGTGTAATATATTCTTCAAACTGTGATATATTGCAGTCGCTCCCAAAATATGATCTTTCATGTATTTTGGACTTCAACTCCTAAAAGCCCCAACTCGCATGGTCAATGGTCACAAATTCTGGGAGGCATGGTTGTTTTGGATTAAAATGATAAAACAATGGTTTTCATTAACTATGATTTGAAGTTGTGCTACTTCTCAATATTAATTGCTCAAATATTCTGTTTTCCTCCTAGAGCTCTGTGTTGCTCCAGAATCCAGAGGAGGATTTGAAAAAGAACCATCAAGATCATTTTCACTCATCAGATTAAGGAATACCCTGTTTCATCGAAGTATGATATTTAATATTAATATTTCTTTGCACTGCATGATTAATTGGACAGAAACTTATGGCTCCTGGTAGGGGGTTCCATAGATGAGACTGAGCTTTGACCTCAGCAGTAAAGACACTAACAGATTCCAACCTAAATCCCCCCTTCTCTTAATTGGGTGCAATGAGGGGACTGGTAGGGAACCCCCCCCCCCTCCCCCCACACTTTTCACAGAAAGAGGGAAATAAGAAGGGATCCAAGCACAGAAAAAAAATTGTGAGCACGATTCCTTCCATTCTGCCAAAACAGGATTTTAGATCCGTCAGTCATTTTGATCTCATAGTGCTCTAAAGTCATCCATGGAGTGCTCTCAAAATGTTAAGATTGGTATAGAAGGATCAGCAGTAAGAACAATTACATTAAATTCTGTGTGCCAGAGTAATAGCAGTATGATTGTCATGAGATCTAATTAGACTAATGGCAGAGATTTCAAAATCCACTGGATGCATACATTTTTAATTAGAACCCCTGCCACACATTGCTGTGGCCCAGTCTGTGTATATGTGTTTTGTGTGTGTATATATGTGTATATACGTGTGTTTGCATATATGTGTGTGGTTTTGCGCATGCATTGTAATGTATTTTTTGTTTTTGGCTTTTTAAGTCTCATCCGCTGTGTTTCTCAGTGTTTTTATGAATGATGGTCACTTGTTGGCCTGATAGGTGTATTGTGTCCAAATTTGGTGTCAATTTGTCCAGTGGTTTTTGAGTTATGTTAATCCCACAAATAAACATTACATTTTTATTTATATAGATTATTATAATAGTGTTCCCCCCGAAGGGGAGAATACACCATACTGTACATTATCTGAATTGTTCAGTACAGTTATATTTAGTAGGATTGGAAGGATCTGTATTTCATCAATTATAAGATGGCATCAATTGTAGGACAAGTCCCTACTTTAGTCGTCTTTGACTGCACCATGGCCAACTAAAATAGATAAGATATACCTGCAATTCTAAGATGCATCCCATTTTTAGAGGTGTTTGTATTGGGGGAAAGTGTATCTTAGAATTGAAGGACTGCAGCATTATGTTTCCCTTATAATGTGGCCATATTACAGTATTTTAAACTAGCCCACTCCAATCCTTATCTTCTATATCAGGCATAGGTAATTTTTTCTCTCTCCAGGTGTTTTGGACTGGCCACATGACCTTGAGGCATCTACAGACAACTCCTTTTCATTGGCTTAGAGGTGGAGATGAACACCACCCCTCAGAGTCAGACACGACTAGACTTCATGTCAGGGGAAAACCTTTACCTTTACCTATGGCACAATCCATTTTGGGAGCTGAGCTAATCTCTGTGAAAGGATCCTTGTAACACCACCTGGGTGTGGAGCTGTGCATGCAAATGTGTGAACACTCCCAATCAGAACATTTGCAATTATGCTGTTCAGCTGTTTGGGAGAAGTGGGTAGCTTTTTTCTGGACTACCTACACTCCTTCTCATTCCTGAAAGACAGCTGTTTGAGCCATTTGACATAGTTACTGCTTTCTGATGGGAATTGTACATTTATTTGCTTAGATATTGCCTTGCTCAGGTAGGGATATTTGTACAAAAACTGGAACAGGCAACAACTTACAGTGAGGATTTTTATTTATTGGTGACACACTTAGCCCCTATCTTGTATACATCATGTTATTCTAGGAATTGGTTTCTCACTGCAAAATAATTCTGCATATCCAGAATAGTAATGATTTTGATATTGATTTTTTGATAAAGTTTGATCCAGCAAAATCTTCCTATAGTTATATGGAAAAGCTCGTTCTGTCACCAGGGCCTTTTTGAAATCTAGTTGAGCTTTTTCAGCTATGAAGAAGGAAGCAGTCTTCTCTCATTCTTTCCTTTGAATAAAAACAATACAGTTTTTTTTGCTTTGTTTCCATAACAAATCAATACTAACGTATTTTTTAACAAAACAATAAAAAGTTAAAAATAAGAAAACATATTCCACACACTAACAGGTTTTAAATATTAAGACAATGGTCCAATACAGATAGCTGGAATAGCTATGTGTATTGAATTAGCATTTGAATTAAATCACTGAGTTCCAAGATATTTTAATTAATAGTATGTTTTTACTTGATTGGCACCAATGTTGCTTTTATTTAGACACCAAGTCTCCAAAGGAAGGGCATACCATAACTGTGTGCCATTATGGGCCACAGAACCTACCCAGAAAACCTTAGTCCATTGACAGGTATATATAGGGAAAGGAGCTTCCTCAAGCATTGAGGTCCAAAATTGTTCTCTTCATTTGTTGTTGTGTGTCTTCAAGACATTTTTAACCTATGGCAACTCTATCACAGGGTTTTCTAGTGAGATACATTGCAAATATGTTTCCCATTGCCTTCCTTTTAGGCTGAGAGACTTCTCCAAGATCATCTAATAAGTTTCATGGCCAAGCAAGGATCTATGCCTTGGTCACCAGAGTCATAGGACAATGGTTGAATCACTATACCATGTTGGCTCCTGTCTCTTCATTAACATTTTTTATTAAAACTTCATGGCACACAAAGAGGCAGAAAATAATAATAATAATAATAATCATCATCATCATCATTCCTCCCTTATTCCTTCCTCATTCCTTCCTTCCCCTTAACCTTCTTCCAAGGTTAGGATGCAATTGACTTATAACTTATTCAACCAACAAAACACAGTAATATTAGATATCATTTTCCAATTTCCACTGAAAATTTTAAAAACATCACATGCATAAAAATAGTAAACAGTAAGAAAGCATTGCTTCAAATTTAGAGTTGCCAGATTTCAAGGCCAGACCCCGACCCATCATATTTCGAAGGGCAACTCTTGGGGAGACACAACGATGTAAATTCTCTGGTTTGATTTTACATGGTTTACAGATATTTTTAAAACAATAGATCCTTACTATTACTGTTGATCAGAGCTTTCCAAACTTTTAATGTTGGTGATACACTTTTTAGACATGCATCTTTTCACAACACAGCAATTCAGTTTTAATAGCAAACTAGAGATTAAACCAACCCCTTATGTGAGTTTCATACAATATATATATTATGAAATAGATAATATATAATGTCTATAATGTATAGTAAAATTATAGTAAAATAAGGCTGAACACTGTGAAAGCCACCCACTACATGGCTACCAGCCTCCTTCCAATAGACTCAAATCAAGGAAAAGCTTTATGAGAACTACCACTCCTCTTGGCATCCCCCCAGCAACAGCAAGGGTATCCCTCTGGGCAGCTAAACCAGGAAATCCCAACTGGATGGCCCCCCATGAGGGTCTTCCTCCAGGGGCAAACCAAGAATGGGCAACTTGGAAGTCCCTGAACAGACTCAGAAGTGGAGTGGGCAGATCAAAAGACAACCTGGCAAAATGGCACTACCTAAAAGAATCCCACACCTTGTGTGACTGTGGAGCAGAACAGACAACTCTGCATCTGTATGCTTGTCCACTATGCCCTGCCTCATGTACAGAGGAAAAATTGTTGGAGGCTACAGACAATGCCGTTGCTGTTGCGTGTTTTTGGTCTAAAGCGATTTAGCTGCTTGTGATCCTTTTATTTTATCAGTTTAAACTTTCATTTATGCAGTGCTTTTGGCATGAAATAAACATATAGTATATATAATTTTCATGTAATATTTATATATAAACGAGGAGCATTTTTCATGCGACACACCTGTAAACTGCAGGCAACACACTAGTGTGTCGCGACACAGTTTGGAAAACTCAGCTGTAGATTCTAGGCTGATTGACTTGTTCCTTTTTCTTTTTGGGGCTGATCAGACTAACTCGTTTTCTTTTATGTCTCTTCATACACAGACAAGAGGGTAATGGATATCATTGCTCACCCAGATAATTACTTAGATGACCTTTTTGCGGACTACTACGAAAAGGCAGCCAGCTTGACGGACATCTCTGCAAGCTATTTCCGAGAAGGAGCTCACATACGTGTGAATTTACTCAATAACAACATCCCCAAGGGCCCTTGTTCCCTGTGCGGGATGGGCAGCTCCAAAAGGGAAACCGTTTATGGGTGCCTGGAGTGTTCTTTCAATGGACAGACCTTTGTAAGACTACATGCTGTGCCTTGCTTTGACCTATGGCATAAGAGGTTGAAGTAAGCCTTTAAATAAAGACATTGGAGTTGGATCCAGGTGACTAGTTGCCCTGAACACCACAGGACTTTCTGTGAATCACAGGTAACTGGTTTTAATGGTCCCTAAACACAACTAACTTCAGCCTGGGCCCAATCTTTTATCAACATTTAGCCGTGTTTGTGCCATAGAAATTTGTGAGTTATAATTGCAAATACATAAAAATGAAGCCAGATATTATTTTATTTAGTTTCATGCTTTTCAAGCAATATTTTATTCTTAAATGTAAAAATATGCCTATCTTAATTTGTTTTTGAAATATGTTTTTAAACATTTTTTTTCTGATTGCATAAAGAAGAATTTTTAACATTTCCTCTTTTGAGTTAGCATTTTAAGAAAAGTAAACATGGGGCCATGGTGGCGCAGCAGGTTAAACTGCTAAGCTTCAGAACTTGCTGACCAGAAGGTTGGAGGTTTGAATCGGTGGGACGGAGTGAGCTCCAGCTGTTAGCTCCAGCTTCTGCCAACCTAGCAGCTTGAAAATATGCAAATGTGAGTAGATTAATAGGTACCACTACAGAGGTAATGGCGCTCCATGCAGTCATGTCAGCTGCATGACTCTATGGACAATCCTGGCTCTTTGGCTTAGAAATGGAGTTGAGCGCCACTCCCCAGAGTTGGACTCAACTAGACTTAATGTTGAGGAGAAATCTTTACCTTTACCTTTAAGCATATTTAAAGTGATGTATAGAAAAAAAAATTTAAGGAATAATGTGCAAACATTAGCTTCCATCTAAAAAAAGCAATGTGTTTTTATCTTAACTACACCACAGTAATATGGGAAGAAAATGTATGAATTATTGATTGGTAGTATAAATAATTAATTGAAGTATCAGATTAAGAACATGCTTGTGTTTGCTCTGGTTAAAAATACAGAGAAATAAAAGCTAGACATTAGTACAGCATAAATGTTTAAATTTAAATTTGCCAGTGCCCCTGCTTATCTCTCACATGTAGTCTATATATTTGTCATAATTATTGCACAGGTTAAGTTGGCTTTTAAAATTATGAGACTTCCTACTCTTAGTTCCTCCTGAGGGATTTGAAAATATATATTTTTAAAAAATAATAAAGGCATATCTTTTTGTGGGAAAGCATGATTCCTCTTGCTTAATTGTGTATCTGATATACTTTAGTATTTATTGTTTTAACAGCAAAGATATAGCCATTAGATGGCACTATCTCCTACTGTGTTTAAAATTGCATGCTAAAATTGGCACTGCTGGGCGCTTCTAGAATTCCTGCTAAATATTTATCTGTCAGGACATTTGTAAAAATAGAAGGGCTATATTTTATTTATTTGGTTACCCTGCAACAAATGGCTTTAAGGATGATGTAATAAATATAAAAATATGCCCCTCGCTACATATATACATTTTTAAAATGTGTAAAAATAGAAGAATCACTGGGTTGCTGTGGGTTTTCCATTCTGTATGGCCATGTTCCAGAAGCATTCTCTCCTGAAGTTTCACCCACCTCTATAGCAGGCACCCCCCAGCAAAGGATTCCCCCAGGCAGGAAGCAGCCCAGGCTTTGAAGCTGCAAGGCCATTCGATGCTAATCAAGGTGGCCAATTACAACATTCAGACTTGCCTCCAACAAACAAGAGTTCTTTCTCCCACTCTGGACATTCCACAGATATATAAACCCCACTTGCCTAGTTTCCAACAGCCCTCACAACCTCTGAGGATGCCTGCCATAGATGTGGGTGAAATGTCAGGAGAGAATGCTTCTGGAACATGGCCATACAGCCTGGAAAACTCACAGCCACCCAATAATTTTGGCCATGAAAGCTTTCAACAACACATAAAAGAATCAATTTAAAAATAAAGCAGAGGCTATAATAGTGCAGAGTGAGCGGGGACTGCACTCGCTTGTGTGATGGTTCAGAACACAGGACAGAATGGGAGAAGGCTGAGGCACTTGAAGCATCTGATTCAATTTTAAAAACAAAATGATGTCTTTAAAATGAAAGAGGATAATATGCTTTGCTAAGAGGATGATCCACCCCGCTTTCTTAACACGTCTGATGAAGTCCTCGATCTTCATACCTCACAGGGCTATTGTGAGAAAAAAACAACCACACTGCCTACAGTGTAAACAAGCAAGGAATATGTTGTTGTTTATTCATTCTGTCGTTTCCGACTCTTTGTGACCTCATGGACCAGCCCACGCTAGAGCTCCCTGTCGGCCGTCACCACCACCAGCTCCTTCAAAGTCAAGCCAGTCACTTCAAGGACAACATCCATCCATCTTGCCCGTCGTCGGCCCCTCTTCCTTTTTCCTTCCCTTTTGCCTATATATATATATATATATATATATATATATATATATATATATATGGAGAGAGAGAGAGAGAGATAACAAATGCAGTCGGATAAAGTATTGGGCACACAGATCTAGCAATGATAATCTGAATGCAAAAACTGACCTCCTCATGAATATTTTTCTGGGAATATTCCATCTGAAACCAAAATATACAGTGGTTCCAGGACCTCTAGTAGATACCAAACTTGGTGGATGCGCGAATGTTGTAGTAAAGTGGCATCCCTTTATCAAAAATGGTGAGCAACTCAAATTAGTGGCAAAAAGAGTCCGAGGATCTTTGAAATGGTGGGAGGCTACAACAGGGCGTGCCTACTTATCAATGTAGTGTTCTGTTTGTGGCAAATTCAAGGTTTGCTTTTGGGGTTTTAAAAAAATACTGTTATGACATTGTGGTACCACCTACCCATATCCAACAAAATGTGTTCTCCCCCTGGGAATTTCCTATGGTATGCATCACCTGGAAGTTGCTCATTTCAATTCTCCTATTATCATTTCTTGTGTTCATGGTAAGTTCATGAATACGGTATATCTCTTGAAGATATGGGAGTCATTCTCTATTTTCGAGCAATGGATAGTAGAATCCATGGATGCAGATACAAACTGCACATCTCTGCTGCATTTCCGCTTGAATCATTCAAGATTGTGATCCAATGCTGGATTTTTACTGTGTTCACAATATAAGCTGCTATCACCATCACATCATAACATGAAACACCTGTTTGGCAGAAAACCCTATGTGGCAGCCCAAGGTGGGAGTGTGGACTTCAGACAATTATAGTATTTACAAGGTTCTGTAGGAACAGACACAGTTTTTGTGTGCTACAATCTTTGTATCAGTATCTTATTGTTCTATCTTCTGCTGTTATGTAGTCCGAAGAAGCAGGTTTTGTAGATGATTGAGGGTTTTGTGGATGGTTAGGAGTGAGTGTAGAGCAATAGTTCTCAACCTGTGGGTCCTCAGGTGTTTTGGCCTACAACTCCCAGAAATCCCAGCCAATTTACCAGCTGTTAGGATTTCTGGGAGTTGAAGGCCAAAACATCTGGGGATCCACAGGTTGAGAACCATTGGTGTAGAGGGAAAACATCTGTATTTACACCATTGTTACAGCATGATTTTTAGGACTAAGGTAGCACCGCGTTTCTTTCCTCTCAGCCCCACCATTCTACAGAGATTATGAAACACGCTTGCTACTCCGCCTTCTCACATTTTATTTCTTCTGAACATTTTATCAACTTTATTTTTAACAAAAAGGTACAAAAACTTATCGCAACAAAGGTATATAAAATATTATGTGCCTCAAAAAGGCCTTTATAATCTATCAAATTAGGCTCGATGCAATGCAAAAGTTCTAAGGAGGTCAATGGGGCTGGGGTGTACCAAAAGATGTTCAGGGTTGGAAATCAAGCAGCAGAACCACAGCTCCGTCTTCATTTCTGATGTGTGTTCAGGGCTTCCCTGCAGTCTGGATTTCATCTTAACTTGAGCATGGTGGGCACAGCCGTGCCACTGAAAGAATGAGTGAGGAATCCCTTGTAGAAGCTTCATGTGCATTTGGGAAGAATGGCTAGACCAGGACACAGGTTAAGAAACAGACCTTCATCCACAATCTGTTATAGTTCATCATGCTGGTAGACATTGTATTCCTTGGCAGATATAAAGCCATCTCCGTCATGGTCGTTCTTTTTAAATATATCAGTCAAAACATTCTCGTGATGTAATGGGTCGCGCTTCTTGCCATCTCTTTCAAATTCCTTCTTCAAGTAAAGGTCTATCTAAATAAATAAAACAACAGAATCATGTCAACTTTTGTTATGTCTGTATTGCAAAGCCACATAGCCAACCTCCAGAGTTGATTTGGGAGCTGAAATGCTATGCCTTGGATAAGAGGTGCCTGTCCCACTGGCAGAGAAACAGGGCTGGATATCAAACCACTGATGCAAAAACAACTTGTAGTCAAAGGAGTCAACCCAATGGTGTTGTTCTGCAGACAACTTGTTCCAGAATATGATGAAACCCTCTAGAGCTGGTTTTTTGTTTTGGTGGCACAAGGGTATGTGCGCGAAAACAATTCTTGTCATTCTAGTGGAAATCTACTAGTTCAGTGGTTCCAATCTTTGGCCCTCTAGGCATTTTAGACTTCTGACCCAAGAATTCCTGACAATTGGCTGGGGCTTCTGAGAGTTAAAGTCCAAAGGGCAGGAACCACTTGAAGGACCAAGGGGCAGGAACCACTGCACAAGTGCAATGCATGATTGGGGAGAAACATTTTATTTATTTTTGCCATTTGGCACAAAGAAACCTAAGGAGAATCACTGCTAAAATCAGGAAGCTCCATACTGATAAAAGAGAAACGTTAAAGACAAAGGAGACTCTGATAAGCTAATCCGACACTCTCATGTGGATGTCTACCTTTCTAAGCGCAGCTGAACAAGGGAAGAGTACGGGCCAAGTATGACTATTTGGGGTTCAGAAACATGGGTATTTGCTGAAGTGTAGATAGTGCTCTCCTCCCTTGCTCTCTCAAAAGACTTCTACATATTAATATATGAAAAGACTGTAAAAAGACAGCCTCCAGTTCATTTTTGATATGTTATTACATAACATGTTATTGATATATTATATGTCAGATTAAACCACTGAGCTGCTGAATTTGCTGACCGGAAGATCGGCAGTTTGAGTCCGGGTGCAGGGTGAGCAAATGTGAGTAGATTAATAGGAACTGCTCCGGCAGGAAGATGACGGTGCTCCATACAGTCTTGTCGGCCACATGACCTTGGAGATACCTATGGACAACAGCAGCTCTTCGGCTTAGAAATGGAGATGAGCACCACCCCCCAGAGTCAGACACGACTAGACTTAATGTCAACGGAAAACCTTTATCTTTACCTTATTACATACAGAGTGAGGCAGCATAACTTCCTTTTTTAAAATGCGCGCCATTCAGTCGGTTGAAGACTGAGCGCTAGTGGTCTCGTTCGAGAGGCGGGAGTATAAAGTTTTGTCCTGACAAAGTTCAGTCGCCATCATGCGTTGGAACAGTGAGGAGCGTGCTTTTGCCGTTGAGGCCTACTTTTCGAGCGGATTTGGAGTGGCCGGCCCGCTCTCCAGACTTGTCCCCTTGTGATTTTTTTTCTATGGGGTTTTTTGAAATCCCGTGTTTATGTGAACCGTCCAAGGACCCTACAAGATTTGAAGACCAACATCCAGGAAGAAATTGCCAACATAACGCCTGCTATGCTGGCAAGAGTCATGACAAACGCCAGAAATCGGTTTACTCAGTGTATGGAGAATGGGGGACGTCACCTACCTAATTTGATCTTCAAAACTACTTAAAACAAAACTTTAGGTATGCGCCTACATTATAATTTTTTTTTAAAAAAAATCTGATTCATACAATGGGTTTTATTAAGTTTTGAAAAAAGGAAGTTATGCTGCCTCACTCTGTAAAACATTGTAGGTTACTTATAACCAGGGAAGCATAGATGAAATGGGGAGTGACTGCTTCGGAATTATTTCTCACATTACCTCGTCTCTTGAAAGTTGTTTGTCTTTATCCATGTCGATATCAGAAAACGCTTCAACGCTGCGTGGTCCTTTTGTTATGGCATACAATTCAATCTCAAAGATCAAAGTTGCATTAGGTGGGATTTTCGCTGGCTCTGGTAATTGAACAAGAACCTTTTAAGAGCAAATCATTTTAACCTCAGACAAGACGACACTGTAGACTGATATAATCCAGTTCGAAGCAAATAATCTGAGATCAGATCCTAGGATACAGAGCAATGTAAATCCAGCCTAAGAGAGGTCCTTGTGCTCTGCCAGAAGCACAGGGACCTCTCTTGGCATAGTAAGCAACATCCTCAATGACCTGGCAATGCCATAATGATCTTGGCCTGCCTGCAATGCCTGTTGTCCCTTGGTGAACAGGGATGCAGGCACTACAGAAGTAGAATTTTGCTCCTCTGGTATAATAAGATCAGGAAGTCCACTGGATTTGTTTGAGGATATTTGTTTTGTTTGTTCTCGGGGAGAAAACCCCCTGAGAAGAACCAAATCAGTAGTCGGTCATGCCTGAACAGCCATTAAAACAAAGAAACAGAATTTGAAATAGGCCTCCAAGGAGTTCAAAGCGGTGGGATCCACAGAGTGATGACAAAAAACTTCTAATTTTCAAAGAACAAAATTAGCTTCAAAGAAGATCCATGTTTAATAAGTCCAAGTATACTCCTGCAACAATATTATATAGTTAGTAGGCTCTGGGAAATGATGACTACCACAAAGGAGAGGCAAGTAGAAATATTAAAGGGGGCTGCTTGCATAGCCAATCGAAAGAAAATAGTTGGCAAGGCATGCACATGCTGTTGATACACATTTATGGTTGTCACAAATGTCTAAATCAAAATTTCTGTCAGGTAGGAATTACAGCTGTATACAAAGGATCTCAGTTTCAATCCCCAGTTGGGAGATGGACTCTGATCTGAAGCAGGGTAGCAGTAGAGGGGTTTCATTCTGCAATGATGGGATGACTTACATTGACCCAGTATGATTTGGGATAAGGCAGCTTTCTATTCCAGTGGTTCTCAACCTGTGGGTCCCCAGGTGTTTTGGCCTACAACTCCCAGAAATCCCAGCCAGTTTACCAACTGTTAGGATTTCTGGGAGTTGAAGGCCAAAACATCTGGGGACACACAGGTTGTGAACCACTGTTCTATTAATTTGTGAATTCATTCTTGAGTTTTTGTGACACAGCATTGAAAACTAGAAACACAACAACCTCAACCCTTTCCATGTGTGAATGGAAAATATTTATGAATTTTTAAAACCTTTTCTATAAAGCATGAGTCCAAGTTTTCCAGATGTTTTGGCCTGTAGCTTCAATCAGCCCCAACCAATCAGCCCCGTCTGACTAAAGTTAAAGATTCTGGGAGTTGTTGGGCAAAACATTTGGAGAGGCAAAAATGTCCTAACAGGGCTAAGCAAAAACAGTACAAAACACCAAAACAATTAGGGGATCAAGGGAAGGGAGGAGGGCAACAAAATTTTTCTATTGCTAGATTTACCATGGACCATATTGTGCAAAACTGAAAATGGTGGAAACATTATTTTTCATAATACTGTCAGTTTTGTTTCATTTTGAAAAATATAATTTTTGGCTTATTATCGTTTATATTTTGAATTAGATATATATATGGGGTACCAAAACATTTTAAGTGCTTAAGGCTTCTAAAGGTCTTAATCCAGCCCTGTATTCCACTACTAACATAGAGCCTAAGGCAGCCTTGAGCCAGTAAACTACAGATTCACAACCTTTTTTAATTCATTACGTGTCTGGAGTAGCTTTTTTTTTTTTTTGCAAAAAATATGGAAGAGTTTAGACTTATGCAAGAAGAACCGCACTAGGAAAGAAGCATATTTCAGACTGCTCAGTTTCTAGATTTAGTAGCCAAACTAGAGAAAAGGGAGAGGGATGAGAAGAATTCAGGGACAACAGTTCACAGAACAATACCTACCATAGGAAAGCTGTGAAAAAAGCTAGAAAGTGACATGCATCCTTGACATTCAGAACTAGCGCCATCTTGCCCAACATGCAGGACTATTCTGACAAAGAACAGAGTGTTGCAGGAGGAAAGAAAAATCCTTCTTCAATCACAGCCTAAAACAAACAGTCATTGTTAGTGTCCAGCAGACAAGGTGCATTAATTTGGTGGAACTATTGTTTCATTACTCACTAGTTTCAGCAGAATTATGTCCATAATCTAAACTTTGCTGAAACTAGTGATTAATGACAGGGTAGAAATGACACTTCTTGAAAACCTCAGTGGGCATTAGACATGTAATTATCCCTCTCCCCCACCCCCGCTGCCAATACCTCATTCACTATGTATATGCAAATATAGGTATTCCAACACCCACAAAATCAAAAATCTGAAAAACCTTTGGTCCTGAGCATTTCAGATAAGAGAGACATATATAATGTCAAATATACATAAACACTCATTCGGCTAACTTAATATCTTCTCAACTAAGTCAGTAAACCTGGTAGGACTAATGCCTAACCATTACTTGGTGACTAGGAGCAGCTCTATGGGATTCGCTTCTCTACTCATCTCCCAGTTTCTGGATTCTGTTGTTTTCCACCCTGTCCAAACTGGTTCACAGCACAGGTAGTAGGTGCTAAACTTCATTTGCAAAGCCATTTCAAACAATGTTTTAAAACCATGATTTGGAGGTAAATCACAAAATGCACAATTTGGAGCTGTTGATGAAAAAGCAGACCTGTCAGGTATCAAAGAGGGTTACACTTGTTTAGATTGTTTACCAATACGGTTTGCAGCTTACCGTTTGTGTGTATACTCTACTGTAACTAAGAAAGATACCGTGTATACTTAAGTATAAGCCAAGTTTTCCAGCCCTTTTTTAGGCTGAAAAAGCCCCCTCAGCTTATACTTCGTAAAGATATTTTATTTTACTCTTTATTATTTTTATTACATTTATTATTTTATCTATTTATTATTATATTAAATTTACATTATTTTACTCTATTTTTACATTTATTATTTTACTCTATTTTTGTTATTATTACATTTCCATTATTTTACTCTACTATTTATTACATTTATTTTTTACTCTATTATTATTATTGGAAGGATATGTAAGCACATTTACTTTAAGGTTAGAATAACAGGTTTAATCAGATGGACAGTCTTATCTTAAAATTACAGTTTTATGTAAATATTCAAAAACATTTAACCTACTGATGCCTCAATGAATGTAATTTTATTGGTATCTATTTTTATTTTGAAATTTACCAGTAGCTGCTGCATTTCCCACCCTTGGCTTATACTCAAGTCAATACGTTTTCCCAGTTTTTTGTGGTAAAATTAGATGTCTTGGCTTATATTCGGGCCGGGTTATACTCGAGTATATATGGTAAATGGAGTCATCACAAGCATTTCTGATGTTTATCCCACCTCTCACTTCCCTCGCATTCCCCTGTTATTACTCTATGTCAAACTGTAGCCCAGGGGTCCTCAAACTACAGCCCAGGGGCCGGATACGGTCCTCCAAGGTCATTTACCCAGCCCTCGCTCAGGGTCAACTTAAGTCTGAAATGACTTGAAAGCACACAAGAATAACAACATCCCTATCTCATCAGCCAAAAGCAGGCCCACATGTCCCACTGAAATACTAATAAGTTTATATTTGTTAAAATTGTTCATTTTAATTATTTTATTGTTTTAAAGTGTTTTTGCACTACAAATAAGATATGTGCAGTGTGCATAGGAATTCATTCATTTTTTTTTCAAATTATAATCCGGCCCTCCAACAGTTTGAGGACCCCTGCTTTAGACTGTAAATTTCTCAGAGTAGAAGTGTTTCCTCCTCTACTAAGTGCCATGTATGTTGCTATGCACACTTAACAAGAAATGAGAAACACACTTGCAACCCATGATATTGAATACTCCTTTTGCTGTAGGCTTAGCTGAATGGAAGGAAATATTGTGAGCCACTTTAAGTCCCAATTTTGGGATAAAGCAGAATATTAGCAATAACAGCAGCAGCAACAGTCATATGTTTTACCATATCCTTGTTCTCCATAGGCAAGCGAAGGAGGAATGATCACCTTCCGTTTCTCTCCAGGACACATATTCAGCATTGCAATATCTAAGCCTTTAATTACTTGTCCAACACCGAGGACAAACCATTTCGGGTGACCATCATTCTGTGTTCGACTACAAAGAAAAAAAAACAAGCAGAAAGAGTTATTTAAAATATACTTCTCAATTTAAAGAAACAATTTTGACATATAAGTATGAAAACAGCGATTAAATTTCATTTCATTCAGCACCAGATTTTCTCCTCCCTTTTAAATTTCTCAACATGTCAGCATAGCATAAACATTGGTGAAGAGTTACTGGTACTTTTCAAAGGTAGGCCCACTGCCTGCCATGTATTTTAATATGTTACTTTCACACTCACGGTTCTTTTCATCTTTGTATAGGTGTAGTGACAAATCAATGAGTTTACATTGTTGTTCCTATTAATTGCCGTCAAGTCGATTTTGAGTTAATAATACACTTTATTTGTATTCCGTCCTTCTCCCATACGGCACTCAGAGTGGATTACAGCATTTACATAAAGGTAAACATTCAATGCCTTTACTAGCATATACGACGAGACACAGTGAGACTTTGTATTTCTAGCTGCAAAGATTACTGCAAATGCAGACTGCAGCCAGGCAATCAGAAGATGTTTATTTCTTGGGAGGAGAGCAATGACCAATCTCGATAAGATAGTGAAGAGCAGAGACATCACACTGGCAACGAAGATCCGCATAGTTAAAGAAATGGCATTCCCCATAGTAACCTATGGATGTGAGAGCTGGACCATAGGGAAGGCTGAGCGAAGGAAGATATATGCTTTTGAACTGTGGTGCTGGAGGAAAGTTCTGAGAGTGCCTTGGACCGCAAGAAGATTCAACCAGTCCATACTCCAGGAAATAAACCCCACTGCTCATTGGAGGGAAGGATATTAGAGGCAAAAATTAAGCACTTTGGCCACATCATGAGAAGACAGGAAAGCTTAGAGAAGACAATGATGCTGGGGAAAACGGAAGGAAAAAGGAAGAGGGGCCGACCAAGGGCAAGGTGGGTGGATGGGATCCTTGAAGTGAGTGGCTTGACTCTGAAGGAGCTGGGGGTGGCCACGGCTGAAAGGGAGCTCTGGAATAGGCTTTAAGCCATAGGCCCCTTCTACATAATGATAATTTAATTATACACCCCCCCTCTCTCCGAAGGGACTCAGGCCATATAAAATCCAGATTATTTGCTTTGAACTGGATTATATGTCAGTGTAGATTCAGATAAACTAGTTTAAGGCAGATCATCTGGGATCAGATCCTGGGATATAGGGTGGTGTGGATTATCTGAGTTGATCATATGGATTATTTGGCAGTGTAGACTCTGCTAATCTAGTTTAAAGTAGATCATGAGATCAGATCCTGCATTATAGGGCAGTGTCGATTATGAGTTGATAATCTGGATTATATGGCAGTGTAGACTCATATAATCCAGTTTAAAGCCGACCATCTGGGATCAGATCCTGTGTGGATTATCTGAGTTGATAATCTGGAGTATATGGCTGTGTAGACTCAGCTAATACAGTTGAAAGCAGATCATCTGGGATCAGATCCTGTGTGGATTATCTGAGTTGATAGTCTGGAGCAGGGGTCCTCAAACTAAGGCTGGATGCGGCCCTTCATGGTAATTTACCCGGCCCTCATTCAGGCTCAACCTAAGTCTGAAATGACTTCAAAGCACACAACAATCCCATCTCATCAGCCAAAAGCAGACCCATACTTTCCACTGAAATACTAATAAATTTATATTTCTTAAAAATGTTCTTCATTTAATTATTCTATTGTTTTTAAGTGGGTTTTTTTGCACTACAAATAAGATAAATGCAGTGTGCATTGGAATTAATTCATGGTTTTGGTTTTTTTCAAATTATAATCTGGCCCTCCAACAGTTTGAGGGATTGTGACCTGGCCCTCAGTTTAAAAAGTTTGGGGACCCCTGATCTGGAGTATATGGCGGTGTGGATTATCTGATTAGATAATCTGAAGTATATGGCAGTGTAGGCTCAGGTAATCCAGTATAAAGCAGGTCATCTGGGATCAGATCCTGCGTTATAGGGCAGTGTAGATTATCTGAGTTGATAATCTGGATCATATGGCGGTGTAGACTCAGATAATCCAATTCAAAGCAGATCAAATCTTTGATAATCTGGATTATGTGCACTGTAGAAGGGGGAAGGGGCCCTAGTCCAATGCTCAAACCACTACACCGTATTGTCATTCTCACAATTTCAGGCATGCCCACACTGCTCCTGAATTTGGGCTTCTTTCCCAACAGGTGTGACTAGGATTGCCATGTGCAGTCAATGTAAACATGGGAAGGCTCCCACCCCCTGAATGTACCTGCAGTAAAACTTGGCGCCACCGCTGGCCAGGTAGCCATCGTAGTGGGCGTTGAGGAGGTCCCCTTTCTTGCTCTTCTGGTGGCACTCTTCGGGGAGGTGCACCACCTCCACCTGCACCTCATCCGAGGGCCCTCCTGCCTTTTCTGCTCCGCTCTGGAGGGAAAGCAGCGCCAGGACTTGGAGGAGGAGGAGGAGGAAACACCCGCCCAGGTGCATGGCTGCCCCTGAAGATGCTCTGCTCAGACACCGCCTGCCAAACTCTTCTCCTCCTCCTCTCACTACACTCTCCTCCCGGGTCTGCGTGGCACTGGCATTGTCCTACGTCACGGGGGGGGGAGGAGCTAGAAACGGAGGCGTGGGATTGGTCTCCCTCCTTTGTAGTTCATGCAGAGCCTTTGGAGCATGCGCAAAGAGGAGCCGCCTTAATCTCAATCTGCAGAGGAAGGTCTCAGAAGTGGGAGTGACATTCCGGATGGGAGGGGGGCAGTCGCAAGGGAGGACAGCACAAAAACTCACCCTTTCCCCCCCTTCCACACAGCCCTATATCCCAGGATATCATGGCAGAAAATCCCTCAATATCTGAGTGTGGACTCAGATAACCCAGTTCAAAGCCCCTTCCACACAGCTTAATAAAATCCCACATTATCTGCTTTGAATTGGGATATATGGCAGTGTGGACTCGGGGCCCTTTTATATAGCCCTATATCCCAGGATATCAAGGCAGAAAATCCCTCAATATCTGAGTTTGGACTCAGATAACCCAGTTCAAAGCAATGTGGGGTTTTCTGCCTTGATATTCTGTGATATAGGGCTGTGTGGAAGGCCCCCATACAGTTTAATAAAATCCCACATTATCTGCTTTGAACTGAGATATATGTCAGTGTGGACTCAGGGCCCTTCCATACAGCCCTATATCCCAGAATATCAAGGCAGAAAATCCCACAATATCTGCTTTGAACTGGGTTATCTGAGTCCACACTCAGACAATGTGGGATTTCCTGCTTCAATATTCCGGGATATAGGGCTGTATGGAAGGGCTCACAGATCACCCACTTCAAAGCAGATATTGTGGGATTTTTCTGCCTTGATATTCTGGGATATAGGGATGTGTGGAAGGGCCCTGAGCCACTGTTTATCTCCAATAATAATAATTGTGGTCATTCCACAGATATATAAACCCCTTTTTTCCCATTTCCAGCAGACCTCACCCCTGAGGATGCTTGCCATAGATGCAGGCGAAACGTCAGGAGAAATGCCTCTAGAACATGGCCATATAGCCCGAAAAAACCCACAAGAACTGAATAACAACAACAACAACAACAGCATTATAATAATATTCGCCGATAACATCACACATTCTACATAGTCATATAATCCAGTTCCAAGCAGATAATCTGGATTTTATATGGCAGTGTAGAAGGCGTCTCAAGATGCATCCACACTGGGGAATATAATCTGGTTCAAAGCAGAAAATGTAGAGTATCTGCTTTGAAAGTCTGAATTGTATGGCAGTGTAGAAGGGGCCTAAGGGCATTCCAGCCCTATATCCCAGAATATCAGGGCAGAAAATCCCATAATATCTGCTTTGAACTGGGTTATCTAAGTCCGCACTCAGATAATGTGGGATTTTCTGCTTTGATAGCCTGGGATATAGGGCTGTGTGGAAGGGCCCTCAGAATCTCAAGGCAGAAAACGCCACAATATCTGCTTTGAACTGGGTTATCTGAGTCCACTGGGCAACGTCCTTGCAGACGGCCAATTCTCTCACAACAGGAGCGGTTGCTCCTGACACAACCAAAAAAATCTGAGTCCACACTGCCATTTATCCCAGTTCAAAGCAGATATTGTGGGATTTTATTGAGTTTTGTGGAAGGGGCCTGTGGGCCCTTCTACACAGCCCTATATCCCAGTATATCAAGGCAGGAAATCCCACATTATCATGAGTGTGGACTCAGATAATCCAGTTCAAAGCAGATATTGTAGGATATTATTCAGCTGTGTGAAAGGGTCAGGCCTCTTCCATACAACTGAATAAAATATCACATTTTCTGCTTAGAACTGGAATATGTGACAGTGTGGACTCAGATCACCAAGATCAAAGCAGATACTGTGGGGTTTTCTGGCTTGATATTTTGGGTTATATGGCTGTGTGGAAGGGCCCTGAGCCTCTGTTTATCTCCAATAATAGTAATAATATTTTTTTTTGTCATGTCAGGAGCAAGTTCTGGTGTGAGAGAATTGGCCGTCTGCAAGGACGTTGCCCAGGGGACACCCGGATGATTTGATGTTTTTTATCATCCTTGTGGGAGGCTTCTCTCATGTCCCCGCATGAAGAGCTGGAGCTGATAGAGGGAGCTCATCCGCCTCTCCCCGGATTCGAACCTGCGACCTGTCGCTCTTCAGTCCTGCCGGCACAGGGGTTTAACCCACTGCATCACCGGGGGCTCTAATAATAATAACAACAACAACAACAACAATAATCGCCACACACACTGATTTCAATCCCAGGACAGGCAGAAAATCCCATAATATCTGCTTTGAATTGGCCCTTCCACACAGCCCTATATTCCAGAATATTAAGGCAGAAAATCCCACAATATCTGCTTTGAATTGGGTGATCTGAGTCCACACTGCTATATATCCCAGTTCAAAGCAGATACTGTGGGATTGTATTCAGCTGTGTGGAAGGGGCCTTAATTTAGGGGAAGAGAAGAAACATAGGAAAGGGGAGGGCTGTGTTTGTGTGTGTATATATCCATATATATGTGCACACACACACACATATTCTTGGCCCATCCCTGCCTTCGCCTCTTGGGGTTTGCAAGTGGTGCAGGCGCATATGTTCCTCCCCCTTTGGTGCTACGTTTTCCTTTAAGCCCGCAACCCTCTTCATCCAGGAAGTAAATGAGACGTCAGGGTCAATGGCATCCCAGGCAAGAGGTGGAGGGAGAGAGAGAGGGAGGGGAAGGGGGAAGGAGGAAGGAGGAAGGGGAGAGGGAGAGGAGGCAGACCAAAGCCTTGGGTCCTGCCTTGCTTTGTTTTCCCCAGCGGCTGCGCTGAGCCCAGGCCAGGAGGATTGCCCCTGCTCTTGATGCTGCCTCTCTTCTCCTTCTTCCTCCTCCTCCTCCTCCTGGCTCCTGGGCATCCTCCTTAGAAGCCAGCCCAAGAGCCCCAAGAGCTGCCAGCCCAGCCCTCCATGTCCTTCTGTTTTCCCAAGAGGAGAAGAGCCCTCCTTGCTGCTCTGCCCAAGGCCAAGGAAGGAAGCAAACGAGGGAAAGAAGGAAGGAAGGAGGAAGCAGGATGCTGCGCCAGCCGCCGCTTTGAAGGATGGAGGGAGTCTTGTACAAGTGGACCAATTATATCACAGGTACTGGGAGGGGGAGGAAAGGAGGGGGGATTCGAACGTCTGAACGCAGGCGCACAAAGACACGTGTGTATTTTCCTCTCTTGTGAGAAGAGCAGAAAGGCTCTGATTCCTTCCCTCCTTCCTTGAGGAGCCTCTCTATGGGCCCTTCCACACAGTCCACAATATTTGCTTCGAACTGGGTTATTTGAGTCCACACTGCCATATATCCCAGTTCAAAGCAGATATTGGAGGATTTTATTCAGCTGTGTGGACGAGACCTTAGGGCCCATCCACACAGCCCTGTATCCCAGAATACCAAGGTGGAAAATCCCACAATATCTGCTTTGGATTGGATTATCTGAGTCCATACTGCCATATAGAATCATAGAATCAAGGAGTTTGAAGAGACCTCATGGGAAATCCAGTCCAACCCCCTGCCAAGAAGCAGGAATATTGCATTCAAATAACCCCTGACAGATGGCCATCTAGCCTCTGTTTAAAAGCCTCCAAAGAAGGAGCCTCCACCACACTCCTGGGCAGAGAGTTCCACTGCTGAACGGCTCTCACAGTCAGGAAGTTCTTCCTCATGTTCAGATGGAATCTCCTTTCTTGTAGTTTGAAGCCATTGTTCTGCGTCCTAGTCTCCAAGGAAGCAGAAAAAAAAGCTTGCTCCCTCCTCCCTGTGGCTTCCTCTCACATATTTATATATGGCTATCATATCTGGAGGGAGTCCAGTTCAAAGCAGAAAACGTGGGATTTTATCCAGCTGTGTGGAAGGGGCCTATATATCCAGCCTGGAAGACACAAAATCTTTGCGTTTTTGTTGTTAGAAATCTTGCTTCATCCTTTCCCCCCTCCTTAGCGGAACCTAAGGTGGCGCAGTGGGTTAAAGCGCTGAGCTTGTTAACCAAAAGATTGTAGGTTCGAATCCAGGGAGCGGTGTGAGCTTCCTCTGTCAGTCCCAGCTTCTGCCAACCTAGCAGTTCGAAAACATGCAAATGTGTGTAGATCAATAGGTACCACTCCAATGGGAAGGTAGTGGTGCTCCATGCAGTCATGCAGGCCACATGACCTAGGAGATGTCTACAGACGCCAGCTCTTCAGCTTAGAAATGGAGATGAGCACCACACCCCAGAGTCAGACTGGACATGTCAGACTGGAGATGAGCACCACACCCCAGAGTCAGACTGTCATGTTGGGACAACCTTTACCTTTATCTAGCGGACCCTGAGTGCATCTACAATTGGCATGGGCAAGCTTCGCCCCTCCAGGTGTTTTGGACTTTAACTCCCCACAATTCCTAACAGCCAGGAATTGTGAGAGTTGAAGTCCAAAACACTGGGAGGGCCGAAAATTGCCCATGCCTGATATATAATGAATTGATGCAGTTTGATATCACTCAAACTGTCAAAGCTCAGTGCTATGGAATGCTAGTTGTTGTTTTTTTTACAAGGTCTTGAGCCTTCTCTGCCCAAGAGTGTTGTCGGTGCCTCATCAAACTACAACTTCCATAATTCCACAGCATTGACACTGCATTCATTCTACAATGTCGATGCATTGCTGGTTGCCGGGTTGGCATAAATAAAATGATGGTTGGAAAACTAGAGTGATTGTTGTTGTTGTCAATAGCCCTCAAGTAAACTTTGATTTATGGTGATCACAGGGATGAATAATCACAAAATCACCTATAATAATAATAATAATAATAATTTAATTATACCCCGCCTTAATACCCAGAAGGGACTCAGGCTATATAAAATTCAGATTGTCTACTTTGAACTGGATTATATGCTAGTGTAGACTCAGATAATCCAGTTTAAAATAGATAATCTGTGATCACATCCTGGAATATAGGGCAGTGTAGAAGGGTGATCAGTAAAGAATAAGGTGTTTACTCTTTGTTATGTACAGCAACATATATACAGTCATGTGAACAGTTGCATTGACTCACATAATGTCCTTTGAGAAAGATTCAAATGTTCCTTGGGTGTCTATGTGAAGGATCTTCTTCCATCAACTCAGAAGCTGAAAATATGCACTGACTTGTCTTGGCAAGTTCCTGCACAGAAAACCTAAACATGTAACTGTTGCCAAAACTCTCAGGCTCAGCTAGCCTCTCAGGTGTGGCCCAAACAATCAGCTTCATGCTTTGCATTTTTCAGCTAACACACTCACCAAGTGATTTTTACATGTGCCAACAGAACAGGCATGGGCAAACTTCAGCCCTCCAGGTGTTTTAGACTTCAACTCCCACAATTCCTACAGCCTACCGAAACGTGGGAGTTGAAGTCCAAAACACTTGAAGGGTCGAAGCTTGCCCATGCCTGGTGTAGAACCATATCGCAAATGCTGTTAAGACTGCTTCTGAAAGCCTGCATGAACCAATCCTTTCTTTATCTTTATGTGAATTGGCGTTTGTAGCTTAAAATTAGTGGTAGTTTATCAAACAAGACAGCAGAACAAATTAAGATTTCTAATGGATTCTTTGTTTGCAAGTGAAGACAAGTAACACATTTGTTAAAGTGAACTTGAAATCTGAGATGCATCTACACTGTAAAATTAATGCAATTTGACGCCACTTTAACTGCCATGGCTCAATGCTATGGAATCATAGTTTGGTGAGGCAGAGAAGGCTGAAGACCTTGTAAAAACTATAACCCCCATAATTCTATAACATTGAGCAATTGCAGTGTCAAACTGCATTAATTTTAGAGTGGACATACACCCCTGGTTTGTTTATCTTTTGAGATGTACAGGACAGAGAAGTGGAAGGGAAACACAACTTCCTGCTTGGCATACAATATCAAGCCATGGTTTAAATATTTTATAAGAAACTTCTCATTATGTGCAAAGTGGGTGCTGTACCACTTAATTCTGTCTTCTGCAACAGTATTCAGTTTTGCATTTAAAATGGAAGCACAATTCCTGAAAGATTTCCAGAAGGTGGTAGACTAGGTACCTCTTCTTTTAGAAGTCTGCTCATTATTTTAGAATAATTTCTCTGTTTCCTCAATTGAGAAACGTTCTGTTTACTTACCTTGGGGAGACAGCTGTGCCCTATGCACTAGTAATTCCAATGTTTGAAGATGTAATAAAAGCTAACTCCCGGCTTGCTGTGATGACACAGTCTTTTAACTACCTCCCTTGTTCTAATTTCAGATTATGATTTGGGCTGATGAAGTGTTGCTTGTTTTTCTGCATTAGGTCCTGCCTTGGATATTTTGCTGTCTGAGGTTGCTCAAGAGAGTGTCCCTTACGCATTTGATGGACTGAGGTTGACTCTTATCATATATGCTCATGTATAAATCATGGGACAGACTAAGCTCTTACCTTTTGCCACACTTCTCAGAGAAGGGAGTGGTTCCTTTTTTAATAAGAGTTACGGTACAGTACTTATACTGACCTATGGATAATTCGACCGAGATTTTGTGGATTGGTTTTTTTTATTAAACTTTCTAGACTTATACATGAGTATATAAGAGTAGTTCAACACTGCTCAAAATACTGTGTTTTCTATCCCACCTGTGGAATAGAATGCACAAGGTAGGGCGGAAAACACACATAGGTCTGTCATTCCAACACTTTGACATTACTTTCCTCCCCAAGCATCTATTACCTGAGATTGCTGAATTAATTTGCTTAATGTATAGGGCCAGCCCTATATTGCATACATTTCAGTACCCTTATATTCCGGTATATAAGACGACTGGGCGTATAAGACAACCCCCAACTTTTCCAGTTAAAATATAGAGTTTGGAATATACTCGCCGTATAAGACTACCCCTCTTCCAACGCACACCAAATAAAAATTTAAAAAGCATCAGATTTGATTTCAGTACGGTAATTTTCCTATTACTGTCCCTCCTTCTCTGCTTCTCAGATCTCGTACATGCGCACCTGCACCGCTTCACTGCAGTCTTTAGGAGCGAGATTTGAGAGGCAGAGGAGGAGGTACGGTAATAGGATACAAGGGCAGGCCAGACAGATAAAAGAGGTGTGTTTTTCTGGGCCCAGAGCCACTCTGTCTCTTTTTTCCATACCCCGGGTGCCCTGGACACCTGCAGCTTGCTCTGCCCTTCACTTACACCTTTCCGGTGAGGCGCCCCTTCACTTCACCATCGGGATTGCATTAAGCCCACAAATCCTGATGGATGATTATCTTCTACCATACTTGTACAGCGTCGCCCTTAATGCTTCCATACAGTCGCTGCATACGGCAGGGACACGGCCATTGCCATTTTTGAGCTTCCCCCATCGTATGCGGCAACCACAGATTCTCCAATCCAGATTGGAAGTTTCAGCACCCGCTTTATAAGACGACTCCCACGTATAAGACTACTCCCGCATATAAGATGACTTCCATGCATAAGGCTACTCCCGTGTATAAGACTACTCCCATGTATAAGACTACTCCCGCGTATAAGATGATCCCGCGTATAAGACGACCCCTGACTTTTGAGAAGATTTTCTTGGGTTAAAAAGTAGTCTTATACACCAGAATATACGGTACATTAAGGAGCCATTCCAAATGTACTTTGATAGTGCTCCGTAACACGATTTTTTCCCCTGGGTTATAAATGTCATTTCCTAATAAAAACATGGGAAAAGTTTATTAAACTGCAAAAACTTGTTTTTTTGCAGGACATCCTGCAGCATATTTTGCTGTAGTATTTAAATGAATATCTCATAGTATCTCAACCAATTCAACATAGTTTGTGGCAGACACAAAAGTGAAGTAGTATGACAACTACTTTCAAAGTCAGTACTTCACAATTAAATAGGAAATAACACTTTGAAACCAGAAACAGATTTTTCTTTTTTTGGAATAGCCTGCAAGGACCATCCAGCCCAGGCCCATTCTGCCATGTGGGAACACACAATCTAAGCAGTCCTGACAGATGCAGAAAGCCAGCCTTCCTTGTTACAGTATTCTTATCTACCAGCGGAAGAACAGGGAAAGACTCAGTCCAATCTCCCTTGGAATAAGCACGGTGGAGACGTTACAACCAGCTACCTACTTAACTACCTAGGGATCACTTCATCTCTTTTTATTATCTCTCATTAGCTGTATTTCACAAGAGAGCTTTTCCTCAATATGTATGGTCCCCGAAAGACGTATTGGAGCCTGTATTTTGTTTGCATGTGCTTTAAATATGTCTCCTTTGCCTTTAACATTTGATAGCTCTGTGAAGTAAACAAGTCTGTGCATGAAGATAGTGGCAGAAGTTTCTGGGAAGTTTGAAAGAGAGAGAGAGAGAGAGAGAGAGAGAGAGAGAGAGAGAGAGAAGGAGGACTTGAAGTTGCATCATATTGTGAAAGGAAGAAAATTGATGTATTTGTAAAATGGTTAAACTGTTCCATTTCATTTTGAAGGGTTTCCTAAGGGACTTTTATCCTCAATTTTATCTTATTTCTAACACAGTGATATCTGTGGTGGAGGAGAATTTAATTTCCACCACATTAGTATGACATAACATACATTAGACATGGATATTTTTGCAGAAGCAGGTACTTAATATGACTGTATTATACAGATTTAGATCTTTCTGTCTACAAGATATAGAACTTTTTTTGTGAAACCTTTTAAACAACAGTCTTTTAAATAATAATCCAATCCCCACCATATATTCTTCCTAGAATGAGATAATTTTTCAATTTTGCTTTCTCACATATTCAGTTTGTTCTGAACATGGTGACATTTCTGAATTTTGGTAAACTCTTTTTTTAAAAAATGAACTGATATATTTTTTGCCATATGTTCTTATTTTATCCCATGCCCTTGTCCCATAGTTACAGCTCTCCACTTATTCCCATTCCTTTGCCCTATTGTTTACAGCCTTGCCCTGTTTACATTAGCTATCACCATTGATGGATAAACAGTTTTATTCTGAGTTTTATGTTGTTTACATTCTTATATGTTTTATTCAATTGAATTTTATATTGTGTTTATTTCATGTTCTGCTTATTAGACGCCCCAGTCCCTTTGGGGAGATGGTGGCAGGATACAAGAATGAAGTTGTTGTTGTTATTTGCCACATGCTAATTTAATGTTAATATGGTTTTTATATTACAAAAATTTAGGGGTAGAAAACAGTCTATTGTATTTTATTCTATTGGTTTATATCTAAACTTTCGCTCGAAAGCTGGATTCCAACGCAGTTAGGAATTTTTGTTCCTGGGTTATAAATGTCATTGGTTCTATCATGAAAAACATGGGAAAAGTTTATTAAACTGCAAAAACTTTGTTTTGCAGTCTGAACAAAAAGTTAAAAGTGGCACATTAAAAGGTTTAAAAAGGTAACCACAAAAAAAAAAACCAAAGTTTCTAGATTATATTAACTGCTTTCAAAGTAAGTACAACACAATTATACAGGAAATAATACTTTCTAACCAGGAACAGAACATTTTTCAAATTTTGTTACGTAGTGTAATGGGATTGTATTGTCGAAGGCTTTTATGGCTGGAATCTAGAACATGGCCATATAGGCCGAAAAAACCCACAACAACCCTGTAATGGGATTCTTCAGAAATCGTTGCCGGAAAGAAATGATATAGTCTGGCTGTCTCAATTTTTAAAATCTGTTTTTTTTTACTATTTGTTTTTAATGAATTTTGTTTTTCTATTGTATCCTTTTTGTGTAATTAGGTTTTTATTAATTGTAATCTGCCCAGTGAAATTAATATCATGGGGCACAACACAAAAGAGAAGCAAACATATTTCTGTTCTTCTGTAATGCTTGGAGAGCCAGTAGAAGGCAACTACAATGAATACAAAATTAGGAGGATTTTGATTTATTTTTGTTCCCTGTTCTCATTTAGTAGGTTTGGCCATTGGAACTGCAGATGATGCCGTGCCCTTTTGTTGTGTGGCCCTTGCAGTTGCAACAGAACTGTATTATTTTTGTGTGGAGTTTGTCTGTGCTCAGTAAACTTCTTAATTATTTGCCCCATTGGCTTCACTTGACTTGGGAGATCAGCTTGAGTTGGGATTGTATTTCTGCAGTAGATAGCAACATCTGTGTTTGAACTTGTAAATTGGTTTGTCTTGCAATCTTCTTTTACTAATGCAGTATATTCTTTATCAGCCATCCTTTGAAATGTAGATTAGTTCAGCCTTGTCAGTGGCAAAAAAATAACAACAACAGCAACAACAACAACAACAAAAACCCAAAACAAAAACCCCACATCTTTTCCTTAGAAATGCCCTTTCTGTGATTTCAAGTTACCTGGATTTAGTGTGGATGAGAGTATGTTAATGAAAAACAAAAAAATACAAAACTGAAACAGATGGAAGCCTGGGTGGCTGTGAGTTTTCCAGGCTGACATAGTGGTTGTTAGAGTAGTCCAGCATGTCAGACTATACAGAGATGCCATTGAAATCCACACACGTGTGGATAATTTCAACAGAAAGGAGGAAACCATGAACATGAACAAAATCTGGCTACCAGTATTCAAAAACTAAAATCAGGACAGTAAATAAAAAGCAGCACTCAAAAACCAGGGGAATTCCAGACAGAAAACAGTCAGGGCCAGCTATTTATTTATTGTGTATTTAAAAACACAAAGTTAAAACCTTGCCATTATACTAAATGTCCTTTGACCAGTAGCTGGCCACTTGGAGTTCCTCTGGTGTTGCTATAAGAAGGTCCTCCGTTGTGCATGTGGCAGGGCTCAGGTTGCATTGTAATAGGTGGCCATGTCAAGTTTCTTTTTCTTTTTTCGTGTCAGGAGCGACTTGAGAAACTGCAAGTCGCTTCTGGTGTGAGAGAATTGGCCGTCTGCAAGGATATTGCCCAGGGAACGCCCGGATGTTTTGATGTTTTACCATCCTTGTGGGAGGCTTTTCTCATGTCCCTGCATGGGGAGCCGGAGCTGACAGAGGGAGCTCATCCGTGCTCTCCCCGGATTCGAATCTGCGACCTGTCATGGCCATGTCAGTTAAAGTGATATCATGTTCCATTAATTTGATAGTGTAGATCAGGCACGGGTAAATTTTGGCCATTAAGGTGTTTTGGACTTCAACACCTACAATTCCTAACAGCTTACTGGAAAAAAATCTGGTTTTCTGCACCCAACTGGAAGTGAGGTTTTGGTTATTCCAGCTCACAGTATGTCCTTTTTCATCTAAATTGTCCACTGGATTTGCTGCAGTTACCCTCTCCGGATTAAAAACGGACAGTGCTATTCTTTGTGTGATATTACACTTGAAACAGACATTTATGTTGTGCTCTCCTCTTGCTTTAGGTTGGCAGCCTCGTTGGTTTGTTCTAGATAATGGGATATTGTCTTACTACGATTCACAGGATGATGTTTGTAAAGGTAGCAAAGGAAGCATAAAGATGGCTGTGTGTGAAATCAAAGGTAAGATCCACAATGAGTCTTTGTGTTAAGTATGTATTTTGGCATTTTGTGTAGATATGCTATTGGTAGATGGTTGTTGTTGTTTGCCTCCAAGTCATTTCCAGTTTATGATGGTCCTAAGGCAATGGTTCTCAGCCTGTGGGTCTCCAGATGTGTTGGCCTTCAACTTCAAACTGGCTGGGATTTCTGAGAGTTGTAACCCAAGACACCTGGGGACCCACAGGTTGAGAACCACTGCCCAAAGGTGAACCTATCACAGGGTTTCTTAGGGCTGAGAGTGTGGGACTCATTGAAGATCACCCAATGAGTTTCCATGGCTGAGCATGGAATTGAATCTTGGTCTCCAGAGTCATAGTCCAATGCCTAGTTCACTACCCCACTTTGACTACACTTTAGGTAAATGCATCACTACTCTGACTCCTCAGTTACTTGTCCATGGCAACAAAGGATGATTGAAAAAGTGGAGGGTGGTGTTAGTGGGTGGAGGGCATGATTTCTTCAATTTTCTCCAAGATGTTAGGGGCAGATTTGCATTCCCTTTCCCACCCCCCAGCACTGAGCATCTCTTTGGCAGAAATAGAAGTGTTTCAAGCCTTGAAATGTCTTAGAAATTGCAGGTGATTTTTTTTTACCCAGGGGACTTTTGAATGATGCTAAAAAGAGAAAGGAAGACTGTTTCATATTGAATTTTCAATATGAAACAGAGGTTCAAACTCAGTGCTGTGTGGAAGAAAAAGTTCTGTACTTGTAGGTGTATGCTTTCAGCTGCTGGGTTTTCTGTAGAGCAGCAAGGGGGTTCCTAAGGACCAGGCAACTAATACAGTTACTAATGAGTAACTAATACAGTTCTAGAGCAGTGCTGCTCAAAGTAGTGAGTCTAAATGCAGTGCCAATCCTTGAGATGCATGGGGGAAATACCACATCAGATACCTTGAGATGCCTTTCCTGGAGAACTTCTGGGCACAGTTTATTCTCATCTAAGCATCCCAGGCAAATGGGAATATCCATGTCAGTTAAAGCAAAACAGTGACTATAATAACTAGGTTGAAGTACGGTAATCCAATTGTGACTGGGCAAACTACCTTTATTTTTTTTAACCACGTTTCAAAATTTTGTTCTTTCTCTTGTCTTTCCAAGTGCACCCAACAGATAGCACAAGAATGGAGTTAATCATCCCAGGAGAGCAGCACTTTTACATGAAAGCTGTTAATGCAGCTGAGCGACAGAGGTGGCTAGTAGCGTTGGGGAGCTCAAAAGCCTGCTTGACAGACACCAAAACAAAAAAGGAAAAAGGTATTTGCTCACATTTTCTAAATTAACCCAGTCTGGATAGTTATTAGTCAATATTTCTACCATGTGAAATACTAACATTATTTATTTATTTATTTGTTCATTTATTTATTTGCTGGTAAAAAAGAGATGGTTCAAACACTACCACTACCTCCCAGTTTCAGTTGAGTTTTCAGTTGAGTTTTTTCATTCCACCTATTTGCCTTAAAAAAAGAATGTAAAAATGTTTCAGCATTGTACACATCTTCAAAAGATAATAATAATCCCTTCCTATAGTATCATGATCTAACATACTTTGAAACTAGCAGGTAAAGAAATGGTGGGTGAAAGGAGAAAAAATAGTAAAGCAACTGGTCCTTTATTGCTGATGGATTGTGTCAGGTTGGCCTCTCGCACATCACTATGTTCTCACTGGGAGCACATTAGGCTTGGTGATGTGCTGTTTACTAGTGGTTCTTAGTTCGCTACACAAGGATTGAAGCCAAAGTATGCTTCTCTTTGGTTTTTTTCAGACCTAAGTTAATTGACAGAGACGGAAGATTATCAGCCACTAATATGTTCTTTGGCTATGTACTTAACATCTGTTTGTAGAAGTCTTCTGTATATACTAATGTACACTAGTGATGCTCTTCCACGTGAAGGGAAATTCAGGATTCACACTCACAGATAGTTATTTATTTATTTTAATCATTTAGGCAATTTCTAACCCACCTTTCCCCATTTTAGGGCCCAAGGCAGTTGGCAGTATTAATAAAATAAAACAATACAAACATTAAAAATAATGCATAATAAAACCAAATATTCTGAAGTGCTGGAAAACGTTAAAACCTGTATAATAAAATAAAACTATAAAATCCTAAAATCCAGGGTTCCTAGAAGCCAACATCTAAGAGCATTAAGATAGGCTAAGGAGGTCCTCCTCTCGGTCCCACCGCTTTCACAGGTGCAGTTGGTGGGGATGAGAGACAGGGCCTTCTCGGTGGTAGCACCTTGGCTGTGAAACTCCCTCCCCAACAAGATCAGATCAGCCCCCTCCATCCTGATGTTCAGGAAATTACTCAAAGCGTGTTTTTTTTTGGCAAGCATTTGGAGAGTGAGATGAAGCAGCCAAAATAACTTTAGGATTGGTGCAATGTCCAATGTTCTATGTTGTGTTGTTTATGTTTGATGTTTTATAGTTACTGGTCTTCATCTATTATTATACGATATTTTAGTGATGTGTTGTGTTTTATATTTCGTGATGCATCGAATTTTACCATTTACTTTGTTGTTAACCACTTTGAGTCCCCCATGGGGTCAAGAAAAGTGTTATATAAATGAAATAAATAATTAAATAATAAATACAGTCGATCCAATCAGCCAAAAGCTTTATTGAAAACGAATGTTAGAAGACTTTTTCTGAAGTCTAGCAAGATATGGATGGATCTGATACACAGTATGACCCTCGGATCTGCAGAGGATATGTTCCTGACCTTACCATGGAAACAGGAAACTATAGATAATAGAGAGCCCTATTGTAAAAAAACAACTTCTGCTGGGAATTACCACATAATCTTGTGGGATCACCCTAGAAAAATCCTCTCTAGAAATTTTCTAGCTCTTCCAGCAAGACTCTGGTAAATTTTGGTGGAAATATACAATTGAATCACCTGGAGGATATAGAAAATTCCTAGAGAGGGCATATTTTGTTGGATATGGATAGTTAAAGCATGGGTACCAGTCCCTTATTGTGTATAGATATGATTTAAAATTCATTGGGCACCTTGCACAGGTACTGAATGTGCACACTGAACAAATAGTGATGTGATCCTGAAACCCCTTTATATACTTCACTAAGTTCTGCATGGCTGTGATTAAAATCCGGCGGACAGTGATTGAGAGTCAAAAGACCTAAGCTTCACCTCTGGAATATTGATGGGAAATCAGACATAGGCTGATATTTATAATGTTGGATACTCTCTCCCCGGTGCCATCCCCACTACCTCCCTTTAGACTGCCTTCGGTTAATCTCGTGGGTTGAGTTGGGTTTTAATAATACTTGTATGTGGTTTTTAGCCTAGATTTTAAAAGTTGTTGATATTTGAAGTATATAACTCCTTGGGTTTGGCATGGGTATGCGGGACTGGGTCCCACTGTTATGATCTGCTCATTGACTGTAATAAAGTTTACTTACTTGCTTACTATATACTTTTAAAACATTTGAATACAATTCACCTGTTGTGGGGTCAGCATGGTAGAGTGAATGAGTGGAAATCTCCACCAGTCTCTTGGTGGCATGTGCAGGTGCTTGGTAAAACAAGAGCTAAGATTGGAAGCTGATGTAGAAAAGTGGGTGCTTCTCACCTTGTGAAAGTTCAGGACTGAGTCTTTTTTGTTTTAAAGAACTCAAAAGTAAATGTTTGAAACTTGAGAGAAACTCCTACACTTGAATTGGAAAACTTTGTTATGCTACTCTTGCAGAAACAAATGAAACCAGTGAATCTCTGAAAACCAAAATGTCTGAGCTTCGTCTCTACTGTGACCTTCTAATGCAGCAGGTCCATACAATACAAGAATACGTTCACCACGATAAGAATCGTTCCTCACCTACTGTAGAGGTATCAAAGTATTATTTTTTTTCTTTTCTTTTGAGCAGCTTTTATTTCCCATTGAACAATGCAAATGATGCTCCCTTTTTTGCTCTGGAGAATCAGCTTCAATGTCATGATATACCCATGAGTTTGTCAAGCATAGCTGTGAATGGGCAGAACAGCAACACAGTTTCTCTAGGATTGCCTTCTGCTAATCTCAGGAGTCACCTAAGTCTGTGGAAGCCTCCTATTTGCAAGTCAATGAAAAATGTTGCTAAGTGGCAGAAGCAAAATGAAGGCATAGTCTCTCTCAATAAAAATTATGCTCCCCAATGGATTTTTCCTACAATCCCCTAGCATTTCAAACAGGGCAACACTGTCTACCATGAACTCTTACATTTGCTGTTTTTGCATTTCCTTAGTAACTTTTTATCTTTCCTTTTGATGTCTAAATGGAATTTTCACCCCCCCCCTCCCCAACAACATTTCAGCAATGTAAACCAGCATTGAGGGCTGAGGTTCTGGATTGATGTAATTTCTAGTTACTTGCTATTAAAAATAGGCCTAAACTAAGCATGGGCAAACTTCAGCCCCCCAGGTGTTTTGGACTTCAACTCCCACAATTCCTAACAACCTACCGGCTGTTAAGAATTATGGGAGTTGAAGTCCAAAACACCTGAAGGGCCGAAGTTCGCCCATGCCTGGCCTTAAACCATACTATGCTCCATACTATAGCATTCCATACTTTGTATTGACTTGATATTAATATTAAAATACAATAATTAAAAGCAAATTAAGATAAATAAAGACAAATCTAATTTAATATAACCCTTTTTTTTGTATTATAAAAACAGTTTTAAAAATATTTAAATAATAATTTCTTCAAATTCTTGTTGGTTGCTTAAGAATGAAATAATGCATTCATTGAAACAATGAAAGAGTAATAAACAAGTGGAACCACAAGAATGAAAGACTGGGGCACATGTTATAGTGTGAATTTCAGCTCCTTGGCCTGTATCTTATTAAAATGTTTTAATTATTTTTTAAAAAAAGAGTGACAGGATATCCTTTTCAGTCTACAGTATATAAAGACAAGAGTTCTTTCTCCCACCCTGGACATTCCACAGATATATAAACTCCACTTGCCTAGTTTCCAACACACCTCACAACCTCTGAGGATGTCTGCCATAGATGTGGGCGAAACATCAGGAGAGAATGCTTCTGGAACATGGCCACACAGCCTGGAAAACCACAGCAACCCAGTCCTTCTAAATTGACAAGCATGAGGAATATTAGACAGATTGGCAGTTTGTTAAAAGCTGAATCCTTGATCAGTTGCATTGAGGATTAAAGGGCTTTTGCTTTAGCCAGAAAGCTTTATCAGGCAATGAGCCTAAAATTATTTCATGGTTGTTAGGGCCATTACTGATGTGTGTTTGTCTTCTTTTTGATTTCAGAATATGAATGAAGCTTCTTCCTTGCTCAGTGCCACTTGTGACACATTTATCACGACACTTGAAGAATGTGTGAAAATAGCGAATGCCAAGTTTAAGCCAGAGATGTTTCAGCTGCCTCATCCTGACCCCTTAGTTTCTCCTGTGTCACCTTCACCTGTACAGATGGTTGGACATTCTTTCACGTCATATTTTCCTAAGGGCTTGAGGAGGTTTGGGAGGGAATGGTGGGCTAAAGTCAGGTGCCCAGGTTGTACCAACGCAATATAGCTGACTTTTTTAAATCAAGGAATCAATCTTTTCCCAAGCTGTAGTATTAACTGGGAAGTAAGATTGATTTCACACACTAGATGTTTGGAAATATCTGGTGCCATCAACATCTGATGGGAAACCTTTTCACATACTTGATAATAAACCCATTAGTGGCCAATAAACTCAAATTTATATGTGAACACAACATGCTTATTATTTATTACATATGTTTATCTTACCCTTTCTTAAATAAGGTCAGACTGGCATATAGGATTCCTTTGTAGTTTTAGCTTTCCAAAAACATCACGAGATGAATTAGGCGGATAGGCCAAAGTCACACAGAAAGTTTTGTGTTGACTCGAACTTGAATTTCCTCAACCCTAGATATAGTAGCCATTAAATCACATGGTTTAGGATTGATTTTTTAAAAATATTTTTATTACTTTATCATAATTATTACATTTATTATACATTTGTTTATAGCAGTTACATATTATTCAACACCCTCTTTAACATATAATCTTTTTCTTCTGCTTAAGCATTCCCCCCCTTTTTCCCCCACCACTGTGCCCCCCCCCCCCCCCCCCCCCCCCATTTCAAGCCACAACTTTTACATATCATCTGTCCAAAATCTCATTTCTTCTTGTGGCGGTAACCTTCCTTCTTTATTTTTTAAACCATTTACAACAAATTTACCCCATACAACATCAAAATCACTTTGTTTCCATATACCTTTTTAAACTTTTAATATACATGTCAGCTTATCATTTATTGCCAATTTCCATGCTTCCTTGTACCACTCCTCTATTTGTATATTTATTTCTTTTTTCCAGTTCCTTGCTATGAGCAGTCTTGCTATTGTTAATAAGTTTGTTATCGCTTCTTTATCCTCCTTTTTCAATTGTTTGTTGTTATATAGTGATAATAAGGCTATACTAGGACTTTTCTCAATTTTCATATTCATTATATCTTCTATTTCTCTAAATACTTTCTCCCAAAAATTATTTACATATTTACATTGCCACCACATATTGTATGTATGTTCCTGGTTCTTGACACCCTCTCCAACAATTTTTTGAATTATTTTTATTTATATATACTATTCTTACTGGTGTGGTTTAGGATTGATGTGTAAGATCAAATGAAAGTCATTTGGGCTTGGGGCTGAATAGTTAGTGGAAAAAAGTGTGCACCAGTGATGTGCTGAAGCCCTTAACAGCATGTCTTCAGGGAAACACTGGGAAGCACTAGAAAAGCATCTAGAGAGCACTGCAAGATAAATAAGTCTTCACAGAGCTTTTCCTCCTTTGGCTCATATTGCAGTGGAGATCACTGGCTTGGATCAAGTCTTTGCTCCTGCCAAAGGAGCGTACATTGAGGAGAGTTGCAGCCAGGATGCTCCTGCTGATGAAATAGCATGAGAGGAGACATAATCACTTCTGTCTCACTGCAGTCCTTTGTGGTACTCTGAGATCTGAAAGGGGAGCCAGCCAAAATGGTCTCCCTTCTCTCTTATGCTGGATTCAAAAGCCTTTCTTCTCGCTTTTCACTATTGGCAACGCTCACTAAGGGCCTTTCCAGACAGGCTCTACACCCCAGGATCTGATCCCAGGTTTTCTGCTTTAAACTGGATTATATGAGTCTGCACTGTCAGATAATCTGGGATAAACAGAAAACCTGGGATCAGATCCTGGGATATAGGGCCTGTTTGGAAAGACCCTAAGACAGTTAGATGTTGCAGTGCAGTAAAATCTTAAGGGCTCAAAGTTGCTAATCCCTGCTTTGATTATTCAAAATATTGTTTTGTCTTCATAGCATATGCTTTATAAGAGTCTCCTTGTAACTGTTAAGCAGAATATTAAGAGCAGCATCAAAGATCAGTGTAGCTGCTGTTCAGCTATGTCCTGAATTTGGAGAGATCAAAATGTAATTTATGTACATGCATACCTGTCTAATAGTATTCCATTACATTCTTCCAACAACTACAAACTGGCATGTAAAATAAGCATTTAGGGACTGTATATTAACTTGTTTTGTTTCTTAAATTATTCTTTAGATGAAGCGTTCTGTTAGCCACCCAGGTACTTGTTATCCTGAGAGGTAAGCAAAAACAATGAGATTTTGCATATTTTCAAAGCATGGGAACCAAAGAAATAGTACAAGAAATGTTTTGCACTGTCCCTCACATTTTATCATAGCTAAAAGTGATCCACATGATGTTGCCCACATGTAGTCCCTCTAGAGTGTGGTTTGTGATGGGAAAATGCATTTTTGTTTACCTAATTATATGTAATATATTGAAATGTCAGTATGTGAGAATTCATATTCCTCTTGAAAAGTCTACCTGTAAATATTGCTGGTTTAATACCTAAGAATTAGAAGGGTAGTAATTACATTTAATTATTCAAAATTCTTTTATGCATTGATAACAGAGGCCTGCAAAATTAAGCATCATTAAAACAGCATGCTAGTGGATTTTTTTTTTAGGAATTTGGAATTCTAGATTGAAAAATGATCTTAGATGTGATTCAACAGATCCAGGAGTTTTTTGTGCAATCTTTACTTCACCTAGACACACTGTAATGTGTGTTGCTGGGGAATAAAGGATAACATTAATTAGTCCTACTTAAAAATCGCGTTCAGCCCCAATGGTAGTATTAAATAATTTCGAATCCTAAGATGTCGCTAGCCAGTAATTGAATGCAGCAACTATTAGACCTTCAGTGAAATGACTCTATAGGCATTGTTCCCCTGTCTCATCATTTTTTTTTCCTGCAGTATATTTGAGAAACATTGTGTTATGTACCAAATAAATGATATGTAATAGTAGAATGAGCTTAATTAACAAGAGAGTAACAAGTCTTTAAAGCCTTTCATTAAATGTGTGACATTGTTGCATTTTTAGGAGTGGTCATTTCACGAAAGAACCAAATTCATCTTCCCATCGATTATCACAAAAATGGAGAAGAACCGTGTCTGATGCAGGACCATCTATAGATGTTTCCCTCGAAGATACAGACAGTAAGTTATATTTATGTGTGTGTTATTATTTAGTTATGTATTTTTGAAGTAGAAGCCCACTTGGACAAGGGTCATGATCTTTGCTAGACTAACAGTGAATACAGAAATACTGTGTATTTATGGTTTTTATTGTTGTTATACTGTGATATTGCGGCATTGAATTGTTGCCATTGTTAACCACTCTGAGTCCCCCTCTCGGGGGTTTAGAAGGGCGGGGTAGAAACGTTGTAAATAAATAAATAAATTTCAGAGGGAAAAATGCTGTTGATGATATAGGTGTGTGTAACAGGTCAAGAATAGGGCTCCACAGCCACCTACGGATCCACAAGAATACTGATCATGGAAGACTATCCTACTCTTCCAACGAGGGATCACCTAAGTCAGTAAGGTGTGTGTAACCTGAGGTTAGACATGCAAAGGTTCTTTGGTGAATAATGCAGAAGGCACTTTGAGGAACTTTGGGTTAGTTGATTTTGTTTGGTTTTTATTCCTGGTATGTTTGGCTTCATGAAGGGAGAGGAGGAGAGAGAGCAAGAGAGGGAGGGCGGCTGGAATGAGTTCACCATGAAGAAAAGGATGCTTCTGTCTTTTCACTTTGTGCTTTGTGCTCCCTTGTCACAACTCTGTGCTTCTACCTTTTAAAGTTGATTTTTATTTTTTATTTTTTATTGATTCCCATGAATGTGCATTTATACATTATTTGTTATTTATAAAGTATTTAATAACACATAACAAAAAAATTGGGATCGAGGGGCCGGAACAGATTAATAGCATTTCAATGGGAAAATTCACTTTGAGATAAGAATGTTTTGAATTCAGAGCTCGGTCATGGAACAAATTAAACTCTTAAGTCGAGGTATCACTGTATATGGATGCAATATGTAGTCGAGTACATATTGGTGGTAGTGCAGTGGGTTAAAGTGCAGAGCTGTTGAACTTGCTGACCGAAAGGTTGGCAGTTCGAATCTGGGGAGCAGTGTGAGCTCCTGCTGTTAGCCCCAGCTTCTGCCAACCTAGCAATTTGAAAACATGCAACTGTGAGATCAATAGTACCACTTCTGCAGGAAGGTAACACATGACCGGCCACATGACCTTGGAGGCATCTACAGACAACACCGGCTTTTTGGCGTAGAAATGGAGATGGAGATGAACACCACCCCATAGAATCAGACACAACTAGACTTAATGTCTTTTACAGATGACTGAGTGGGGCCTTTTTCAGGGACACGATTAACCAGATGTGCTTTGACCTATCTCTTCTTAGGACCAGCATCCTGTTCCAGAGATACTCTAAATGGAGACCTGGCACCTCCAGCCCTTCCTGACGCCTCCTTGCCATTCTGCGATTCTAAAAAAGAACCAGAGCTTGAAGAGACTCTTCCGCCTACTTTCTGAAGACACGAAAGGAACAACTTTCTCTGTGTACCGCTATGCAAACACTGCTGGGATTACGTGGCTGTGGGGAAGTAGTTCCTGTGAGAAGGATTTCTCTGCACTTTATAGAGTCATGTAAAAAGAAACAAAAAAAACCCCTTTGAAGTGTATTTTATCTTTATATAGTTTATTCGCGAGAGTATTTTCCTAAAACAAACAAAAAAAATCAGTTTGTGCGTTTTTACTAGATAGGTATGTACCTTTGTAAACATCACTCTTCTTTTTACAAAGTGGGATAGTCTAAACCTTGACAGAAAGGTTTCAGATTTGGATCAGGGGCAGCTTGTGCCATAGTTAGGACTGATGATATGACAACAGTCAGTTATAGTATTTTTTTATTTTGGTACAAATCCGTGTCTCACTGAACCCAGTGGCAATGCTACTATTTTCTTTTTTCACGGCGCATTGTATTTTGGTGGTACTTTTCCATGCATTAAGATTGAGACTGTATTTCTAACGTTATGGCTTGTTGTAATTCCTGTTTCTCTCTTTTGTAAAGCAGCAGTGTATAAAAGTTCACTATCTTGAATTTCAGGTGCACCTTAATTTTGTTTTCCTTTCCATGGGGCAAGTGCAGGCTAAGGGTAGAGTCCAAACAAAAACAAGCACCTTTTACGTTGGTTGGATTTAATGAGACCTTTTTTTACACAGTGAAGTAAGTGAGAATTCAGTGTTTAGCTTTATAAATTCAAGCATTTATGCCCTTAAACGCTTGAATTCTCATGTTGTGTGTTTTTCATTTAAGCTCCTGCATTTCTCCAAATTGCACTCAGAACTAAGTCAATCAAAAATAATGGATGAAATGTGCAGTATTTTTTTAAAAAAGAAAGAATATAAATTATGTGATCACAAAGCATTCTACAAGGCGTGTGTAAAGATATTTTTACATTTTAAATATATATATATTCTTTTTTGCATATTTGTCATTTGTTGGGATGTGGAGCAGAGATGTAGAGATGGGGTTTAGTCCTTGTTGGGGTCGGTTTTCACAAATGAATGCAGTCCTGCCAATGTTTGTTTTGTTTAAGACTTGTGGGAATCATTCAACCAAAGCGAAGCATTTCAAGGTCTAGTGGGTTTTACTGGAAGATTAAAGTATATGTGCATCTTCTCCTGTTCACACAATTTGACTAAGGAGCACCTATCTTTGGCTGGATTCTGCTCTTTGTAGTTAAAAGCAAACTATGCTTGTTTTATGTGTTGTCCAAGGCTTTCATGGGCAGAATCACAGGGTTGCTGTGAGTTTTCCAGGTTGTATGGCCATGTTCCAGAAGCATTCGCTTCTGACGTTTCACCCACATCTATGGAGGGCACCCTCAGAGGTTGTGAGGTCTGTTAGAAACTAGATAAGTGGGGTTTATATATCTGTGAAATGTTCAGGGTGGGAGAAAGAACTCTTGTCTGCCTAAGTGAACGTTGCAATTGGTTAGAGGAATTCCAGATAAGAAACAATCAGGGCCAGTTGACACCTCCCAACATAGGATTCTCCCAGGTAGGAAGCAGCCCAGCTTTGAAGCTGCAAGGCTTTTCAATAGGTTCTTGTGGATTTTTTCGGACTATAGAGCCATGTTCTAGAGGCATTTCTCCTGACGTTTCGCCTGCATCTATGGCAAGCATCCTCAGAGGTAGTGAGGTCTGTTGGAATTAGGACAATGGGTTTATATATCTGTGGAATGGCTGGGGTGGGGCAAAGAGCTTTTCTCTGCTGGAGCTAGGTGTGAATGTTTCAACTGACCACCTTCATTAGCATTTGAAGGCCTGGCTGAGCATGCAGGCAAAACGTCAGGAGAAATGCCTCTAGAACATGGCTCTATAGCCCGAAAAAACCCACAAGAACCTAGTGATTCCAGCCATGAAAGCCTTCGACAAGGCTTTTCAATGTTAATCAGTCTGGTCAATTGCAACATTCACATTTGCTTCAAACAGTCACCCTGGGTGTTCCACAGATATATAAAACCCACTTGTTCCCAACAGATCCCTTAACCTCTGAGGATGCCTGCCATAGATGTGGGCGAAACGTCAGGAGAGAATGCTTCTGGTACATGGCCATATAGCCGGGAAAATTCACAGCAACCCTATGCTTGTTTTGTTTTTTTACCAATGTTATTTTAACACTGGTTTCTAAGATCTGCTCTTAAACTGCCATTGTAATGTATCCATATTTGCTGCTGTACATTTATTTATGATATATTTATACCAAAGGAGGGCAGTGGTTTTTATCGTTGTGAATCCTGTAACTTGGAAATACCCTTTATATACAGCAAGATTCTTCTTGCAAATCCAGTGTCAAATCGGAATGTCTCTCTAATAGAGCAGAGAACTGAGCTGTGACTAGAGAATGAACTGTTTAATCTTGCCAACTCTTCTTGTTCTTTATGGGCCTCATTCAGCAGAAACCTTTTTCCATGCAGGCTGTATTTATTTTGTGGGGTTTCTTTATTTGTGAAGGCTTTTTTTTTTTTGCAAGAGCAAAGATACAATAGGCCGCTCAGCTATGAGCAAGGTTTGCACAGATGTTTTCCTGACAGATTGTGCCCAAAGTTCTTAGTGTTTTGAAATGTATTTTTGTTTGTTTGTTTTTGTATAAACTTTGGGATACATTTGGTATATGTCTTGACCATGAAGCACTTTTTAAAAAATAAAATAAAATAAACAACCTTTTCTTTTAAAAAAAGAGGTTACCTAAGTGTTTGGTAAATAAATCCAGTTTTTACACTGAAACATGCCGAACTCTTTGTTTCTGGACATATATTTCAATTCAGGGTATATATACATAGACATTCTAGTTTTAGTTTACAAAACGTAACAGAGGAACAGATCATGTTTGACTCTCCATATGCTTTAGGGTCTACTGCCATTTAACCATATTGGGTGGTATTGATGGAAAGTGAAGGGGAAAACATGACTATTATTTTCATATCTATATATATAAAATGCTCTGTGCATAATGAGTACCTTAAAAACAAAAGAACCAATGAATGAAATCACACCAAATTTGGCAACAAAACGTCTCACAACACAAGGAGTGACCATCACTCAAAAATTATGATTTTGTCATTTGGGAGTTGTAGTTGCTGGGATTTATAGTTCACCTACAATCAAAGAGCATTTTGAACTCCACCAATGATGGAATTGAACCAAACTTGGCACACAGAACTCCCATGACCAACAGAAAATACTGGAAGGGTTTGGTGGGCATTGACCTTGAGTTTTGGAGTTGTAGTTCACCTACATCCAGAGAGCACTGTGGACTTAAACAATGATAGATCTGGACCAAACTTGGCACGAATACTCAATATGCCCAAATATGAACACAGATGGAGTTTGGGGAAAATAGACCTTGACATTTGGGAGTTGTAGTTACTGGGATTTATAGTTCACCTACAATCAAAAGAGCATTCTGAACCCCACCAACGACAGAATTGGGGCAAACTTCCCACACAGAACCCCCATGACCAACAGAAAATACTTAAGGCCATCCAGTCCAACTCCCTTCACCAGGGCAAGAAAACGTAATCAAAGCCCTCCTGACAAAGAGCCATCCAGCCATAGATATAGATAGATATGATTCACACACACACACACATATAGTATCATAGATTTGAAAGGGACCCCTAAAGAAGGACAATTATGTTGCATGTTCCAGAGTAGGCATACCAGATAATCTCCACATGAACACTGACAAAGAAACAGCAAAAAAATACTGTTTACCCACAAGCATAAAGAAATTATATTAGAAACCAACACTTTCTCAAAACTTTATTTTCCAGATCAATAGACTGGGCCACAGCAACGTGTGGCAGGGGATGGCTAGTGTATTCATATACCGCTTTCCTCTCTGAAAAGAGACTCAAAGCAGCTAATGTCTGGGCAAAAAACCAGTAAGAAAGCTGATGGACCTCAAGTCTCCATTAGGACAGGGCTTCTAAAACCTTTTCACTTTGTGATTCCTTTTTGCCCAAGAAAGTTTTCTGTAACCATGGAGTATATAGGTATCCAAATCAAACCTTTTCAGCCTATCACATGCTTTGTTTTTTCCATGTCAGGAGCAACTTAAAAAACAGCAAGTCGCTTCTGGTGTGAGAGAATTGGCCGTCTGTACGAACGTTGCCCCCTAGGAGACACATGGATGTTTCATGTTTTACCCTCCTTGTGGAAGTCTTCTCTCATGTCCCTGCATGGGGAGCTGGAGCTGACAGGGAGCTCAACCTGCTCTCTCCGGAATTGAACTGCTGACCTATTTATTGGTCAGCAGTCCTGCTGACACAAGAGTTTAACCCATACTCCACCGGGAGTTCCATGACTTGGTTATATCCATGGATATTGTACCACAGCAATAAAAATTAGGGCATGCCTAACTTCCAAGTACATACAAATCAAAGATACCCCTTAGGTAAAATACAGTGGCTATTGGATAATCACTGGTCACATAACCAAATGGAGGATTATGACTTGTTAGGATCATAACATTAGGATGATAATAATACTATAATGTAATACAATATAAAAGGTTGGTAAAGGTTGTCCCCTGACATTAAGTCCAGTCATGTCTGACTCTGGGGTGTGGTGCTCATTTCCATTTCTAGGCCAAAGAGCCGGCGTTGTCCATAGACACCTCCAAGGTCATGTGGCCGGCATGACTTCATGGAGCGCCGTTACCTTCCCACCGGAGTGGTACTTATTGATCTACTCACATTTGCATGTTTTCGAACTGCTAGGTTGGCAGAAGCTAGGGCTGACATCGGAAACTCACACCGCTCCCCGGAATCGAACCTGTGACCTTTCGGTCAACAAGCTCAGCAGCTCAGTGCTTTAACCCACTGCGCCACCGGGGGCTCCGTAATACAATATACTACTACTAATAATACAATATAATAATTAGATATTTCATATTACATTTAATATTGCTAATAGTGTTACAGTATAGTGGTATAATACAATATAGTAATATATAATACTAATATTGTGCTGTGCTGACATATTGTATACACATATAATATTGATAATATTATAATGTAATACAATACAATAATACAATATAATTTTATATTTCATATTACATGTAATATTACTAATAATATTACAGTATAGTGGTGCAGTACAATATGGTAATATATAATACTAATATTGTGCTATGCTAATAATATGATATATTGTATGTACATATAACTTGTAAACTGCTCTGAGTCCCCTTCGGGGTGAGAGAGGCGGCATATACATGCTGTAAATAAATAAATAAATAAATAGCCTATTGGATTATGAGCAATTATGGAAACCATAATCTTTATATCTTTTAAGAAAAGAAATAGTTTCCACATGTATTTATGCTTGGCAATTGGTTTCCAGCTGTTTGACTGATTTCCAGGTGTCATCATCAATAACCACACCTCATCTGTCATCTTTTAACTGTATTCTAAGCAGTCCCTGATCTGGTCACATGGTCTGCAGCCCCTCCCACAACCTCAAGAACATAGAGTTAGGAAAATCTGCAAACCAAAGAACACATATACACTTCAGTAATCAAACAGCTTATTATATACAGACAAATCACTAAACGGAGGAGGCTTGAGAAGGTTGCCTATTACCAACAGTGGCCCTAAGTATCTTCTGGGGTTTGATTCCAGGACCCACAGTGGATACCAAAACCCATGGATGCTCAAATCCCATGATATTCAAGGATTTAGTAAAATGATGTATCTTATATAAAAGCGAAGGTTTAAGAGATACAGATATTCAAGTTGTACAGATACAGAGATACAGATACAGAGATACAGATATTCAAGTTGTGGATAGTTGAATTGGGAGTGTATAACTCCTCTGTTGTGCCAGCTCCACTGGCTGCCTGTTTGCTACCGGGCACAATTCAAAGTGCTGGCTTTGGCCTATAAAGCCCTAAATGGCCCTGGCCCAGTTTACCTGTCTGAATACATCTCCCTTTATGAACTGCTGCGGAAACTATGATCTTCTGGGGAGGCCCTGCTCTTAGTCCCTCCACCATCACAGGCGTGTTTGGCAGGGACGAGAGACAGGGCCTTCTCAGTGATGGCCCCCCAGCTATGGAACTCCCTTCCTGGCAATATTAGATCAGCCCCCACCCTCCTGTCCTTCAGAAGCATGGTGAAGACCTGGCTGTGGGACCAAGCATTTGGGGCAGTGCAGTGAGGCAAAATGCTGTCCTGAGATGGTTTTTAAGCAACTGATTTTAATATGGATATAAGTGATTTTAATGTTTGTATATATTTATGGTTTTATGTCCCGGCATTGAATGTTTGCCTTATATATGTTGTGCTCCGCCCTGAGTCCCCTGTGGGGTGAGAAGGGCGGAATATAAATGTTTTAAATAAATAAATAAACAGTACAATCGAATAATATATAATACTGATATTGTACTATGCTAATAATATTTATATTATGCTAATAATATAAATATAAATATATTAACAATTTAAGAAGTTTGTTGTTCATTCGTTCAATCGCTTCCGACTCTTCATGACCCCACGCCAGAGCTCCCTGTCGGCCGTCACCACCCCCAGCTCCTTCAAGGTCAGTCCAGTCACTTCAAGGATGCCATCCATCCATTTTGCCCTTGGTGGGCCCTCTTGCATCTGTCCAATCAGGCCGCTCCTATGCAAGTAGCTCCTCCCCCAGCTTTGCTGCACTATGAGAGCCACAAAAGGGCTGCCCAACTTCCTGGTTCTACAAAACAACTTCTCAAACACCAACCCTTCAAGGTAGGTCACATACCAATTTTCCCAGGTAAGTCAGATCTGAATTACTTTCTTAAACATGATTCTTTGTTTTGTCTCTGCAGCAACTCAGAGAATCCCATTCAATGAAGGTGCCTTCTCCACTGGCTGAGAATGGCCTCTAAAAGATGATGGATAAGTAGGTACGACTCAACCATGGGAATTCATTCCAGATACGCTGGGTAAATGATACTGGAACTGGGAATCAATGCTTTATAGGAATGAGCCCTATGGAAAGAGAGGAGTACAGTCAAGTTTTTTTGGTGAAACTGCGGATGAGAAATGGGGATTTCTAGTATGCCTAAAGAGATTGCTTGAGGGATTCAGTCCTTCAGATTAAGGCCCCTACTACACTGCTATATAATCCAGATTATCAAATCATATAATACACATTATCTGCTTTGAACTGGATTATATGAGTCTACAATGCCATATCATCTAGTTCAAAGCGAATAATCAAGATTTTATATGGATGTGCAGGATCTGAGCCCAGATTATCGATTTTAAACTGGATTTAATGAGTCGACATTGCCATATCATCCAGGTCAAAACAGACAATACATTTTTTTTTAAACAAGCCTTTGACCTTGATTAGAGTTTAATGGTCACTCGAGGACTTAAGTCATTTGCTTCACTCCGGTTCTTTGGTCTGATACATGAATACAGCTTATTTTATATCTGAAGGCACTGCTGTGTTTTATGGAATTTTAAATCTTATTTATAAGGGTTTATGTATTTATTTATTTATGACATTTATATGCCGCTCTTCTCACCCCGAAGGAAACTCAGAGTGCCTTATATGTTATATGTAGATACAATATATTGTATTATTAGCATAGCACAATATTAGTATTATATATTACAATATTGTGCTATACCACTGTACTGTAATATTAGTAATGTTACATGTAATATAATATATATTTAT